AGAAGGAGACTTTTGACAAGATGGGAAAGCTTGACTGTGGACTCACTGTACACCCACCAAATACTTTCTACCCGATACCTTATTGGGAATGGGAAGAATTCTTCGATGAGACTGCTTGGCCCAGAATCAAGGATCAACTAAATAATACTTACATCCTCCATTTCTGGAACAAATTAACCAAGGATAGTGTCATCTATGTCGGTTCTCAGCAACCGTATGGAATTATCGCTGCTAATTATTGTTCTCCAATCTACTATAAAAATGGAGATGAGTTTTGACATGTGATAAAAATTAGTATTAATTTACCAAATAATGTAAAGCATTTTTTTAATTTATTGTTGTTACTACTTTATAAGACTCCATGCTGAAATAAACGTTTTTTAAACATTTGTTTTGTTTTATTTTAAAGTAGATATCATTTATATTTCACAACTAAACTATTAATTGTTATAAATAAATTATTATTACGGAGGAGCCCGTAACAAACAATGTTCTCCCACAAAATCATTGTTCACTTACATGGGGAGATCACGGACGTCACTGATTCCGAATGAAACTTTTTTTGGTAGTACTAGGTTGAAAAATAATAGACCAATGTTTGAGAGTTCTTTCCACTGCGCACTAGGAGTTGAGAAAAAATTATTACATACAATTTTTTTTGTATATTATTGTTTTCTGATTTTGTTCTGCATGGATTTTTAACTTATATATCAATCAATTTTTTTTTTAAATAAGAAAAGCATATTGCCAGTTGTATTAAATAAATTCTAACCTCTAGACGCAAAGTATCCATATTTGCTACCACAATGGTCACACTTAATTCTCTCTAATTTGTTTTCTTTTTTTTAAAGTATTTTCGGTTGATTGATGAATACGCTGTGTGATTTAGCAACTCAACACAGTTGAGCATCCCTACTGTAGTTCTTTCAGTCTCAGTATATAACCATGTAGCTGTCAAATACTAAATTTTTAGAAGTAGAAAAAAAATTATTTAAATTAATTTAAATAAACTAATTATATTGAGATGTTTTTTAAATAGTAAATACTAGCGATTAGGCAAAATTAAACTAACTCTAAATAAAATTTTTTTTTCAAGATAGCTTCACACTGAGATTGATGATATGCATAAATTAAAATGTAAATTTGTTAAGAATACTTACATTTCATAATGGAGAGCGTTTTTAACTCATCTATTACTCCTCTATGTAAGATTTAAAGAAAAATTGGCTTTATATATCATTCATTAAAAATCTTGGTATCTAAATTAGAAAAGAAATTAATGTATGAAAAGAAATCTGAAGGTAAAAATTATGGTTCCTTTTCCTTTTCAAGTTTTTAGTTTGATTTATAATATAAAGTTGTCATGTATTAATATATTGTTCAATATAGGTTTAATATATACCTTTTAGAAGTCAATTCAAGTTTAATATATATATATAAGAATTAATCTACTTATTAATTAATGTTAAGTCATTTATTAAATAATTTACTTTTAAAAGCTTACCCAGTCCTACGGTGAAAATGTGTTGCTTACATTCTTGCCAACCTAATAGTTTTCATACTAGCATTCACTTAAAATATTCTAATTATTGTTTCGCAAGTATAGAAAGCTTTGCACATTTTTCTATTATCGAAATTAATTTAAATTTACAATTTTTGGTGTGATATTTAAAAAGTATCGTTGAATATTAATCACTTAAGATTCTTAAGTAGATAATTTTTTGCTTATTCCCTACCGAAGTTGAGGAAGCATTGTATTCATGCGAGAATTGAAAAGAAAATAATAATAATAATAATAATAAGGCTTAGCGAACCCGAAGGTTCGATGCCGACACCACCAATCGCTTGTTACACACCTCCCTCCACCGTTCGCCGTCCAAACCCAGTCCCTTCAGATCGGCTTTAATGCAATCTTCCCACCTTCGCTTCGGTCTACCCCTCGGACGCTTACCATTCGGCACAGCAAATATTAACCTTTTAGGAATTCTCTCGTTACTAAGCCCAACAACTTTACAAGCCCATTTGATTCGCCGCAATGAAATTACCTCAATTATATTACCCGGATACATCTCACGCAATTCGGCGTTGTGCAACCGTCTGAACTCTCCGGTTAACTCATCCTTCTTTGGTCCGAATATTCTACGCAATACTTTATTTTCAAAAACCTTAAGACGCTGCTCATCCCTTAATGTAAGCGGCCAAGTTTCGCATCCATAAAGAACTGTAGGCAAGATAATTGTTTTATAGATTCTAATTTTTAAGTTTCGGGACAAGAGGCGCGAACTAAGTAGTTTTGTCACAGAAAAATAACAAGCATTCCCCGCCTTCAGTCTAACCTTAATCTCTTCTTCAATTTCGTTTTTTCTAGTTATCGTAGACCCTAGATACCTAAATTTATCTACCTGTTCAAACATATTACCATCTATATCGATATCACCAGTAGTATCGCCATTTTTGCAGCTAACCATATATTTTGTTTTATCCACGTTTATTTCGAGTCCTAGTTCTTTACTTGCTTTCATTAACGTTGTCGTATTTAGTTTTATAGTTTCAACGTCTTCGCTTAACAGTACCAGATCATCAGCATAGCCCAGCACGGATGTTGTCCCGCCCAGATCCAACCCTTTCTCGGTTCGCAGTACTTCCCTAATGGCATGTTCTAATGCCAAATTGAACAGGACAGGCGAAAGAGAATCCCCCTGTTTTAAGCCCGAACGAACCTCAAATTTTTCGGACAAATTATTACCGATTCTAACTTTATTGAGTGTCTCCGTCAAGCACATCCTGACTAGATTTACTAGTTTTTTTGGAATCCCCTGCTCCATTAGAATATTATACAGTTTCTGGCGGTCAATAGAATCGTAAGCCTTTTTAAAATCTATATACAGCTGGTGAACAATACCGTTATACTCCAATTTTTTCTCTAATATTTGCCGTAAAGAAAATATTTGATCAATAGTCGAACGATTCCGTCTAAATCCGCATTGGTAGTCTCCGATAATTTCCTCGGCGTATTCCGTGATTCGACTGGTTAAGATTAAAGTGAATATTTTATAACATACCGGAAGGAGTGAAATTCCTCGATAGTTATTACAATCCGTCCTCGGACCCTTTTTGTGAATCGGAATAAGAATAGATTCTTTCCATTCTTCAGGTAATTTCTCGTTCACCCAGATCTTTTTAACCAACCGATGTATTTTAGAAACTCCAGCTTCTCCGCATGCCTTAATTAGTTCAGTAGGAATATTATCAATTCCCGCTGCTTTATATGATTTTAATTTTCCGAAAAGAAAATAAGGAAGAAAGAAAATAAGGAAAAGAAAATAAGGAAGAAAGAAAAAGCCTCCGATCAAAAATTTTCCCTTTTATTTCGTATTTTATATGTCAATGAGCGAATTCTTTTTGTTGTTATTCAAATTCATGTGGTGGGTGTGGGGGAGCGCCCGAGAATGAATCTCGTATCATGGCAACAATGTCTAGGGAGTAACTCATGTTGATATTTCGAAAAGTGCTTGTCTTATTTTGTTCAAATTTGGAAGAAAGTTTTGTAATAACATATAAATGGTGGCGTATCAAATTTCATCAAGTAATGAGTTTAAGCCAGTAAATGACATCTTTCACAAGATACTGGTATTAAGGGACAAATATTACTTGTTACTGAACTTAGTTTTGTTCGATTACTAAAATTTAAGAATACCAAAAAAATACATACCTATTATTACATTGACTCAACATTTGTTTACAATATTCTGGAAACTTCAGTTATTTTTATTTTCATTATTCACGATCCCTCCCACCCCCTCTCCTCCGAAACTTTTTGAAAACTGGATTTAGCGAGTTTTATTTCTACTGTTTATTTATTTTTTTGGCTTCATGTTGCAACTTATTCCTTTAAATTTAAGACTCAAATTTTCAGGATCCAATTCAACTTAAAAAAAAAATGTATAGGAGATGTCACCATTACACTAACTATACACTTCTTACTTAGTTTAACATTTATTCTTAATTTTTAGAAGGAGAATTTAGAGAATATGGGGGAACTTGATTGTGGACTCACTGTATACCCACCAAATACCTTCAGCCCGTTACCTTATCGGGAGTGTAGAGAATATGTCGATGAGACTGCTTGGCCGAAAATAAGGGACCAACTAAATAATACTTACATCCTCCATTTCTGGAACAAATTAACTAAGGATACTGTAATCCATGTCGGTTCTCAGCAACAATATGGCATTGTCGCAGCAAATTATTGTTCTCCAATCTACCATAAAAGTGGAGATGTGTTTTAACATGTGATAAAAATTAGCATTAATTTACTGTATAATGTAAAGCTTTCTTTTTTTTTTTAACTAGTATTTATACTGAATTTAAAATGAATATTATTTTATATAAATATGATAGTACAAGTGTAAATATTTTTTCAATGTATATGAATATAAAAATATTTATAAATGTACATTAATTTTATTCTTGAGACTTCTTTATAAGACTTTAAACTGAAATAAATTTTTTTAATATTTCTTTTCTTTGTTTGTTTTAAAGAGCTTATCATACATGTTTCACAACTAAACATTTAATTTGATGTTGTTGCTGTTATTAATATGAAATATTTTGATAAGTCATGCATGATGTGTCTTTAAAATGTAATTACTAATGATACTGAATTTTTGTTGTAAGAATATTGGGTGTATTAGGGATCAGTCCTATTGTGTTATAATCAGATATATATATATATAGCAAGGACATTCAAATACGTCAAAATGAAAAAAAAATCAATTACAATGGTGGTAAGATGGTAGTTGCTGATTAAAAATAACGTAGCTTTACACAACAATTAATAATATTTTGTATCTATATGACAATAAACTTTTGATTAACTTCAAAAAAATAATAATAAATAGTACTAAAGCAGATCAACTTACATTTATATATCACATTTTTCAAAGTAAAATGTAAATAATATGTAAAATTTAATTCATAATAAATATACATAGTAATATTATTAATCGATAATTATGCATTTAACAAAAAAATCCAGTACAGTTGTGAAATATTAACTGTTAAAATATAAAATAATATATAATCTGGTAATATTCTAAATGAAAGATAATAAAATATGTAATATTATAAACAGATACCGTGAAGTTAAAATTGCAATATTTTTTCCCAAAAAATATTGAATTTAATAATATATTTCATTAATTGGCAAATGGATTTAGATTTTTATCATAGTCGTCAGCTTCATTATCTTGTTCGCTTTCGAAAGGGTTTGACGATTCCTCATTAAAAGGATTAGTTGGATCATCGGCAAAAGGATTAGTTGATTCATCTTCATCGCCAAAGGGATTGGCAGAAGTGACTGCAGATGTGATTCTCTCATCTCTCCCTCTAGTTTCAGGTACTTCGTTTCTGGTCGCGTACTCCTCCTGGTACCTTAAATTGGATGCAAGAAGAGTTTTTGTATCTTCGATCTTCCAATCTCGTTTTGTATGGTATGAATCCTTGCTGGAGCGTGACTGAACTGTTTTCAAAGCAAAAAAAAAAATTATATATATATACATGTTTTTATCAATATAATCAAGTCAATCCATAGGGAATATAATTGAAAACATTTTCTTATTAGCTATAATACTTAAAAATATAAATAATTTTAAAGGAAGGAGAGGGTCAGTGGGGTGGCAGTCACAAATAGGGTAAATAATGGCAAAACTATTTTATTAACGCCAACGTTTCAACCCTACTTTGCAGGTCTTCTTCAGAACTAGAACGGACAAGATACAAAAAGATAGAGGATTGTGGAAGTTACATAATATTTAGGCAAAAAATTATAAACAATGTGAATAAGCTTATTAAAATTATAAACAGTAAGTACATTAAAATATAAACAGAGTAAGCTAAGTAACAAGATCCTAAACTGAAGTAAATAGATGGTAACAATTGTTGTAGTGTAACATATAATATATGCAAATGTGAATATACTTCAATAGATCTAGAAGGAGATTGAAAGAAAAGGAAAAAGGATATAATATGAAATAATAGACATAAAGGAATGTGGAGAAAGAAATGAAAACCAAATAAATAAATAAGTAAATAAAATTAGAAGAATAAAAATAGAGACTTACAGGTGTGTTCAGCTAGGAGTTTCACTTAGAACTGGAAAAACAGGATAAGGGGAGATACATGGGGAATTTGCTGATTTGTTTGGGTAATGGGGGAAATATTAACTTTAATATTATTTAACTTTGTAAAAGTAATTTTTTTTTTTTTTATAGTTATGTAAATAATTTAAAAAATATTTTGAATAACTATAATAATTTCTAAAAGAAATATATTTCCTAAATTAAAAATAATAACAATTATAAACAAACCTTCTTCTACTCTCTGTCGAGAATTTTTATCAGTTATTGAAGATTTGTTTAGTTGAAGATTTGTATCAATATTTGACACTGCAAAGAAAAGGAAATTAGTTAAAACAAAACAATTACTAAGTCATTTTCCAAAATCATAAAAAAAAAATGAATTGTAAAAAACAAAAAATTTTATCGAACTCCAATATTTTATTTATTAACATACTTTGGGAGATAAGAAAATCATTATTAGATTTTTTTTAAATATGTTACTTACTCGCAGATCCACTTGTGACACTGCTCATCTTTCGTAAAACAACTTTTCCTAAATAATCTGCTGCCAGTGAAAAACCATCTTCGGCTCCTTCTAACTGACTATGAAAAACTTCTTGCAAGTTCCTGTTCTCTTCCTAACAAAATAAAAATAAAATAAAGTGACTGATTCTAAAGGCATTAAAAAGAAAGGCAAAGCAGAAAAAAATAAATAAATAAATAATAATAAATCATATTTAAAACAATATCTAAATATTCAGAAAATAATTGACAAAATTTTAGTTTTAGCAAATATTACTAAAAATGTCAGATTCAGTTATCAATAATTAAAGAGTGGTTGAAAGATTTTGCTCTCTTCTCAGCTGATTTAAATATTTTTCAATGATAAAATTCTGTAGTTTAAAAATGAAAATATATGTGGGACTAGAAAATAATGTTTGAAGTCATGTCAATATTTATGTTTTTGTGTTCTTTAGAGTCCTATCATAGTCATTTTAAGATTATAGTGCCTTTTAATATGTAAATAATGTAAAGGTACAGACACCTTTTTATCAAATTATTGACATCCAGCTAAAACTTGGTAAATAGCTTCATCTCATCGTAACCTAGAAATATTTTATTTACAAAAATACTCGGTAAATAGTCCGTGGTATAGACTCCTTTTTATCAAATAATTAACACCTATCAGAAATTTCGTAAATAGCTTTATCTCATTGTAACCTACAACTATTTTATTTACTAAAATTCTCGGAATTGGGGCTTTTTCAATCTGAAGATCGGGAAACGTTGTCTATTTAATTAGCTACTAAAAACTTGTAAATAACCATTTGCTTTCCACTTGATTTGTAAGATTTTGAGCAAATATTCGAGAAAAAAGGTAGCCTTCAAAAATATTGGGCCGTTTGATGTGACCTACATGTAACCCCAACATGTCAAAATAACAAGGAAATGGGTTATGTAGGCCAACCAAAAAAAACCTGTACCACTAAAACCCATGAAGGGTCTTAGATTCAGTATTACTTAGGGAAAGCACTAGGGGAAAGGTTGTGAAGGAGGTGATTTGACCGAGATCACGCTCAACCACCAGGTTTTCCCCCTTAATTAATTATTTAATTAAGGGTACCCACTTTATAGAGGTTGGGTGTACCGCAGGAGGGACTATCAACCCAGGGTTGCCCCATGACTTATGAAACAGATAAATAAATTTTCTGCCATGAGCTGGGATTCGAATCTGGGACCTTTAGCATTGGAAGCTCAGTATCTTATCACTGAGCTACCCCACTCCCTATGTAGGCCAAACAGCCCAATATTTTTGAAGGCCACCTTTTTTTTTTTTTATGATCTGATGATCATCTTATCTTATGATTCAAGTGAGAAGCAAATGGGTATTCATGAGTTTTTAATTTTAATTAAATAAACAAAGTTTGCCCATCTCCTGATGAAAATGGCCCAGTTCCTAAATAAAATAGTTGTAGGTTACGATGAGATGAAGCTATTCGCGAAGGTTCAGTTGGATATTAATAATTTAATAAAAAGGGGACTGTACCATGGACTATAGCATTGTACACCTTTAATTTGAGATTTTTCAGAATTTCAATATTACAGAAAGAGAGAAGAAAGCTCAGTTTCTACTTGTTGTAAGCTAGTCTATTTCCGACTGTTGGTCATTCATTGAGGTTGTTGTGGACCGAGGTACTTGAATTTGTCCACTCTCGGGAACATTTCCCCGATTTCCCTTCTAAGTTCTCCCTGTTGTTGGGATAGAATTTTTGGCTCTTTATCATATACTTTGTTTTATCTTCATTTACTAGAAGGCCAATTTACTCTGCTTTTCTAATCAGAGTCTTAGCGAGTCTCTTAATGTCTACTTGATTACTTCCACGGATAGCAATATCATCTATCTCAAAGATTTTATGATTTGCTCTGATATGTACCTCTCCATTTGCACGTAATATTGTTCTTATTACCATCTCCAACGCAAAGTTGAACAACATCAGCAGGAATCCATCTCCCAGCCACGAGCCAGTTTGAAACTTTGAAGGATTCAAATAATTCTCCTTCTATCAGGATTAACAAACTTCCCGGGTACTCTCAGTTCAATCACGATTATCCAAAGAGACAACCCATTAATAAAATATTAAATAAATAATTATGCTTCAATATTAATTACCTGAGCCTTTATAGCGCTTACTGTTTGCTTGTTTCTTTCTAAACATGGAGGGCATTCATCATCATTTTCAGCATAACTCTGAACACAGCTGAAACATTTTTAGTAACAATATTGTTAAACTAACGAAAGATTACTTTCAGAATTTCATTAATAACAATAAAAATATAATATCTTTTAATGAAAATAGTAATAACTCAAGTTACTTACTGCTGATGAAATGAATGTTGACAAAGAAAATGCACAGATGGTAATTCTAACTGTTTTTTGCATAGACCACATCGTGAACCTTGAAAAATTACTGGTCTGAAAATAGAATAATTAAATATTGAGTAATAACTTAAAAAAAAAAACCTTTATATAATACATTTTCTAAAAAATAATTATAATTTTTAAATTGTAATGAGATTCGACTTTTATTTTGTGACGGATCAAAAGAAAAAAATTGACCTTCCCTCTCAGATTATAATATGATCTGGCCATCCGCTCACTATAGTGGAGTCTATTATTATAGACTCAATAGGAATGCTGCATCATCACCTGTATTAATTCTGGTCACTTCGTTATGAGCCCTATGGACTAAACTGAGGAGGGAAATTAGGAGAAAATTATAACAATGAATGAATACATTATATCATTCAGTGCTTTGGATGATAGTCCCATAAAACTTTATTCTTTTCTTTTTTTTGCCGTTATTAAACATTATTTATTAATATTGATCAGTATGCTGGGTCATTTAGCAACTTAAAATACTTGAACAGCTGTAGAGTTTTATTGTACTTTTCTCCCAAAATATGGAAAATAATAATAGATTTAATAGTATTTATAAGAATTAATTTAAATGATTATTTAGAAAAATCCCTTTGCAATAAACGCTGTAATAATGCATTTTACCAGGTGTGTAAATGTGATACCAGAACTCGTCCCTAGATGCATCTAGTTCTAGCCTTTTTATATACGAAAGTAATAATTTTGATGTTACCATATTATTGTACTTTGTAATATCTTTATAATAAATAAATATAAGTGAGAAAGAAGGGTGAAAATTTATTAATACTGATTAAAAGAAAATAAAGAAAGTATTTTACTTTGTTTTAAATTCGTCTATACTCTTCTTCACTTCTTTTGTTTCAGCATCATATTTTTCAATGTTAGCAGTTTGTTCATTCTTCTTTTCTAATTCTGCTTCGATTACTTTCTTCAGATAAGGCCGGACGTTTCCAATTTTCACAGAAGGAGTATTGCTCAGAGCTTCAATGACTAAGATCGGCGGAAGAAGCTTATTTCTTTCTGAAATTTTTATAAAGTCAAAATTGGAATAGTATATTAAATACTTAAAACTTATTTTGTAAATATAAAATACTAAAAGTGATAAATATATTACATAGTTTAAGTTAATCAAATGATAAAAATTACAGTACATAACATCTTGATGTTTTCACTTCTATCGTGTGGTCAAAAGCACGCATCTTATTTGTTTTTTAAAAATTATTTTGAACATTCTTTGTTGACTAAATATGTATGATAATATTTAGAAATATTCAAAATATATAAAATAAAAGATGCTTCATTTGATAAAAATATAAATGTGAAATTTTCAATGATAGAAACAGTTTATGGAACACATATTAATGATGAAGTGTGACAATGAAATGAGCAACTTCCTCTTAAAATTATGTACTTTCATCATTTAAAAAAAACACCTATAACTCCTAAACGGTGAGTCAAAGCAAAAATGTATTCTTTAAAAAATTAAAGAGCGTTAAATTTTGTGTCAAACGAGTACCTAAACTTAATTATTTGGTTAATTGATATGATAGAAAACCATGGTTAACATATGCTGATTTTTACCAAATTTGTCAAAAACTGAGATGAATTACTATAAATAGCTCTGTAGCTTGGAAATGAGTTCCGTAAGAGGGAAACTCATATGATAAAAGTTAAAGAGCTTCGAATACCGCATCCACTGAATCCCAACAGTTTTAATGGAGATCAATTAATTATAAGAATAACTTAATAGAATAGCCACCCATACTATTGGAATATTGAAAATCACACGTACCTTCATTACCAATTTTCAGCCATTGGGATATTACCGATTTTGTGTGAAATATATCAAAACTGTTGGTACTCAGTGGAATTTGATGCTCTACAACTTTGATTCTATAAGTTTTTCTTCTTATAGAACTCATTTTCAAGCTACAGAAACATTTATAATAATTTGTCTCGGTTTTTGACAAATTTGGTAAAAATTAGCATTCGTTAACCGTGGTTTTCTACAATAGCACTTAAGCAAATCATTAAGTTTAGGTACAATTTAACATTCTTTAATTTCTTAAAGAGTACATTTTTTGGCTTAGATGCACTGTTTAGTTAAAAATATAAAAAAAGATGGAAAAAATATGTCTTTTTTGGCTGTAAACAGATTTTAACTCAGTTGCTCGCTTTAGGAATGTTGGTTTTTACATGTTTAGATCCATATACAAAAAATTAAAAATATATATATATATATATTTTTCTACATTTTTTGCAATGTATTTTCTGTTTTGGTCTTCAAATTATTGGTCTAATATTCTTTAAACCAGCCACCATTTTTTAAAGCAGCGGCTTTAGAATGACAGAAAAAATTCATTTTACTAAGAATAACATAAAATAAAAACTTTTGTAATTTACATTCAAACATTCGTCTGCGATCAGGTCGATTTTTGGGTCCTGGCTTCTGGGCTTTAACTGTTACTTTACTAAAAGTAACCGTTACTAAACATAACTGGCGATTCTTAAGTATAAAACACTAGAATTCTAATATTAATAATAAAATTGAAACAAATGTAATACCAATCACTTGGAGAATCTCCGATAATTCTTTAGATGGGACCGGGTGCTGGCTGGAGAGAGCCCACAAGGCCTGAACCCATAAACCAGGCTTTTGATGTTCAAATCTTCTGCAACACACTACGACTGCATTGAAATCCCCAGCTGCGATATGATATTTCAAAATAGACTCATACCTAAAACAAAGTATAAATAATCAGTATTTAATATTTTTAAAAAAAATACTAAAAGCTAACGCTATCCACCCTAAGGGAATGTATTTGCATATCTACTTAAATATCTTAGTAGAATGTTAGAGAAATTGGCAACTATGAATATTTAAAAACGATATTTTATATAGACATAGACAAGTTCATTAATGACACAAACCGGATCTCTGTAAACATAATAGATTTGGAGAAATAAAATAAAAACGTGTGTGGAGTTTTTATTTATTTAATCCTATTGGAGGCGTTAAATCTAAAAGTTATTGATATGATTTTGAAGAACAATAGCTTTCCAATTGTTACAGTAGCACGGAGTAAGAAGAAAATCCTGAAGTGTTATGAATCTTTTAGTGAACGGCAGGAGAAAAAATTATAATGAAAAACGAAATGATTACAATGATAAAGAGCTCAACACAGCACTATCTTTATATATAATATAAAGTATAGTATTTTGCAGAGTAGATTTCTTTGCCGTTTCTCAAGAGGATTTTGATGAATGAGGAAATTTTATGGAGAAGTGAAAAGTTGTAGTCATATTCACCCTGAAATTTCAGGAAAAAATGTCATCAATAAAAAGAAACTTTATTATTCGTGAATAACTCAAAAATATACCCATTTCACCCATGAATAATTGAAAAATGACTAATTTTCTTAAAAACAAAAAAGATCATCGAAATCGGACCATTATTAGAAAAGATAACGGCTATAGTTAAGTAAACATGTTCCAGTTAATTGTTATAAATGAACTAATGTGATTTTACTGAGAAAAAGAAAATTATTTCCTCTATCTCATAAGACAATGCATTAACTTATTTCTAAATTATATTGTCAATTATTTCCTGACCATTAAACTGTGCGATAATTCATACAAACCAATAGTCCGTGGTATAGACCCCTTTTTATTAAATTATTAACATTCGCCTGAAACTTCGTAAATAGTTTCATCACATTGTTACCTACAATTAATATATTTACCAAAACTCTTGGAATTGGGATGTTTTCAATCTGACCAACAAACTTTGTTTATTTAATTAGGTACTAAAAACTCTTAAATACTCATTAGCTTTAGATCGTAAGATAATTTTATCACAAAATCAAGAAAATAGGCGAACTACAAAAATATTGGGCCGTTTGGCCTATATAACTTCGTTATTTTGACAATTTACGGGAGTAGGTAACGCCAAATGGTTCAATAGTATTGAAGGCCACCTTTATTCTCGACTTTGTGCTCATATCATCTTACAATCCAAGTTGAAAGTAAATGGATAGACAAAGTTTGATGGAATCCAGAATGAAAACGTCCCAATTCCTAAAATTTTTGGAAACAAGATATTTGTAGGTTACAATGCAATGAAGCTATTTACGAAGTTTTAGGCGTATATTAATAATTTGATAAAAAAGGGGTCTATACCATGGACTACAACTAGCAAGTGTATAAAACTACTCATCTTTGAAATTTGAAATAAAACTTATTAAAAACCTTATATATTAATTTTTCAGTTATAATACATTTCTGAAATACTAGAGATTCACAAAAAAATAAAAATTACATTTTATTTAGTTCGTATAAGAAAAGAAGTCCTTTCTTGAAATTGGCATATTTGCATAGAATAAGTGCCTGGAGTTTGTCGACAGGAGAATCTTGAGATTCGAGAAGATGCATAATTTTTTGTTCAAGCTTTGGGTCATTTTGATTTCCCCATATTTGCAAGTAATGTTCCAATAAAGTGGTATAAACCTGAGGACTCCATTTCATAGGTGTCTAGAAAAATAAAATAAAATATGAAAATAGACTAATTAGATGAAGTTAAGATCATTAATAATTTATATTCTTAGTATACAGGGTCTCCCGTAAGTAGGAGAAAATATTAAAAGATTGATAGTAGACATCAAGATCTACAAAAAAGTTCATATAAACCATTGCCCAATTTTCAGCAGAAAAATAGGAAATTTAATATTGGTTTTTTTTTAAGCGAGTCACATTTCTTGATTAATAGGTAGCGATAATTTCAAAAATATTTGATTTGAAGCTTTGTAACAGTTAATTGTATTCATTTTTGCTGAAATCATGGGTGCTTTTAGCTGACAGGATAGGAATTGTCCGTGAATCCATATGACCCAAGTTTCGTGAATGGGGCAGTGGTGGGGAGAGGTTGAATGGGGAATAGGGTTCTTTAGGGAGTTCTGTATAAGAACTCTTGTGGTGCTTAAAACAGCTTACGGAGATGACGCCCATTTAAGAATTTTATTTCATGTCAGGCCTTTCTCTATTTACAAAAATTACATTTTTTATTAAATTAACACAGTTTGTAATACAATTTAAATATATTTAAATTTAAAATTAAATATGAAACAAACAATAACAATTAATAAAATATTTTTACCTGAATAAGATGTTCCAAGAAATCAACTAACTTTTCTGAATTATTTAAAAAGTAATGAATAAAATCTTCAGGAGAGGATCGTTGCACTTGTTTTGGGTAACCGTCCAACATACTCTGAAAATCGAACAAATATAAACATCATTTGTTAGTAAAATTAAAAAAATATATACAAACACTTGTCTCAGATAGTTCATAACTAATCTATAAGGTATAATCTGGTGCACGCATCACACGACTTTCATTTACCACCCTGTTCTTAGCAGAAATAAGCATTTTCAGGCAAAGGGGAAGTGAAAGTAAAAATTATAGACGTTATACTTAATTACATTTTATTGTGGGTATTTATATTTGTTTAATTATGCTTATATATACAAATTTTAATTTTTATATTGCAGTAATCTATACGGTTAAATATTAAATAATACCAACAATAGCATTTACGAAATCTGCATAGATATATGTACATAATATTGTCGGAGTCCGTATGATATTAAGCTCATGTTACATATAGAAACCTGTTATATTCTTTCGAGCGAGCTCAGGTACACTCTTATTCCTTTGGTTCTTCCATTTCAACCATTATCTGTTATGACCTTTTATTTCTCCTTTAGTTAATTATCAAATTCTTTCATATTTTATATTTAATAATTTTTTATATTAAAAATTAATGTTAAATGGTTAATTATTTCAAATAAAAAAATTGAAAGGTACTTTAAAAGAAGCTAACATTGAAAATTAGACATTTAAGCCCTGTTAGAGAACATCAATGAGAAGAAAACCTACATTATTTTAAAATCTGCTTAATAATAAACTGATATACTGAGATTAATCAAAATCGTTAGCGCCCTTTTTGAGAAAAATGTGTTAAATTGACTATATAAACTGCCACTTCTGGTAGGTTGATTTTGACGAAAAAGTTGCTGTAACATCCAAGGTATATAAAAACCTTAAATATGAAATTTCACTTTGACTTTTGGCTTTTGAGCTAGACTGGTCACACACAGAGACCATTTTGCGGGACATAGTTATTTACACTCAGGAGACCACAAAACATGTAATTCCGTTGAAAATTCAATACTTACCCTTACTTACTATACATAGCATATATAGGTAATTGAAAGTAAAATATATACAAAACCTTGTTTCAGATAATTTATAACTAATCTATCTAAGTGAATCGAAACAACCAGTTCAATGGGATGTGTTCTGTGAAATTGACTAAAAATAAGCCTTTGGCTTTGATATTTCTAAAGAATTTTTATCATTGTGTACTCTATATTCTCTGCTTCTGAACCAGCTAATATTAAAAAATAAAAACGTAAGTAAAGTATTAATCAAACCTGAATAACAAGTGGCTCTTCACTTGGATGATAGTCAGTGCATATCTTTTTCAAGAAATGAGTTGTTTCCTCTGGAATGTTTTCAAGGAGTGTAATTCCATACTTTTTTATCATTACCTCAGCCTAAAAAGGAAAATCATATTATTCAGGGTCCCTCTATATTAAATCAGAGGTCTCCACACACTTCACGAAAGAAAAAAATCGGTACTTCTCTCTTAGCGGGTAGAGTCCGACTGCTATCTGCCAATGTTTATAACCTTAACACTGATAAGCTCTTCGTATTCGTATATATTGTATTATATTCATTTTATTATGTGTTCGTATTCATATTGATTGTATTGTATTGATATTATTGAAATTGTGAACAAAAACAGAAAGAAATGTAATAATAAATGCTTTTATTTCACAACGTATATTTAAAAATACTTTTATTTCACAAGGTATATATTAAAATATACCAAAACATAAATATATTGAAAAACATAAATATATACCAAAACATATATATCGTAAAAACATAAATATATACCAAAACATAAATATATAATTAAAAAACATTACGAAAACATTGCAACATATATACAAAAATAAATGAAATAATAAAAATAGGCCAAAAATAGACAAAACAAAACAACACAACACAACACAATTCCAGTTGAAACAAAACAACACAATATTAACAAAAGAACACAATATAATACTAAACAACACAATAACTTAAAGAATACTAAAGAACAACTAAACTAAAGAACAAGAAAAACTAAAGAACACAATAACTTGAGAAACGAGATTGGGTCGATAAGGGAGGTTATCTGAAACGAGATGGTTATCTGAAACGAGATTAGATAAGAAGGAAGGTTTCGACTCTACCCACTAAGAGAGAAGTACCAAAAAATCAATTACATGGTGAAATTTAGTAAATCACTCACATACAAGGTAACTTCAACATTCATTGTGCGAGTTATTTCTCTTAGAAAGCTCATTTCACAACTCAAGTGTCATTTATAGAATGAGCTTGTTTTTTTTTTCATTATAAGTCATGGACCGGGAGACTTAACGAAAGTCTCAATGCGACACGCTGGGCTTATTGGAGGTCTAAATGTGGGCCAAAAAGTTAGAAGACCCCTGTATTAAATAATAAAAACTTATGAGTTAAGCTTATACATTGCATTTGTTTTTAGTTAAATATTTGTAGCTATTTATTTAAATGGACCAAGAATTTGGTTTGGTGATTTTATTTCCAACCTGGATAAATACTTACAAAATTATAATGAAAATGTAAATGACTTTTTTTTTTTTTTTTGGACATGTTGACTCCATTTGCATAGACTGGGATATTTAAGGATCACCCACAAAATAAAGTTCTTGGGGGAGTCCATAAAATAAAGATAAATTGTAAAAGACTTCCAAGGGAGTCTTTTAAATCCCCGCTTACACTCCCTGGCCCGAGAAAACCCCTCCCCCCTATAGCCGGCAAGGAAGGGAAGGACCTAAAAAAAAAAAAAAAAAAAAAAATGTACTACAATTGGTTGTGGGCGGGGTGGCCAAATGGGTTAACGTGTGTGCTGTTGCCTGGTAACCTGATCTATGATACAATGGATTTAAAATAGTCACGAGTTCATGTCCGGGTGCCAGGGAAGTCTTTTAAATCCCCGCCCACACCCCCTGGACCAGGAAAACCCCGTATAGCCTTAAAGGAGAGGAAGGGGAGGACCCAAAAAAAAATTCATGAAAAATTGTCAATGATAACTAGGATTCATTTGGTAAATAAACGACTAAAATTGGTTTCCTCAATTTTCAAAATTTTGGGGACGGGGTGGCCGAATGGGCTAAAGCATCTGCACCGCACCGCGAGTTGCCTGGCAACCGGATAACAGATTTCTAGAAGATTGAAAAGTATGAGTTCGCATCTCGGTGCCGGAGGGGATTTTAAATTTCCCGCCCTCACCCTTCGGCCCAGGAAAATCCCGCATAGCCTAAAGGGCGAGGTAAAAAAAAAAAATTCAAAATTTTGTAAGTGTTCATTCAGAGCAGTAAATTTCTCTCTCATTGATGAAAAAATACCTGTCTGTGTCTGTGATGTCGATTCCTATACTTTCAATCCAAGTAATTTTTAATTAATTAATAATTAAGTTAATAATTCACTAAGTAATATAATTAGTTACTTTTTCAAAATCAAGTTTAGCAATGTAATCAAGAGCAGCTTGGTACTTCTTTTGATCCTCGATTTGAATTGTTAAATACCAATCATGTAAGGAATGTTTTTCAGCAAGTAAAAGAGCATCTTCAGCCGAAACGTGTCGACAAACATCGATAGCAACTTCTACATCGAAGTCTACCTCACGATCTTTCGTCTGAAAAATAATAAATTAATAATAATAATAAATCAGTTAATAGTCATATATTAGTTTAAAACAAACAAGAGTATACATTTTTTTACCATAATAAACTCTTTTAAAAGTTCTGGTTTGTTGAGTTTAGTATAAAAATTCAACAGCAATGTTGTATGGCCACCAGTTGCAGCTCCCTCTTTATGAAGAGCTTGTAAATAAGTTGTCAAATTTTCAACTTGCTGAGAACCTAAATACTGGAAATTAAGATAATAGTCAAACACTATTACAATTATTCAAACAATATAGTGATACAATTTTTTATATACTCAATTAATATATAACAAAATCATTGCTTAAAAGAAAAACTTACTTTTCTAATAACGTATGACGGTTCCAATTTTCCTATTGTTTTAATATACTGATTAATGGCTCCTTTATGATCACCTTTACTGTAGAGGTGGTCGCCATACTGTCGGAATATTTCCATTAAACCATCAGCGTCATATTGTTGATTTTTAGCTATTCTGGAATATAAGCAATTTATAAAATATATTGTGGAATAAACTGCTATTAAAAAATTAAAAAGCACAAATATGATCTTATAATTTATATATTTTATTGTTATATTAAAAATAAAATAGATGAATTTGAAAAAAACAAACTCCTTTTTATAAAATTATTAACAGCTAACTTAAACTTCTTGAATAGCTTCCTCTCGTCGTAACCTATAATATTTTATTTACGAAAATTCTTGGAATTGTGTCTTCACTGTGGAGATCGACAAACTTTGTTTATTTAATTAGATATTAAAAACTCATGAACACCCATTTGTTTTCCACTTGAATCGTAAGATAATTTTGTCACAAAATCGAGAAAAAAAGTGGCCTACAAAAATATTGGGCCGTCTGGCATGACCTCTATCTCCAACATGTCCAAATAACTAGGTTATTTAGACTAAACGGCCTAATATTTTTTTAGGCCACCTTTTTGTTTGATTTTGTGATAAAATCATCTAAGTGGAAAGCAAATGGTTTTGCATGAGTTTTTAGTACCTCATTGAATTATTTAATTTAATGAGAAAACGCCCTACTTATGAAAAGTTTTGTAGATAAAAAATTTGTAGGTTACAATAAGATTATATTATTGGATACAACAAAATGAAAAACTGAATTTTCATGCATTCCATTACATATAAAACATTTCTTACCTAATTGCTAAATCATAAAGATTCTTTTTAAAAAGAAGGGACAATTTTGACTGAAGATCCTTCTCTTCGACTAGAGCTACTGTCTTATCAGTCGCTAAAATATAAAATGAACCCCATTCAACTAATAAAGAAGATACATCTTGCACCGGTGAAGTAAAAACTGTTAAGCTGTTGTCTTGGCTATCCAATACGGTCAACTCATGAGTATACTTATTGGAACCCCTAAAAAAAAAATTTGAAGTTTGATAAATCAATATTAAAAAAATTAACGTCAATTCATCAATATTAATGAACATCAATTATGTCTTTACCCTAATGATTTCACAGAAGAAATGCGAGATGAAGAAGACTTATTATCTTTTGCAACTATCACTAAATAGCCTCGAAACCACTCGAGTTGAACTTTCTCTCCATAGAGGGCATAGCAAGGCCCTTTATCTCCGTTGGTATAACAGTACACAGCCTTAAAAAAAAAATAATAAATAATAAAGATCATAAATACACTCCCAATGTAATAATGAATGAAATTAGGTGAAATGATAGAATTCCTGAAGAGTTATTTCAGAAAGAAACTGAGAATCTACATAAAGAATGGAACATTATACTCGCCATATAGGTCGAAAAGAAAATACCGAAGCAATGGATGAAGGGTATTATATATACCCTATTCGTCATACTTCAGAGACATACTTCAGTGTGCTTAGTATCACCAATTCAGAGTGCATATAAATTAATGTATAATATGCTTTACTAGAAGCTTGTACCATAAGCAGAAAGAGATATAAGAGACTATCAGGCAGATTTTCGAATCAAATTTTAGTTTAAAATGTATTTTATTAGCTTTTATAAATGCATGTTTATAACGTAGTGCTCAAAGAAGTTTAAGAATATCATGTAAAGCAACTATATATGTCATGGTACAGCGGATTCAGGCCACTTCCTCAGTCCCCACCACATCTCTCAGACGCACTGTTATTTAAATTTTATGACTAAACATGAACTTTTTTTATTATTTAATCACAATCTTATATACTTTCTTTATCACTTGAATTCTATTGCAGCTCAAATTTAAGCGATTTTTTTTTCATGGTAGTAACCCATTAAAAATATTTAATAAATCAGAAACTAAAAGGAGGTTCATTCTTACATCATTCTTAGCAACAAAGAAGTGGCCATCTTGTCCGAGTTCTACAAACACTGAACACCTTATTGAGCAACCATCCTTATCGAGATGTGTCTGAAACAGCGAAATAAAACAAAAATAGAGTAACTATTCTAAGTATTTTGGTAATAAGAATTGTTATTATCTTCATGATTAAGAATATAAAAAATAACTTACACGCTTTTCCTTATCTTTGTACGTCACATCAAACATTTCAATACTATTCACAGTTGCAACATATAAAAGAGTGGTCTTGGCGGAAGTGTGAAAAGCTAAGCCTGTAATGCTAGAGAGGTCATCTTTCAATAGCTTCTGTTTGCTCGTCCTTTCCCTTTTGACATCACCTACGAGAAGAGAGAAGATTATACTATTAGAAACATGTATTTTTGGGGGGAGGGGTAAAAATTAATCCTTTAATTAAAGCAAGTGATAAAAAAACATGTCACTCAGAATATAGGCCATCACTAGCCACTATTTTCTTCCATCTATTTGGCATCATAAGAATTCGGAATTATCATCAGAAAAACAATGCGTCTTTTAAGTTTATCTAAGATCTACCCATTTTTTGGTAGCTTCATTAGAATGGAAGCACTGCTCAGCCAAGCCATATACCCTCAAACAAAATAAGTGATAATCGGAAGGTTTTTACCATTTCTGCAACATGTGGCCAAACGTTGAGTAATAAAAACACATTTTCATGTCTCTGCTCGTATAGCAGCTGTTTTTCCTGGCCTGGCTTAAACGCATCAATTATAGTCAATAGCGATCTCCCATGATAGTTTTATTCGGTTTGATCAGCTCATAATAAACTTATTGAACAAATTTTATTCAAGATCATAATACAATTTTTAAAATCACAAATTTTAGTAAAGTTCTACTTTTAAAAATAAGTTTATATTTTGTACAACACTCCTCAACAACTAAATGAGAAAACAATTATAACATAATTTTAACTTAACATAATATAATTGCAACTTAAGTGATGTAGGAATTAAGATTTATTCTTGTTAATTTAGTCTATATTAAGTTAATTATTGATATAAAGTTCCTAGATTTACTTATTTTGTTATGAGTTGCCTTAGTTAAAATATAACATTACATCCACTGTTTTTTTTAGTTGTCTAGTGTTCAGTCAGCTGTATCATATCCACCATTTTTCCAAACTCTAACCAGGTTTACTCTCAGCGTACAAATAAGGACACTACTACTGTCACATTTTCATGAAAATACTGACACAACAGAAGCTATCATCATGGATATGAGGATTTGAACCTCTTTGCCTTCATACTAGTTTGTTCGGACTTGACTGTTTTCTGAGATGATTCTATAATATGTTCTGTATCATCTACCATACGTTCCTTCTTAGCCCGCTCCGTCACCTATTGGAATTCTTTGCCATATAACATCCGTCATGCCTCTTCACTGTCAACCTTCAAATACCTCCTTTTCCAATATCTCCTCACATCCCAAACAGACAATTCGCAACCATAAATTTCATTTTATGAACTGAATTTGTGAGAAGTAACTGGTGGTGCTTACAGTTTAAGTCTTAACATAAGCAATGATTTTTTACTATTATTTTTACTATTTATTTGTATTTCTCTTCACCTCAGGTTGTGCTTTTTCTTTCATGTATATATAAGTTTATATTTTATACTTTTTTGTCTCACTGTGTAGCAATATGAGTAAGTACGTATATATAGTTCCTTTTTTACCTTTATACCACAATTAATCCTGAGATTTTATTTTATCTTAGAGTTTGCTTATTATTTTATGAATATTATTACATTTTGTATTAAATTATGTTTCTATTAGATAGCTATTATTGTGCAGTTATGTATATATATATATATGTAATTTCTTTTCTGTCTTTTTTTTTTTATATCATAATAATAAGTAAATTTGGAGAAGATTGTATGTTCATTTATGTAAGTATGTATGTGTATGTATATATATGTGCGTGTGTTTATATATGTGTATATATATTTTTTTTTTTGTTTATTTCTCAGTGGTTACATACTACTTTTTAAATAATGTATATTACGTTAGAATTTTTTTAAGTTAGTTTTTGGCCAGATTGGTATTTTATTTTGTATTAATTCATCTTTGTTATTCTAAGGGGACTTAGTCCCAGAATAAAGTTCTATTTTCTATTCTATTCTATTCTATTCTACCATAAATCCGTAACAGCAGAGCACTCTATTATAATGACCAATAATTTTCTTTAATAATTGTTTATTTAATAATTAAAATAAAACAAAGTAGAGTAGCTCAGTGAGTTAGACACTGGGCTGCTAAGCTAAACATCCGGGGCTCAAGTCTGGCTGATAACAGGTAATTATTCTGTATCATCAGCCATGAATCAAGCCTGGGATCATAAGATTCTCCTGTGGCAAACCCAGTCTCTATAAAGTTGGTACTCTTAATTAAATAATTGTTTAAGAGGAAAAATCTGGTGGTTGACTGTGATCCTGGCTTGATTACCTCCTCCTTGCACAAGTTTTGGCCTTGAAACAGTATTTTTTAACTAAGTACTGAACTCAAAACCCTTCATGGGTTGTAGTGGTACAGGTTTTTTCTTTTTTTTCTAAGTAAAATTAAACCGTAATCTAAAAATATACTAAGAAAAAATAATAATACCAAATAAATGTAAAATTTTAACCTCGGTAAAGAAGAATAGAACCATCGGGAAACCCAACCGCCATGAAATTCAGGCTATCTGTGATCGCTATGCATGAAGGATGAAAATCTGCTTTGTATGGAATTGATGCACGGCTTATTCTTAAACATACTGGAATGCCATTTTTATCAAATTTTTCAATATGCCACAATTTAAGAACTGGATTAATACCACTCTCATCTTCCTAAAAATACAATTAAGATAAATTCATTAATGAACAATATATATCCCATTACAAAGATATTATGTATCTTTCAACAAGATATTTAAAATAAAATCTATAATACTTTTTTTTTTAAGTGACTTAACTAGTGACCATAAAAGCATCATCTTCCAGCCCAAATAGTAGCACAACTCAAAAAAAAAAATTTAAAAATACTTATATTAAACATCATGTGCAGTAATAATGGACTAGAAAATCAAAATTACAAACATTTCGACGGAGGTGTTCATAATAATAAAAAAAAGTTCTTAATGTTAATAATATTTTAAGTTAAATGCAGAACGAAAATATGTGACATACCCCAATCGTAACTAAATACGGTGACAGCTTACATTGTTCAGCTAATGAAATGTTTAGTTCATAAGCACGGAATGTTTTTATATCAAAATTTTTAGAGATCAGGTGAACATTACCAGATGAATCTCCAATTACGAGAAAACCATATCCATGGGTTGTTGTGGTTACATGAGCTTCCTAATTTAACATAATAAGAAAACAGTGTTAATATTAATTTCAAAATGTTTCATTAATATTATTTTGTAGATAATTATTATATCAATATTTATACATATTTCATTCTAATAAATGTTATCTCCAGACCTTTTGCTACCATTGCCTCTACTTCAGTGGTTCCTAACTGGTAGTCTGTGGGAGCTTCAGGATTGGTCCAGGAGCACATATTTCATAGGGGAATTTTTATTAAAACTGTTTTATTGTTTACTTTTAGTTAAAATGTTCGTGAAAAAAATTGAAATAAAACTACTACAAAACAACCTCAAAATAAACTTTTAAGCATCTTAATTTAACTTCTCTGTAGGAGACACCATCCTTATTCCACAAGAGAGGATTGAGAATGGTCTGCATATGATTTAATTTATGCCATAGATACTTACAAACTTGTATGGGTTGGGAACCACTGGTCTTAATATAAATAATATTGTGATATTCAATACTCCCTCCTACTTGGTCCACTTTTTTAATTCTTTTGATAGGTCCTGCCTATCAGAGGTCATGATGGCAGAGTGTAAACTTTAATATTCTTGAGTCTAGCAATGCCAGTTCTGATGAGGCCTGAGTGGGTTGAATTTTGTTTCGTAGAGGATCCATGGAATGTATCTCAACCTCTAACCTCCTCCCCCCATAAGTCAGAAATGGTGGGATAGAAGTTTTCGAAAAAATAAAAAAAGTCTTACCTATCAATACACAATTCAAAATTTGGAAACAATATTCAAATTTATAATAGGAATAATAATTATTGCATTAATGAACATATATTTGAAATTATTAGTATTTTTCAGTCGTTTGAAAATAAAAAAATCGAGAATAATCTTAATTAACATCAAAACTTTATGAAATTACTGAAGAACAGGTCTAGTTAATAGATGAGTAAGATTATATTGATCACAATGTAATTACAATTCTGAAAGCAAACGATTGAAAATAAAAGTATATGGAGAAGACTGATCTTCATTAAGGCCTCGATCTTAACTGGAAAGGACCAGTAGGGAGGTTGATTATCCTATGAACATGAATGAATGAATGAAAAAATAATTTTATTCTGGGACTACAGTTTCCTAAGAATAACAGAGTTACATAATTAAGAACATTAGTCTGGCTTAGATGAATACAAAATGATGCCTCATTAATTGTGTACAGATGATAGTAAATTTTACATATTAGCAGAAATTTGAGTATGAATTAGGTGGAGGAACAGGAGTTGTTTTAAGGAATTTGTGGAGGAGAATTGACATATGGTGTTAGCTAGAGAGCTACAAAAGGAGGTAGCATGAATGACGAATGATTCACTGAAGGAAGTAGTTTTAATGGTTCTGATGAACATAGCTGTCAACATTGAGATAATTTCAAAATTCCATTTACTATGTGATTGAAGATATCCTGAACCAACTGTCAACCAGCCATAAAATATGTAACCCTTATCACGAAATGTTTATGTAAGAACAGGAATGATTTAGAAGTTTGTAAATAACTGGAGCATTTTTATTTAGCAGTATTTTCAGGGTTTTTTCTCAATTCTTATCCCACTACAAAGCTACTGGAAAATAAAAAAACAACTGATTAATTGATAAAAATCAGTAATTCTCAATAATAACTTACTCCTAATGCTTCAGAAACTCTTCCAGAATCAGCATTTTCATTTAAATCGAAGAAGTTCAATCGACGACGCTGACAATAAAAAAAGAAAAATAATTAATTTAAGCCATGAAAGAGATACCTCACAAGTTTTCTCAAATTACCTCCAAAAACGCCATTCGTAAAATGAAATATTAGTTTTACAAAATGGATTAAATATAACTAATGAATACAGCATGCAGTATAATATAAACTAAAAAAATAGTTTATAACTTTTTGTTTTTGTTTAAATAAATAAACATCCAGCTTTGATTAGAATTTGGCATGTAAACTTCGCTCTCAGGTTATAAATATTACTAGATAAAGAGAAAGCAAATAGTCAAGAACGAGCTGTTCAAACTTATGTGGCTGCAATATTGTCTTATTTTATTACGTTAAAGGTTTAATTTCTTGATCTTTGCTTGGTTTTATTTTTTAAGGTGATAGGATTTATTCGAATTATAAAATAGCTTGAAGGCTAAAGCTTTACGAACAACCTTTAGATAAGGAATTGTTCTGACCCAAGTTCATAGCTCTGAGTCAGTAACATGGACCTAAGTTGTATCCGGGTCGCCTGATAGTGAGGGTTATAGTTAGTTTTATTGTCATTTATGCTTGTTTATTAGATAGTTATCACCATGATCTTACTCGAGATCAATAATAGAATCGTAGAAGATACTCTTACCGTCAAGTTTAAGAATGCATTAGCTGGGTAAGTTGTATTACCAATGCCGGTTCATGTAATTATTAATGTGTTCCTATCCTCTAGACGTTTTTTTTATTATTTATAATTATACTTGACACTTTTAGTTTTTTAATTTGTATATTTAAATTTTTTAATGGAGTTGAATTGTGTTTTTAATCTGTAGGCACAAACAGGACTCAATAGATATAACTATAGCTGACTTTGATGGGGTTTTATTTCATATATCAAATGTTGGTGGTGAGAAATCTAAGCTGTTGGTGAGTTTTTTTAAAATACAACACTTCAAATTTTGTGGGCGATCATTTTTATAACCTTAAATTATTTAACTCGTAGGTAAGCATTTCTTTGAAGTTTTACAAACAGTTGCAAGAACACGGAGCGGATGAGTTATTGAAAAGGGAATATGGTCCCTTATTAGTTGAACCTGAAACAGGTAATTAATTCAGAATCAGAATGGTATATATACATATGTATTGCTTGAGTCTAATATATACATTTTTGTTTCAGGGTACAATGTGTCACTCCGTATAGATCTTGATAATGTACCTTCAGATTGGGAAAATGTTGTCAAGAAGATCGGATTGTTAAAAAGAAATTGTTTCGCTTCAGTATTTGAAAAGTATTTTGATTTTCAGGAAAAGGGTGATTTCAGTGAAGGGCTTAAGAGGGCTGTTATAAATTACAGGAACGAAGAGACTATGTATGTTTAAAATCTTTTAAATTATCTTTTATTCTTATATTTCAAAGGGTGTGGTATTCTATGGGTGGGGGATTAAATGAGTCATTGATATATCCTTATCTTTAGTTGATATGGATGTGTGTATAGTGTTTGTTATACCCAACAAATGCCCCAGCTTCATCATGTTGACGTTGGTGTATCTAATACCTCTTCAATTTCTGATTATTTACAATTTTTTTCATGATATCTATTGAGAAGCCATTTTTTTCTCCTACGGTGAAATCATTTTAGTTTGTAATTGTCAGTAATAATTAAATGCTGTTATTAATAATTTGAGGAATGCGGTTAAGATCAATAGTTCTTTAAATTCTATAAAAATCTCATTAGGTTTAAATTTATTGTAGAAAGTCATTGAGAGCTGAACTGTTAATGTGAACATTTTTGTGAATTACTTTCTTAGTTAATGATAAAAAAAAATCAACAATTTATCGATTATAAGTTAAACCCATCGGCACATAATATAAAGCATTGAATTGCTGAATTCCTGGAGGTGAAAAAGTATAGATGTTTCCTTGAAGTATATTGCGTAGATTCAGAAGGCTCAGCGAGATTCCTAGATACATTAGTCTTTATTGCAAAAGGGTAAGAGGCTCTGATAGTTAATCCTACAATTTGATTTGAAACCAATGATAAGGATTAAGATATCATAATACAAACAGAATAAGAGGAGATCTATTAAAAAATGTATTCCGCACCTGCAGGAAAAATATAGAGAATATTTGGTTCGGGAGTAGAGGAGCAATTCCAATTTCAACTGCTGAGTTTTTGGAAGAACTAGGCGTGGAAAGGAGCCGACTACAGATTAAAGCAGAATATATTATTTTGACTCATTAGGAATCCTTTATCGTCATTTGTATTAATTCTGGCTCCTTCATTTTGATCTTTACAGACAACTTTGAGAAGGAAGAAAGAAAACGTGGAGGGAATTATAATGATGAATAAATAAATGATAGCATTCGGTACTTTTCTTTAAATTGTGTATTATTTAGTCATTACTTCATGGATATATTTGCTATCATGTATATCTGCCTTAAAAAAATCTTGATAATTACTATTTGGAAGGAGTCTACAGTTTTATTGTATTCAATGTTACTTATAAGTTGTCCTTGCACCAACTACTGTTGTAAATATATTATAGAATTTGCTGTAAATATAGTAAGAACTTGTTGATTAATCGTTAGGTTTAGTTAATTATAGATGAATTCGACTAAGTACTTCTTGAGTTCAAACACCAATTTTTTTTATTCTTGTTTAGGTATGTAGAAGCCAAATCGGACAGAGTGACTGTTGTTTTTAGTACAATATTCAAAGATGAAGATGATGTAGTCATAGGTAAAGTGTTTATGCAGGAATTTAAAGAAGGAAGGCGTGCAAGTCATACAGCACCACAAGTTCTATTCAGTCATAAAGAGCCACCGTTAGAACTTCATAATACCGATGCCGTAGTAGGAGAGAATATTGGATATGTAACATTTGGTAAGTATCATCCAAGTACAATAGACTCCCGCTTATCCGTCATCATCGGGACCGATACATCGCCGGTTAAGTGGGTGATCTGGTTAATATGGAGGGAATTAAGTAAACAAGAATAAAACTACGATATTATTTTAACTTCTATATTGTGGAAAAATCTTTATAAAAAAAAAATTATCTTTCATTACACAACCCGTTTTCTTTTTTCAGTCATTTTATCATATTAGTTAATTGAATGAAAGGTGTGGCGTTAATGAAATAAATGAAAGATAAGGATTCTGTTTCAAGAATCAATTTTATTGTAGTAGTTGCTAACATTAAAATATTTAAATATTACGTGACTAAAATTGAAACCAGAATATATTATTATTTTAATATAAATTATTTAAATCTATAAATTATCAAAAATTATTTTATTAACAAATACAAATTTACAATTGTTTATTACAAATGTTTATTTTATACTTTATTTATGTGTTTTCTATTAATTATTTTTATTATCTAAATTTTATTGTATTTTCTTTTTTAGTTTTATTTCCTAGACACACAAACAGAGATGCGAGAGACAATACCATTAACCTCATTCACATGTTCCGAGATTATTTACATTACCATATTAAATGTTCTAAAGCCTATATACATTCCAGAATGAGAGCTAAAACTTCAGACTTCTTGAAGGTCCTTAATAGGGCCCGACCTGAACCAAAGAACGTTGAAAAGAAAACAATTACGTAAGTCCGATTTCTTACTACCATTTTAATGTTTAAGCAATAAATTAACCTAATCAATGTTTGACAATTGAAAATGTCATGAATGTAGAAGCAACATTAAGTATATAAATATTTAATGGAATTAAGAATAATGTAAATAATTATTATTTATTAAATTCACATAAATGAAATTTGATTCAGGTAGTTAAAAATGAATTGATGAATTCATACCATTCATGTACGAAATATCACTTTAATATTATTCACCATCTTTTACTATGTACTGACTGCTTCTAAACTTGTTTTCTATTTAATTATTTGTTTTTTCAGAGGTAGAACATTTATCAGGAAAGAAAGAATCGATTGATGGAGTACAACTATTATACATTTTACAACTATAGAAGGCTGTTTCCTGCCTATTCTGGTGGAAAGACATTTAAATTTAATAAAAAAAGAATTAGTATTTTGAATGTTCAGTTTGTGATTGTCAAGAGTTTCAAGGGATTGCTGAAAAAATAACCATAACAAACAATATGTTTTCTTACCTTTTATGTACTATTGAAAGGCTTGTATCACCTTTTGTGATTTGTACGGTAGTGCTGTGTTGTTTAAGACAAAATGGGCAAGTTCCTTAACTCATCGATGAAATCAGCACTGAGGATAGAAACTTGCCCAATCCTGTTTGTTTAATTTATTAGGGCAACCACCTGGCCGTTATTATAAAGAGGAATTCATCTAAGTCCTCTTACGCTGTTTCACATATGCGTCATTTGCTATTATGCTATTGAAAGCAATGGATGGATGAAACATCCACTGAATGCTGAAAATGTTTGTACATACATTATAGTTTCAAAAAATATAAAAGTTGCTGGCAATGAAATTTTCCAAAACACAAGCATTGACCATGACTTATGCAACAATGGAACGATTTGTGGTTAGTTTCTCATAAATATTATCAGCATTTATTTGTCTGTTTAATGTGAATTTACTTTAAAACTTAAAAAATATGATACATCTAAGTCAATAATTATGTACATAAAAGGTAAGACAGTTTAACATTAGCCAAAAACTTAATTTAATAGAAAGCCTTGATCGATATATTTTAATATTGTTAAATCGCTCAATAAAATGTGTAAATCATTTATGTTATATATTTATGTGTCATATATAAATTATTAAAAAAAATAATGTACCTATTGTGGTAAATTGTATATAGTAAAGTTTTATCAGTTAAATTAAATAATACATATTATTTTTATTGATTATTATAATTTTTAATCATTTATAAACAGAGACTGGATTTTTATGCATTAAACATTTTTTTTTATATTTAACCAAAAGTTTTAAAATGTACAATGAATTATTTATTATGGATTATGAAGAAAAGTTTAGAAAACGAAAATAATGCAAAATATTTCTATTCCTGAATTATATTATTTTTTGTCTGCAGATCTCTACACTTAAAACATTGTGGTGGTATTTAATACAATTTATCGTTATTCTGTTGAACTTATTAAGTAACTAATCTGTTGTTTTTTTTACTTTGCAATACTATGTATGAGAACAAACAGCAACAAATATTAAAATATCACAATGTGTTAAATAAATCTAAAATTAATAAAAATATATTTTTCAATGTTAGGATGATTAATTGTAATAGGCTAACTCACTATGTAATTGCGCATTAATCCAATCTTTGTTTATAGATTTATTTCTATGCATTGCTTACCAACCATTTTATTGTTAATTTATTGAATGTATTCATTTTTATATTTGCATAACTGTAAGAAAATCGCATATAATAATTGAGAGTTAATTTGTAAATACAGAAGCAGGAAAATGAGAAATGAAATGTTCAAAATGTCTTCTATACTATTCACTTAATAAAGTATTATTTAGAATAGTTAAGTCGTAATTACAAACGAAACGGTTTGCTGTTTCAACTTTTTCATCGCTGAAAATATTTCATGTTGCTTCCAATATGAAATGAATTACTGTTTTTAAAAAACATGTAACATGTATTTGTAAATTGATTCACTTGATTTAGTGTTTAATATTTTAAAATTTTGAGGATTTGCCCAAAATTACCTGATATTTGTAGATGCTGTCATTTGATCATAATGGCGCACGTGAAACTACGCATAATATTTCCTATTGACTGTCTTATATTGATTTGTAAGCATGATGCTACATTAAATCAATAAATTGTTTTCATTTAATAGTTTATATATATAATATATAATGATAGAACTAATATCTTCATTACATATTACTGGAGAGATACAAACAGACTCAAAGTGATTGTATTAGTAACGTTTTTGGTTTTTATATCATACGAGTTAATTTTTATTTTGTACTTTTTTTTTTGTATGAGTTATACAATTTGTATATAATTAATTTTTAAAGAGTATAACAATTTGAAGCTTATAGTAATTATTATTTTGTAAAATTGTTTAAGAGTATTGTTTATTTAATTTCAAAAGAAAGAAAAAATGTTTTTAATGGAAGAAAATTAATTTAAGTTGATATAATTTTTTTTTTTAATGTAACCCAAGTTGTTGAAAATATTAAATAAAATGTTATTAAGTTTCAAAGAGTTATTCATTTATTAATACTAGTAGGCCCATGCGAAAAATTCGCACAGCATATTGTTATCAAATGCCAAATTGATACAGAAAATAAAATAATGATACGTATCAAAAGATGAAGGAAACAAAATTAATTTAAATATTCATTTTTGTTTGGAACCAACATATTTACAAATTTCAATAAACTGTATCTTTGCGAAAAATTATCCGATTTCAATGAATTTTTTTTCCTTTTGTAGACAATTTAGTAATGTTTTATATAATTGTAGAAATAACCAAGGGAAAAGTGTGTAATTTTTTAGTTATTCGCAAATAAAGTTTCTTTTCTTTCATAACTTGTTTGCCTGAATTTTCGGGGTGATTGGACTATTTTGCCCGCCTCAAGGAGAAGGAAGCCTTTGAAATTGGTGGCTCAATCTTGAGATTTGGTGAAGAATTAACGATGATATGGCTTGCTGATCAAAAACACCATCGATAAATAATATAAACTCCTCCTGTCTCGATCATAGGGACCTCAAGTCGACGAAATGAGACATGTATCCAATGACAGTACTACAATTAACGTCAGGTTGTGTGGATGCGAACCCCATGCCTTGCGTTATCTCGAAAATAGTACGTTTTGGGGCTTAAAAACGCAGGATCCTCCGGAACTATCGGGTCTTGCTGTACGCATCAAAATCTTCAAGGTCCGATTTGTCCCGCATCAATCTACAGACCTACTACCGTTCCAGTATTGAAGCCTGGCAAAATGTTTGTATCGACTTTATTTATTTTAGAAAGAAAAACAAAAGTGGAGAATACGATTCGCTAACCCCCCATGAAATTCTGAATCCAACGTATTTGAGCATGACAGGAGCTTATATTTGGTTCATAACCGATTTCGATAATATATCTGGGTATTGATCATTATTTATGGGTATTTTGATCATGATTGTGGGATAGTGTTACGTCCCATATCCAGACACCATTGGCTATTGCTATACCAATGGCTGTGGAAATGTTGATTAAAATCAGCTTATAACAATAAAAACATTAAGTCCCAAATTTTACTGATGTATATTTGTGAATATAATTAGCATTAAAGAAAAGTAGAGGAGAAACACTGCATCATCCACCAGCGCCTAGCGCATTCTGCTGATTATTTTATACTTTTTAGCTTATAATAGTATTTTCAGCTTCAAAACTTTTTTCTTTATCTCAGGTATTTATGAATAAAAATATTTATTTTATAAAATAGAATAATAGGGTTTGGCAGTAGTGTATGTCACACTACAGTGGACTTAAACTTAATTCAAGTTAAGTTAAATATGCAGTTTTTTTTATTATTTAAAAATGAAGTCTCGATCTTACATAGATTCTTTATCACTTGAATTCTAATGCAGATAAAATCTACATGATTTTTCCAGACGAGTGCCGAATTCAAGAAGTAAAAAAAAAAAAAGTGTATACATATATGTTAAAATATCATCGATTGATATGATCTTATTTTTCCTAAATTTGCAAAGCGTAGATGGGTTAGCTTGTTTTTATCTACATTTTAGAGACACAAAGCTGCATGGTTCTAGTTTTATCAATTATAACCTAACATCTATTTTCTCTTTGTTTTGTTTTTTTAATTTTACTAAAGGTTTTACAAGTAATGTAAGTTTATCTCAAAAACGGTACATTTTTAAGCATTTAAATGCAAGGCAAGATAGTTCTTTGGGAATTATCCTGGTTTTGATGATTGAGTTAAAATCTTTAAAACACAATTTACCCCATCTTGATAGTAAAAGGGATCTATAATGCCACATTATACAATACAGTATAGATTCTGTATGACCAAATCTAAAATAAATACTACTTAAAATAAAAACATTTTATTGATAAATTATATTTAATAATTTATTTTTAACAGAATTCTTTAAAAAAATTAATATTGTATAAAAACTACAATAACAAAAGTAATTTTAAATCGCAAAACAACTTCATATTCATTGCCTTTTATATGTGGAATTTGTTATTGTGAGCAAATGAACAGGAAATGGTAGTATATATGATTTGTTTTCAATAATTTACAAAATAAACAATATTTACAAAAATGAACCTTTGAAAACTTTCATCCAGAGAGAAGATTCCTGAAAAAAAATAAAATAAATAAATAAAATATTAATTTAAATAGATACTTTTATTTAGCTTAATAATTGAAAATAATTACTTCAAGATAAGTATATCCCTAATCTGATTAGACACTGAACTTCCCCAGAAGTTCCCATCTAAGCCACTTTTTAAGCCTTCGACCATTTCTGCATCCCAGTCCTTGACCCAGTACAACAACTGGGCTACTTTCAAATTCCCATTTTCATCAGACGAGCCATCAATTTTTAAAATAGCTAAGTTATCTAAAAAATAATAATTATTATTGCATGAATGACAAATAATTAGGATTAGCAATATTTATAAGGTTAATTAGGCTTGCAAAGGTTGCTATAATAAAAAGTAGCCATTGGTAATTGTTAAACTACTTATATTTATATCAAGGTACTATATCAGTGATACTGCCCACGGCAGCGACTGCTGGCAGTCTAAGTATGACGACATATCTATACTGATCCTCTCTGACTACTTCTGAAGCAGTGAAGCTGTTGCCAGCACAGCAGTTAGAGGCTACGTTATCATATCAGAGTATTGTTTTGATAACATTCACCTTGATACATTTCATTTCCTTTTTTTTTTTTCATCAAGTCAGACAAAATTAAATGAAATATTGTTTAAAATTTGAACAAAGCTATAATAAATCATTTTTTAAAGGTTAAAGTAACAAGATCATTTATTCCACCAAAAGTATTTTATAGAGAAATTCAAATATATCAAGATCCAAATACAATTGACATTAAATAATAAAAGAAAAAAACTTTAGGTAAATACTCAAATCCATACATTGAAAAATCAATTTGTATTTTTTAATTAAAGTGCTGATTTACTGATTACCTATTGATAAAACAGCAAAATATTGCCTACTGTGATTTCATAACAAATATATATTTATTACTAATCAATTATATAATAATTACTGGTACTTATCAAACTAATAATTAGTAATAAATTTAAAATCGGAGATAAATCCTCAGTTCTTAAAATAAAGCTTTATCATTTTGAAGAAGGTGAGAATTAATATGTGGATAATTGTACAGACATAGACTAACCTTGTTATTCAACTTTAACTACCAGAAAAAATGGCATGTATTAATTAAATAAGATCGAAAATCCGTCATCAAATCTATTGCTATCCTTCCGATACAAATAAAAACCATTAAATTTAAGGCTAACATTTTTATTTAAAATTATGTCAAACTAGGATGCTAAATTCAGAAGATTTGGCTGCGACGGTGAGCAGTTTCAGCGAAATAGACAAGCATTAGTAGTTAGCAGTATGGAATAGCGGTTGCTGCTGTGAGCAGTGTCAGCGAAATAGTACCTTTAGTTATTTTTTATTTCTATTATTTTGAATCCATCTGTTACAACAGTTACTTATTAATATTATTTTTAGTTAATAAATCATATCCTATAATATTGTCAATTAATCATGAAGTTAATCTATATCTTAGGAAAAGACTGAAGATGTAAAAGATAATGACATAATTATTAACTCAATTTCTAATTAATAAATTACCTAATATAACTTCGATCAGGCCATCTAAAGATGTAGAAAAAGCAGAAAAATTTCTTCTAGCAATATCATATATCATGTCCAAAACTTTGGATGAAATCGATGGCTTTGTTAGTTTTACTGGTAAAGAATCCAACCATGATATAACATTTACGTCACTGAAAAAAGAATTAAAAAAATCATAGTCAAACATTATAAGCTACACATAGACATACTAATCTATATAAATAATATATTATAATAATATAAAGAAGTAAAAGAAAAGCTGATATTATTCTCATCGTCATGAAACTTCAAATACTGGATTTAGGACAATCGATACTGGATAAATGAATTTATGTACCATATATTTATAAGATTGATTAGTCAAAATTTATTTTACTTACTTGTGTAGATGAGATAAATTATCATCGACTGCTATGTTATACATTGCTTTGAAAGCTAAGGATGACAAATGATTATTTTTACTGTTACTTAGTCCTTGTAAAGCGGCCAGAAAATCTTGACTATCATCACTGCAACTACTGCAGATTTCATAGAAACAAGAGATCAGGTGAGAACATTCTTCGACAGTAAATGTTTCAGACATTCTCAGGCAACCTTTAAAAAAAAATATACATGTATACATACATTTTTAAAAAATAGAACCACATTTTAATTTAAAATATTCAAATAAAAAAGAATATTTCTGATCTTCACAAAGACCAAACTTATTCTTCATCGAAATTCGAAGTCGAAATTCATTCCATGGGTCTGCCACAAAATAAATTTCGACCTCCTCAGGCCGGATTCGAACCAGCATTGGTAGACATGAGAATATTAAAGTTTACGCTTTAACAAGCTCAGTCATCACGACCTCAGATTTTATCATACTTAGAAACCTTCAAACATTATAATGTTTTTTTTTTTATTATTATTAAACAATTACCCATTCTAAGTAGCTCTTCTTTTTTATGATAATTACATTTGATAATTTTTCTAAATGTGGCTTTTGGTGCGATAATAAAAATTTTCTTCTAAAAAAAAAATACAACAAACAGAGGTTCAACAGTGTAATGATAATTATGTATAGGCATAACCAGGCGTGCTTATTTTAGCAGGGCAGTCCCGATTTTTAACAATTTGTCCCATGTCGTTTTGAAAAAGTCCCGATTTTCGGAAAGAATGCATGACAAGGTAGGGAACGGGAAGAGAATACACGGTTTTTGGCGGCCATGTAGCTATTATGTTATTTTTGTGAATTTTAAACTTTAATAATAAATACTTATTAATAAATTGTTAAGAACTGATTATCAAGAACTGCTTAGTAAATTTGCATAGTTGATCAGTTGTTAAAATTTGGCTCACCAATATTTAGACTTAATGATAATGAACAACTAGAAAATGATCTTTTTAATGAGGCATCGTTAATAAAAATATATAAAGAAAAGGTTAAATCTTAGGCATCAGCAATTTAATTTCATTTACTACTTCGATTACCGAAATGTTGTCACCTTCAATAAGTTTATAGCATTTTGAAAAAGAGGTACTTGAATGCGTACAAACAGCTGGCACAAAACATCTAAGTCTTAAAAACTGTGTTATAATTTAAGTCATAAATTAGATATCAAATACATCACCAAGTTATTCTTTTCCAAAAATAAGCCTTTAGAACTAAATTATCAACTTTATTTCAGCTGAATTCTATGTCACTTGATTAAAATTTGCACAAGATTATCATTATGTAAAATTAATTATTGTAATAAAAAATTTGAACTATTGTTTGAACTTAATGAGTGAACCAAATTTTAATCAAGATCTCCTCCATCCCCTATGGTCAATGGTGTCCCACTTTACCAACTAATCTCACCCCTCTTGGCCAATGTTAAAATCTGGTCACCTAAGGCACAACCATAATCAACAATTACGATAACAATAATTTATAGAACATGATTACGATTGTAATCAAGTAATCGTGTAACATTTTTGCTATATTTATAGTGCTATGGTATCAAATAAAATTGGCGTGGTCATTAAGCTTTATTTTCAGTTTTAGTTTTAAGGGTGGGATAGAGGAGGGCTTTTATGGCCATATACTGCTAGATTATTACACCCAGTTTTATTCATGTAACCATTGATTCCAATTTCGCACATCTCTGGGTATAGGTATAACGACCTATGTGACGACGACGTGGCACCTACACATAGTATATTAATTACAAAAATGCAATTGAAAGTTTGAAATATTCAGATGCAAGTTCAATTTTCAAATTATGTGTATATAAGTCAAATATATACACATAATATAAGTCAAATATATATAAGTATATATATAAGTCAAATTTTTAAAATTATCAATTTTCAACCCATGATTCACAAAGGAATATTTATCTCTGTAATAGCAGCAGAACTTAAGTCTATTAGACACGAAGAAATAGAGAAAAATTATGTGATACCCATAAAAATTCACAAAATTGCACTTAACGCACTTTTCACAGATTTAATTGTAGTACACCCGGGACTGCTGTACAAACTCCGAAAATTCCTACCACCTACATACTTCCTCATTATCCGTTCCTACCTTACTGATAGATACTTTAAAGTAAATCACAATAACGCCTATTCATCCCTTTTTTCCCAGTCCGCTGGTGTTCCTCAAGGTAGTATCCTAGGTCCTATCCTCTATACAGTTTATACAGCTGACATCCCTACCTGTCCCAACACTGTCATCACCACATATGCCGATGACACATGTATCCTATCAGTAAACAATGACCCAGCAATTGCATCCCAAATGCTTCAATCACACATCATAAATCTAGAAGAATGGTGTCAAAACTGGAGAATTAAAATAAACTCCAATAAATCCCACCAAATTACCTTTACCCTTTGTCGTAAACCAACGACTTCCTTTCCTACAGTTTCCTTTAACAATACTCCACTTATCCCTGTTGAGCTAATCCGATACCTAGGACTCCACCTGGACAAACGACTAACTTGGATTCCTCATACTAGACTGAAACGACAAGAAACCGCTCGACGTTTCCGATTACTTCAGCACTTACTAGACAAACGCTCTAAACTTCCCATTAATTACAAAAGACTCATATACTTGACTATAATAAGACCTATTTGGACTTACGGAGTTGAGCTATGGGGCTCCACTAAACCATCGAATTCCTCTCGCATCCAATCCTTACAATCCAAAATCCTTCGTAAAATCCTCAATGCTCCTTACTTTGTCACTAATAAAATTATCCATAAAGATCTTAATGTTCCTTATGTTTCAGATCTGGCCCAATCCAGATACCAATCCTTCCATAATAAACTTCAGAATCATCCCAACCCTCTCGTTTCTAACCTTGCTTCCTCTTCAATTCCTGATAACCCTCCGAGGCGTCTGAAAAGAAGATGGCCCCATGATCTCCTAATGTAGTCATATCATTAGAGTGCTACCATTGGGCAGTTACTCAGCAAGTGTTATCATGTCATTATATCCTTATGTTCAAATTTACTAGACATATTTATTTAATACAATTGTAAATATGATTAAGAAATAATAAAAAAAAATATTGGTACTTAGTTTCTTTGTCCAAATTTACTTGATGTATTTATGTAATACAGTTGTAAATGTCATAAAGAAATAAAAAAAAAAAAAAAAAAAATTGTAGTATAAAATAGTTTACAATACACACCTTTTAGGTACACTATCGCTGGTTGCCAATATTTGGAGTCAGTTAAGGTGATCAATAGCTTTGCAAGTAATATATTCTGTGCGTGGTCTGATGGTAATTCGTTAAATTCGCTATTATTTGATTTTTTCTTTTTCTTTAGTTCTTCTTTTGAAACTACTAAAGTATAAGGATATCTACCGTCGATAAGGGCATTAAGAAACGACTTGCCAAACTTGATTTTCATCCATTCTTTCTGAAATACCAATAATAAAAATTAAATTAAATTATAAATGGAATTCTGAATCCACAATGCATCCAGAGCTAACTTACATCCTCGTGCCATCTGGGAGATGAACCGCATAAATCCAATAAAATATGGATAATGTTAGTTATATTTTTTAAAAGCATTGCAACTTCCAGAGAAATATTGGTGGCTGAAAATAACAAAAAATTATTATAAGTTGAAATTTTCTCCAAAAATAAAAAATATTGAATGGGATCATTAGTTAAAAATCATACTTAAAATTTTTATCAATTCTGGGTCCTACTGTTATATATGGATCTTAAAATTTGAAATGATTAACAATAATAGTTCTTTTTTTTTTTAAATAGTAAATTTATTTTTGTAAGGGAAAACAATTTATTTCTACTTTACTTTAATTTTTTATTGATATCTTTAATGCATCGCTCCACTTTTTGATTTAACTTTCTTACTATCTAACTATCATGACTGATATTTCATTTTAACTCTTTTATTTAGTGTATTACATTTATTATAATTTTTCATCAGTAGTTTCCTTCATCAATACTTGAAGAAACTGGTCAATCAATATCTCATGATACGAAGACAAGGAAAAGATTCATCTCAATGTCCTATCCATAACCCACATTTTCCAAGGATTATCTGTTTTATAGTCGTAAATTAAATGACTTAGAAATATCAGAAAATATATCACTAGCTTTAGGAAACAACAGCAATAGAACTGACAAAATAATAACATTTCTAACAAGGGTAAATTTAATTAAAGAAATTTAATTAAGTAAAGTAAGACAGTATCATTGAGGGAATAATCCTTTGAAGAGTGGAGCTAATCCATGGACCAATAGATTCATTTATGATAGAAAAGTTCTCACCGGCTCAGTATGGACGAACGCCATGAAATTAAATATTAATTATGCTCCTCTCTGTGGAGTATTAGGGACCGCCAACAAGGTCAACGGAGATGTTGGATCCCTCTGCCGCAAATGTGGCCGAGAGTCAGAAACCCCAGCTCAAGTGTTTTAGCATTTTGGCATTCAATGCCACGGAAAAAAGAGGCAATAATAGTGGATGCCATAATCAGATTTGAAACCAACGATCAGGATAAGGACGTCGACATACAGGCAAAGAAAGAGCAAATTTATGCGAAATGCATACCTGAAGGAAAAATACAGAGATGAATTTGGCGAGAGATATTTTTCAGATGAAGGACTATGGTTGGGAAGCAGATGCAGACCATGACAGAGACTACTATTTTAGACTAATTAGGAATCTTCCATCAACACAAATATTCATCTTGGCATTCACTTATTTGGTTCTACGGACCATTTTTAGTATATTTAATAGGTATCCCAATGGCCTGACCTAACTCTCAGTTAATTAATTTTTTTTTTAATATTATCGTGTTGATTGATGAGTATGCTGTGTTATTTAAAAACCCAACACAGTTGAACAGTGGTGCAATATCATTGTAGTTCTCTATCTCTCCATGTCGATTTTTTTTTTTAACACATTTTTATTAGTTTGGATAGGTGATATTTTTTGTAATTACTAAATCATACAAAAATAAATTTTCATAATCTTGACTTTATAATACTTTATCTGGAGAGTCTACATATAATCTTGTTATTTCTGAAATATTTAAATTACAGTCAAAATAAGTAAAATTAAACTAATGGCCGACCCAAACAAGAGATTTCCCTTTATTAGTAAAAAAAATTCTTAATTTTATACGACAGAACTATATGTAAAACTATTTTTTTAAAAAATCTTATTGTATTGTTCGAAGATATTGCTGTTCATGGACAAAGCAAAAAATTGGTTGAGGGGAAGAGTGTGGTCAAGAAAGAAAACACGCAGTAAGTACACTGCTTTTAAAGAGTGTCTTTATTTTAGCCTAAGTACGCTAATTCTAAATATGTTTATCCTTATTCAATTCTCCTACGTCTGAATGTATTCTTTGTTTCTTCTATACTTATATCATGTTTTGATTAGCCCAAAAATATATCTACAACTTAGGACGAAATGAAAACATATATTAAAATAAATATTACATTAGCTATTTATTTTCTTTCTTAACTTCACAACCAACCTCGTCCTTGTTTTTAATAACACCATCTTACTAAAGAAATAATATAATATTATAATACTCATATCGAGGATGATATGACCGAGCACATTGGGGCATGGGTCCTAGAGTACACGGTTCTGAACTTTGTAGGTTCGATTCCCATCTGGGTCATTAATTTTCATTTCTCGGCAGCTACGGGAAATGGATCTTGACAAAAAGGAGTACCCACTTGCCGAACTAGCTTTCCCCCTTCCCCACCTCGTACCAGTAATACTTATTTCATTTTATCACATTATTAAAAAAATACAATACATAAACTAAAATTATAACTAGAAACTCACTTGTGTTACTTCTTGTAGTATTTTTTTCAACTGGCACTAATTCAATGAATGCTTCAAATAATAGAGGTATCAATGATTCAACAAAATCCTAAATATAAAAAAAACATTAGAAAAATAATGAATAAAGTTTTTAAACACTTACAAATACAAGAAAAATTAATGCAAGAAAGCAAATTTTCCTTATAAAGAGTGAATGAGAAATGGAAGATTTCCGAAAGTAAGAAATTTAAAAATCTGGATTCCAAAATAATTTAGCACATAGAGAAATAAAACACTTAATACAAAACCATGGTTTAATCTTACGAGAAAAGGTAGGTACTAAGATTTTTAGCTAACATTAAATTTCAATAAATAAATACGTAAATTAAAGAAAAGAAAAAGACAAATTATTTATACAATATTCATAAAGAAATAAAACACTTAATACAAAACCATGGTTTAATCTTGCGAGAAAAATATTTAAAAACACTTGAAATCGTAAAACTTACTAACCTTCATATTAAATTCTTCTATTGAATCAGATAACTGAACAGATGGCTTAAACAGTATCCTGTTTTCATTATAATTATAATTTAAATTTGTATCAGTTAAACATAAATAATTTTGAGGATTGTTTTCATTATAACGAACAATCTTCATAGTTGAATGCTTAATTTCGAAGTCTGAAACAAAAATAAATTAATAGTTCTACAGATAATTATGAACTTTGCAATTAAATTTAAAGTAGCCATAACACTAATTTTAACTTGATTTTTTTTTTTTTTTTACTATTAATCCAAACTATTTTAGTAATATATTATTGACAATATTAAAAAGTAGAGTACTAGTTTCAAATTGCTACTACAAGATGTGTTCCAGCAAACTGTAGATGGAATCAAGATATCTGTTCACACTGTTTGAGGTTTTACTGTTTGAACTGAACTAATCGAACATACAAATTCAGCTAAGGGTCAGACAACAACCAACTTCGTTTATGTCCTGAGATACTTAGGTATTTTTTTAATTTCATCTACAGAGTGGTCAAAATTATTTTGAAACAATCTTCATCCTGGTGCAGCAATTCGAAACCAAAATTAAAAAGAATAAAAAATATTTACCTTTAGTACAGTTTAGAAAAGATTGCAATAATGCAGCAATACGAGTAAGTACATTAACTCTCCACTTTCCTGAGGTCAACTTCGAATCTAAATTCAATGATAACGTTCGTGGACCAGTACCTCCAGTCGATAAAAGATCAAGGCAAACAGGAAGTAGCTTGGAAGCAGCATTTGCGCACTGTTGTGGATTATGTTTCAACAAAGCATCAAGCAGAAACAATGAGTCTTCCCTTATAGAAGTTTCAATGTGGGTTAAGCCACATACCAAATAAGAGCTCAACAAAGGAAATAATGGTTCTATCTGACTAGAAGAGACCTATTATATTTAACAAAATGTATTACTAATATGCAAAAATTAGAATATCAAATATAAGATTTAAGTTATTATTACCTGTGATAAAATAGTTTCTAATAATTTGTTAGCATCTTTCCGAACAAAGCTTGATTCATCAAGAGTAAGTTTCGTGATAGATTCAATCAAGTTTGCAAGATTTGATTCTATAACACTTTTAGAATGTTGAGTCAACAACTCTTTTAAACCAAATAAGGCATCAATTTTCAAACCAACATTGTAATGTGATAATCTACTGATTAATTCCTGAAATCATGTTACATAATTCAAAATTTATAATTAACATAAAATTAATAATAATTGATATTTTAATTTACTTTTAACACTATCTCACAAATGGCACATCTGGTTGACAGGTTGGTAAAGATCACATAGATCATACTAAATAAAGCATACACAAGAGATTCATTCACTTTTTCAACGAATTACTAATGTCAACCAGAGATGACACAGGTAAACTAGAAACATTTTTTTTTTTTTAAATCAAGAATATTATTATTATTTGATTAATAATTTATCTAAAACACCATACTTTAAACTGTAAGTATTAATGAAAAAATATCAACAGATTCTCCTTTAATTTCCTGGATAAAACATCAATATTGAAGAAAGTGTGGTTAAAATGTAATGAGAAATAGTAATAAACGATTATTAGTATGGATGCTTACTTGACAGCTTAGATTCTTCTTATTCAAAATCTCTCCATCTTTATGCTGATGAACTTGATCACGAATAACAATTTTCTTTACTCTGAAATTGGTGTCTGTAACATTTTGACCTTTTGGAAGGAGAGTTTTGGTTTCTTTCAACTTGACTTTGGATTTCTCCTGCTTTTTTAAGCTTCGATAACTAGTCTTAGCCATCTCAAAGTTTAAAAACGAAAAAATAAAATACAAACAGAAGTAATATTACAACAGGGAATGACAAAATACTTCAAAACGTTGAAGTCTTTAGCGGTCATGTGGTTCAAAATGTGCCTCGTTCGAGAGCGATTAAATCGAACTAATACACAGTAATAAGAGAAGTTGGTTGAAGATTGCTTAGAGGTAAACAAAAATGAATTATACTTATTTTCTTCGTGTTGACGTTTCGTCCAAAGTTTCAGGCCTTAATTTCAAAGCAGCTCGTTCGAAGGATATTGGATATATAAATATTCGAATACATTATAAGTATAAGGAGACAGTTTTATAAGGAAGTTCTTAAACTAAACTGAATACGTCTCTAAAATGGGCGAAACGGTGCCTTCAATGAGCTCAGCGATGAGTTCAAAAATTACCCAATAATAATTTAAGTATAGAAATAAAAATAAATTAAGACTTGACTAACTGCTTTTTAATAGGGGTACAAACATAACTAATTCCCATTAAAACATAATAATATTGTCCAATTAAATCGCTACGTTGAAAAGGACAATCTCCAACATTATTAAAATGTAGTTCATGAATTTTATCGTGATAATTAGATTAATACAATTCTGATCTGGGTTAGTTTTTGATTTCTATGTATTTTGAAATTTCCTCTATGTATTAAGGATTTCAAGGGGATTCCATTCCAGGAATAATCTGAGCGAAATACCTATACAATTCCAATATACCATTCTATAAATTCTGTATTGTTTAGCATATTCATCACAGTACCTAGATTAAAATAATGCCAATATTTAGGTATAAAAAAAACAACAACTGAGGAAGTAATAGGGTCTATCTGAATCAAGGATCAAAAACTACTTTAACTATTAAATCTAACCGCGTGTCAAGAAAAAATATGACTATTTTCTCCCTAAAAAAGTTTTTTATTAGTTAAAAAACTTCAAAACTGAGTCTCTAATATCTATCCATAAATTCTACAAATATATAAATATATATACATATAAACTACATATATATGTAGTTAATGATAATTACTTTGTAAGAAAAAGAAAGAAACTAATTACCTATATGAAATGAAATGAAAATAGATTTTTATTATCCTTGGACTGTTGTCCCTTTAGGACAAATTATAGATACAGAGAAAATGCCTGTGCGGCCATAAAATTAAATTAAATATTTACAATTCTCATTAAAATTAAAATATTGGAAGAAACTTAAAACAAAAACACTAAATATATACAGATATATATAATACAAACATATGAAAATAAAATAATATAAGTAAACAAAATCATTTCTGGGAGAATTTAAAAAGTTCTCTTATCTACTTTTCTTGATCGGATTGGGAAAGAAGTAGGTGCTTAAAAAGGAGAAATTTAAATGAGGAAACTGATTGCGTATGTCTGATATCGAGAGGGATGGTATTCCAGGTGGAGACAGCTTGAATTATAAAGGATTTGTCAAACGCAGCAGTTCGGTGAGGTGGGTAGAGGTAAGAAGTACGGGATCTAGTGGAACGAGATTGTTTGGAATATTTAAATTGTAGGCTGTGAAAAATATAGGAAGGTCACTGAGTTCTGATGGCTTGGTATAGAAAAGTAGCAAGGAAGTACAGATGGCGGTTGGATGGATAGAGCCACTTCAACTTGGTGTAATACTGGGTTATATGCGTATCTCTTGAGATTCCGAAGACAAAACGTATTGAGCAGTTCATTAGGCGTTTAAGTCTGGCTTCGAATTCTCCCGAGAATTCGCCGTACACCAAACAGCCATAGTCGAAGTGGGGGAACACAAGGGAGGAAACTAAGAGTTGTCGGTATTTATATGGAAGGAGATAGCGGAGACGGTTAAACTGTTTCAGGGTAGAGATAGTACGACGGGAAATTTGGGAGATGTGTGGTTTCCAGGAGAGGGTTTGATCAAAGGTAACACCAAGATTTTTCTAAGGAAGTGTGGAATGAGATAAGTGAGTTATTCAGGAAAAGATTGGGGAGTGTCAGTAAGGATTTGAGGAGTGAGGGAGTTCTGATCAGGATGGCTTTCGTCTTCTCTGAGTTTAGAGTAATTCTCTTGTAGTTTGCCCAGGCACAAATTCCGTTTATATCTTCCTGTAATTTTTGGATGGCGTCAGAGGATTCGGTCGGATTAAAGGAGAGGTAAATCTGGACGTCGTGAAGTGGTGTTTAAAAGTGATTCTTGAAGGCCTATTAAATGTAATTACAGAAACAATAATACTTTTAGAGATAATTTTTTTAAATATTTTTTCATAGGACATGGTTATATTTTACCATTTTGGAGAGGGGAGGAGGGGAGAAGCTTCAGCCCGAAAGCCCCCGTAGATCTTCCTATGTATACAGCTACTAAATAAAACCATGTCTTATGAAAGAAATATTGAAAAATGATCTCTAAAAGTATTGTTCATGTAATTATTTTTTTTAATAGGGTTTCAGGGTCACTTAAAGATCATGTCAATTAGGTAGTTATTATTTTTTTTCAAAGTAAAGTAGATTTATATATATATATATATATAATATATATATATATATATATAAAGTTTTCGGAACAAAATCCTCCAAAATTAAATTCTAGACCCGCTATGGGGTTGGGTGTTTTAAAAATCTATATTCAATAATGGAACGTGACGTTCATGAGATTTACTTTGCTTCCTACGGACTACACAAATTATTATTTTGCATCATGTTTATAGACATTTTAAACTGGCAAAAAGACAAACCAATTTTTTATAAGTTTCCAGTTCAGAGCTATGAATTTTTTAACAGTAACTAACATCGAATGTAGGTTTTATTTAAATGACCCTATTATAATCTAAATATTCAATAAATTCTAGGAAATTAGTTTATTTATTGCATCTTTATTAATTATGATATTCCGATACCCAATCCACACCCACTACCTGAACGACCACATGTTGCTGTCCACAAATGCCACGGAACATTAGACGCTTGGACTGGCCATTGTTAATAAAAAATGAGTATTTAATAAATAAATGTCCCGACCATTCCTGATCGCTCCGCTTTTTATTTATGAACATCCATCGAATAAATCGATATGTTCCATTCCGCTAGTCGCTAAAAGACCTCCTTCAGGTTAGGACCTTGGTATTTTCTAATGGAGTCTTCAAATTTACTAACACCTACAAACCCAGTCTTTGCTGGTTATGCGTTTTATTCATGCGTGCTCATTTTAAAAACTATGTGCATGTCTTACCTAACAGGAGTTCAACGATTTAGAAAGAAGGTAAAAAAATAAAACACAGATTTAATAATTAAATTCTGAGCAACTAGTCACTAGAATATTACATGTTAATCTTTTAATGAATCATAAAAACATAAATGGAGTTATATATTTTTTATATACCACATAACAGTTCTTATTAAAACTCTATTTTATAGTGTTAAGAAGTAAGAAACAAAAAAAATAATGTTTGACATGTATAATACTATAAAAAAAAATATTAAAAATAAATGTGCATTTCTTAAGTAAAATTTATTTATGCCTTAATTGGCGAAGTTTAAATTTCTGAAAAAATGTTCAAATATGGAACGCGATGTTAAGTTAATTTTTGTAAAAGTTCACGTTAACTCCAGTACTATAAATAAAGAACTTAACAAATGTATTTAAATGCATTTTTATGCAAAATATACACTCCAACTTTAATACTGCACTTTAATAGATCTTTTTGATTTTTAAGCTAACACTGAAAACATGTCAATAGATATAATTAAAGATTAAATCAACTAATTGTGTATATATTATTCATGAATAATTCGAGCTATAGTTAAATATCGATTATTCATTCTCGATTTCAATCAATTGCCTCTTAATTAGATGTAATTATCTAAATAGTAATCGTTCACTAATGATATAATATCTCTTTTTAGTTTATTCTAATTATAGCATAAATATATTGATATAATTTAAACAAATAAGTTATTATCTTTATTTATAGCAGATTGGATATTTACATCAAATTAATTTGAACAAAAACTAATAATATTTTTAATGGTGGATATATTAATAATTATAAGTTATGGTTTTTATAATAATTTGAATTCTATTTCTGCTTATATAAATTCGCGCAATTATACGAATAGGCCATTTCAGTACAAGTTTTCTTACGCAACCGTTTTCAACATCACATCAGCCAAGCCAACTATTTATGAGTGAAAAAAGTATTTGAACTCTTCAATTTTCTTGTATACTTTGATTGCTCGTTTTAGAAGTTGAAGAAACTTGATATACATTGGTAATTTTCAAAATAAATGTACCAACTGGGCTTTTCATACATTGTAGTTCGATGTCCCCGAATACGATGTGAAAATTTTCTACCAAATGCTGAATTTGTTTACGTAAGAAACATCTATGTTTTATTCACAGGCGGATCTACGGGTGGGGGGGGGGCTTTCGGGCTGAAGCCCCTCCCCCCCAATGGTAAAATATAACCATGTTTTACAAAAAAAAAATAGGTAAATATAGGTAAATAGGTAAATATAGGTAGTTAATTTCTTTCTTTTTTTTCAAAGTAATTATCGTTATATGTATATGACGAAAAAAAATCTTTCGGACAGAAGCCTCCCAAAATTAAATCCTGGATCCGCTAGTGGTTGTATTTACATATATTATAGGAGATATTCAGGAGTTTTTATTATTTTCAATCTATAAGATATAAATCGTCAATTTAAAGAGAATACATTTACGGATAAGATTAAGCAAAGATATTTGATAGAATTCAATAAAGTTGAACGTATGTCACATTATTGGAATATTCATAACTTTAAAAACTCATGAATGATACACAGTCAATGAAGTTATGAGGTTATTTTTAAAGTTATGAATATTTTTCAATTAATATTATGAATTTATATCTGTAAACAAAACAACACATCATACATGGGCATAATAATAATCAAATATTGTGATTACATTAATCATGATTACTGTATTTGAAGACCATTAGTGATGAAGCTGTATTTTCTTTCATATTACTTAACACAGTTTTTTTGTTGTATGTTGAAAAACAAATACTTTTTCACTTTTAGTATAAAAATAAAACTAGGTGAGCGTATGTAATCAATAATAAAATGCTTTGTTACATATTCGTAACTAAGGGAGTGTTAATTTCGTTGAATTGTTTTAGGCTTTCGTTAATGTGGAGGACGCAATAGCAGCGGGTGTGGACATAAAAATGGATGACCAAGACGTCGAAAGGTGCAGGAGGTATTATTTAGTTACATTTGCCAATATTGGCAATTTACTAGAGTTTACATTAGTAATTTATTTATAAATTTGATAATAATCTATTCACTTTTTATAAAAACCTCTTTTATTGAATAATATTGCATATAGTCAATTATTCATAATAAACAAAGATCCTCAAACGTCGATAGCCCATGAACTCTATCTCTCCCTTAAGAAATTATTGCTCCAATCATATTAAAAACAGTACAAGCGAAAGAAGAATTGGAAAAATCGTAGACCATAAACAAAAACTTTTTTTTTCTTCTCCCCTTGCTCATTTTTAGCCTTTACGTGGAATTTTCTCGGACCAGGGGTGAGGGTGGGAGAATTATACCATAGTCAAAAACTTGGCATCTGGACGCGAACTCCTTTTATTTTATTTTAACAAGTTTATTTGCGGTTACCACTCTCCAAGAACTAGTTTAGTTCGCTGTTTTCCTCCTCATTCACACTCTCATAAGCAGACCCTAAACGGTAATTCATGAATGAACGTCACAAGAAGTGCCAAGATTGCCCGCGATCGCTTTGATCATGAAGACCCTTACACGTTCAATCATTACTGATCATTACTTATCGTTGCTGATACCAATTTAGCTCAGTTGTAAACAAAGAAATAGCATAGATATGCTTATTTGGACATTATCATTTATAATATTGGGCATCAAGAGAAAAACGGAGATATAATAATTACTTCCTAGTGCCTGAAAATCGTTTAGACCAAAGTTAGAAAAATATAAGTCAACTACATACAAAAATCTAGGAAAAGTATTGCGAAAATAATCAATTTGTTAAGAAAAATGGAAAAATTAATGGCAAATAAACACAATAATTATTTTAACAAGTTTATCTTCTATCGGGTTGCCAGACAACGCGCAGTGCTGTACGACAGTTCGTTCGACCACCCCGCCCATTTATACAAAAAAATACTTGCAGTGGTCTGGTCCATTCTTTTCCCCTTGTTCTCTGCATAGAAATTTTTCACTCCGAAAAATCGTGAGTGGCCTTCAATAATATGGCAGTTTGGCGTGACTTACACCCCTAACATGTCAAAATAACGAGGTTTAATAGGCTAAACGGAACAATATTTTTGAAGGCCACCTTATTTTCTCGATTTTGTGATCACATTAATTTACGATGCAAGTGAAAAGCAATTTTATTGCTCCTCCCAAGATATTTTATTGCTCACCTTTTCTTAAAAACAGAACAAGCTGAGGTAAAATTAAATAGATCGTGAATCATATACAATTATACTTGCTGTATGTCTGTCAAAAATTTTGATGGGCCATTTGCGCCAGTAAACCCCCTTCTGGGCACCCATGTCCTAATAAATAGACAAAGTTTGCCGATCTCCAGATTGAAAATGTCTCAGTTCCAATTGTTTTCGTAAATAAAATAGTTGCAGGTTACGATGATATCTCCTTAAAAACATTAAATTTATTTTTCAAACCGTTTTATATTATACAATTTATATATTTTTTCATAATGATGTAGAGATCATTGACCGTGATATAATATGAGAAGGAGTTGATCGGTGAGGGAGGGGGAGGGGTGAGGTAAAATAAATACTAAATTATAGAAATAGAATTATTTAATTATTATGCCGACGTTTCGACCCACATTGCAGGTCAGAAAATATAAAAGGTACATGGTGAAAATAAAATAAATGAATAAGTAGATATTAAATAAGAAAAAGTTGTCTGATAAAAAAATAATAAGATGATATCATAGATATAGTGGGTGACAAATTTTAACTACATTGTCATCCACTATATCTCTGATATCATCTTATTATTTCTTTATCAGACAATTTTCATACTTATTTAATAGCGGGTAGCGTCCGACTGCTCTCTGCCAATGTTTATAACCTTAACGCTGAGCTCTTTGACGCTACCCGCTATTAAATAAGTACCCACAACTTTTTCTTATTTAATATCTACTTATAATTCATTTATTTTATTTTCACCGTGTACCTTTTATATTTCGTATCTTTTGTAGTCCTGATGAAGACCTGCAAGGTGGGTCGAACATCGGCATACTAATTAAATAATACTATTTTTATAATTTAGTATTTATTTGACCGCAACCCCTCCCCCCTCCCAGCGATCAACTCCTCATATTTTTTTTTAAATACGTTTGGTAAATATATTTTTTAAATACTTAACAAGTGGGGATAATCCCTGATGATTGGCAACCTCAACAGGCGTTCCTCTAGATCGGCGTCCTGCAGCAATTTCCCCATTTGCCAGGCCCTAAGGCCAGCACTGATTGTTGTTATTAATAATCTGCTCTACAGTCCTTAGCAGACCTGGGACTCAGAAACATGGCTTACCTATTCCTAGCTATTCTTCTCCACCTTCTTATACATATACAGCTAAGGTCGTCGATCCACCACAACCGGGGTCTACCTCCAGGATTGGTACTTAAGCTCTAATAGCCCACTACAACGCCAGATTAAGGAAGACTGGCGATATAGGGTCTCTTTGCTTCAATTCCTATTTTAGCCGAAAGTTGTTTGAGAGAACATTTTAACTGTAGTTTTCTAATTCCATTGTTTGATCACTTATAATTAATTTTAATAACAAGCCTTCATGTAGATGACTGAGATATATCATACTTTGGTCAATAGTATCACCTCATTTATAATTAAGAGAAGAATAGTTGGGGTGATCAGTCAAATAAGAAGACAAAAATAAATGATAATATTTATTTTGACATTTGCCGACGTTTCGACCTGAATTTGAGGCCATCATCAGGGCTAAGAAAAGAACCAGATAACAAGGTATGAGAGATTAGTAGTGTAGATAAAAAAAAATAAAGTAAAATGCAGTTGTTAGAATAATGACAATAGTAAGAACTAAGAGATAAATAATAATAACCGTTACAAAGTGTGGAATGATGAAGTAAACATAATCAAAAAGGTGACATAAGTATTAAAATGGGAATCTTAGAATAAAATGTAAAACAGAAAAGAATATGAAGTTATATAAGAAATGAAAATAAACAGTAAAATTAAGATATTGTGAATAGAATAGTTAGATAGAAAATTGAGATGTTGTAAAGTCTATCAAGATGTACAGACAACGTATAATATAATAAAGAGTTAAAACAGAGAAAAGGGATGAAAGGAAGAAGGAAAGAAACTGAGAAGTCTGAAATAGGAAAGAGAATAAGAAAGAAAAAGAAAAAATCACCTGACTGCCAAGAAGTAAATCGAAGCAATGATTACGTTAGTTCGGGAAGAGAAGGGATGTATAGTGGCGTCATCTCCAACGGTTATCTGAAGAAGTTTGAACTAAAGTACCGGAAGCAAAAATAACGACGAGAGATATATTACTCATAAATATTATGGATAATTAAACGAAAGTTGATAGAAAGAGGCAATAAAATAGTTTAATATAAAATAAATTTACAATAAATAAATTATAATTAACTATTATATTAAATTATGATTAATTATCATTTATAATTAACATATCTAGATTAATATGACATGATTGTGTTTAATATATCTTAATTATTTCTCATTTCAGGGCCCATTTAAATGACTTGGAGAACATAACAATGTTTTTAATAACGGGTTTAATTTATGTTTTAACAGATCCAAATATTGTGTTTGCATTGATGTTATTTAGAATATATGCTGTTGCAAGAATTTTGCATACAATTGTATACGCTGTTGTAGTTGTACGCCAACCAGCAAGAGCTATATGTTTCAACATTGGTGTTTTATGTAACTTTATTATGATATTTTCAATATTCTCCTCATGTGTACAATTATAAATTATGTTATTAATTTATTTACCACTGTTAAATGGATTCTGTAAATAATGTTTTCCTAAATAAATTTCTCTATTGCTCCATCATTGTAGTCGTTCTTTTTATTGCATGCATAGAAGAAAAAAAAATTATGCTCCAAATGTGTGTTTGAATATTTCACAAACTATGAGAAACGCACAGTTATCTAACTTAACTAACAACAAGATAATTGCTAATCCAAACTGTTTGTTTTATTTCTCTTGATACCGATAGCAGATGGAAAGTATCAAAAACAAGAAAGAAAAACACTAGTATAGTGAAATGATCATTTATATATTTGTTTGTCCCATAGTTTGTGAAAGGTCTAAAAGCACCTTAAATGTGACAAAAACTATGTATGTAATGGTGCTTTACCTAGTAAGGCATCAGTCCCTACCTACATAACTTTCTCAGGTACCTACATACCTTGCATCAGTCCCTATCTATATACCTTTCTCAGGTACCTACGTACCTTGCATCAGTCTCTACCTATATACCTTTCTTAGGTACTAACATATCTTACATTAGTCCCTACCTACATACCTTTCTCAGGTACCTACATACCTTGCATCAGTCCCTATCTACATACCTTTCTCAGGTACCAACATATCTTACATTAGTCCCTACCTACATAACTTTTTCAGGTACCTATATACCTTGCATGAGTCCCTACCTGCATACCTTGATTCAGTCCCGATCTACATACCTTTCTCAGGTACCTATGTACCTTGCATTAGTCCCTACCTACATACCTTTCTCAGGTACCTACATACCTTGCATCAGTCTCTACCTACATACCTTTCTCAGGTACCTATATACCTCACATCAATCCCTACCTACATACCTTGCATCAGTCCTTTTTCTCATTGTATATTGTATGTATTTATTGATATATTGAGGGTATATTGTATATAGGTAGTGACTAATGCTTTACCAAGTAAGACATCAGTCTAGTGGTGGGGTGTTTAGTTGCAATCTGTTTAGTTTAAACAGTTATTTTCATTAAACAGATACAATTAACTGTTTCACTTGAGATTAAGCAGATACAAGGATTACCTTCCATTAGGAGGGGAATAGTTGTTCTTAAAATCAGTGCTGAGTTCATCAAATAGATCTCTAAACAGGGATAACCAAAGCCATTGATGAACTCAGTGCTGAGTTTAGGAAGACAACTCACTTTAAAGGATAGTAGGTGGAGACAGCAGTCCCGACGGGCAAAGAAGGAAACACTGAATCTGTTTAGTTTAAACAGCTTTCCAAAACAGCTTCTTGCAACAAATACATTCCTCTGAACTGATTCAGAAACTGCTCCTTGTAGTAGCACTGATATACTTTTTCTTTATAATAGTTGTTTTTACAAAACACCGGCCATCGTATTGTTACAACCTTGAAACAGCTATACTGTTTAGTGAACAGTAATTGCTATTTAATGCTGCTATCTAATTGCTATTTCTTCATTATTTTCACTAACATTTAAATTGTTTATTACTTTGAAGACACTTCACCATTCTTTTGAAACTGTTTTTTTAAAATAGCAGAAACTGTTGTAACTGCTACTGATTAAACAGCTACATCAATAACTACCTACATACCTTTCTCTCATTTTATAACGCGTTATCCACAATGACAGTTACTGGCATGGCTGACTCTTTTGAAGTAACTTCTATCGCGTAAATTTTGAAAGAATTACATTTACTATCTTGGAAAAACTACCATATTATCATTTTTTGTTTGATAGTTGACAGTACCTATCACGTTTAGATATCAGCATTCAAAAGGAAAAATGATTTTTTTTTTCATTGGTCCATATTTGTTACTGTGAGTGATCTAATAAACATCTATCTGAATACTTAAAACAATCACACTATGTTATATATTTTTTAACTTATAATGCATATACAGCTACTAAGTATAACAATGTCTTATAAAAAAAACCTTAAATAAATATCTCTAAATATAATATTGTTGGGGTAACATGTTTTTGTTTTTAAATAGTGTATTTTTGAATATAGTGGAAAAAGTAACCATTCCACTAGCGGAACATTGCACTAACTCGGTTTTTTTTTCTCTACTGAGAACTTTACACTTATTTCCAACTTTGTTATTTCTTTCACATTCATTATTTATTTCTTATCGGTCGTACCAGAATATTTTAATTCATTCTCAAGTTCTTCCTTATTTCTTGTTTGTAGTATTCATTATTTTGTTCCGAGATTTCCTTTGATCCATATGATATCAATCAAAAACAGATATATTTCATTATTTACAGATACCCGATAGCCCTCTGTACAGGGCTTTAAAATTTTTAGTTTAACTTTTATTTATCACATCCATAATTTTTTTTAAAAGGCTTTCACATGAAATTTTGAGCATTTACTAATAAAAACCTAATATGAAATATTTACTAACGTTAGGTTGTTTTTTTCGAGTTTCGTGGACGAATATTTCAGATAAAACTCAGAATTTTTCCAAAAGATCCATTTTCCTCACAATCATTAATATTGTTTGATACTATACACAGTCATATAAGGAAATGGAAAGTGATGCAAATGCATAAATTTGACTGATTCGATGGACGGGAAAAATATGGCAATTGTTTTAAATGAAGTTTTCATTTCGACTTTCTATAAGAAAATACCTATCTGCCCTAAGGGTGGTAAGTGAAAGTTAAGTGATGCGTGCATTGCACCAGATTCTTTGTAGCTATACTAGCATTATAGTCAACTAATTTTTTTTTTGGAGGTTGAGTAGTTCATGCCACTCCCCTGATGTCAAATCATTATGAAGTCAAGATAACACTGGTTACTTCTGTTTTAATAGAAAATAAAAAAAAATATATAATGAAGTCTATCAAATCCATTGAAAATTAGAAAAAAATAAATGTTTGGACCAATAATAGATTAAAAATGAACACAGTCATAAATTTACATATCTAATTTATTTATTATTAATATAAGTTTAACAGTGAAATAAATAGTTATTAATAGAATACATACGATCACATATCATAGACCAAAGATAAAAATAAGAGCGTCATATTTCTTTTAAAATGTTTGTTTACAATTGAGTGATACAATTAACAGATTAAGCGTAATCTCGTTTCAATTAACAATATTTATAAGAGGATTATCAGCTAATGTTAACAAGTTAGACAATTAAAGCATTACAAGGTTCCGATTGTAATTAGTTTGTCATCTAGGTAATAGAGTCATTCACTCGGTTATAGTAGTAAGTATTTATTGTTCTATTTAAATAGAAAATATAATTAAAAATTAAACAGACAGCCATAAATGAGAAATCTTTTAACAGCCGTCGAGATATACTACCAATAAAAAACTCCTATATCGAATAAATCTTTCGTTCTCCACAGGGAAAAGAAAGACCGAATATTTTACAACAATATCAGACGTGAACACTTAGGAAATTTAACAAGGATTAAATTTTTATATACAGAATATGACGTTATCAACAGAAATAATATAAAAACTTTTCTGGACATAATCTATAATTGACAGTAGTGTCTATAATTTTTAATTCATAAATATAAAATATATAAAAACATTTCAACATTAAAGGTTAGAAAACAGTACAATAAATCTTTAAAATTCGTTTCCTATTGCATCAGTAGGCAGCTAAAAACTGTTCTACTGTGTACAAGTCTTTTTTTTTTTTGAGATAGATTGAAACTTCACCATAAGAAACACCTTCAGTATTAGAATACCTGGAGTGGTTAAGTAACAAAAAAGTAATATTAACAATATTGATTTATTATAATTGTATAACAGTTAAAAATAGATACAATAATAGAAGTTAGAAAATGTATGTAAGATTAACATGTAAACTAATCTCTAAAATAATTTAACATTATTACGATTGACAACTTTCTGTTAAGTGCAATCCAGGTATAACTTGAATGATATTTTTTAAAAATCTTAACTTTTTTTTTAAACACTTTTCTCACAAACATTATCAATATTGAGCAATATCATTTGAATACAAAACAACGAACATTAATACGTTAGAATAAACAAATCATCTAGAAACAGATAAATCATTTTTTAAAAAATCTAATTTGGAAACATATACATCTAATCGTCGATAAGCTTTAATATGCTTTTTTTTTCCTTTTCATATTATGGCTAAAGTTTTAATAATCTAAAGGTTGACACATTTAACATTTTTTTTTATACAACATTATATAGTATATTTACATAATAGACACCTATGTACAATGAATCAATTATACATACAAGAATTACCTAAAATATATATACAACAAAGTGTCACCAGGTAAATATTAAAAGAAGGAACTAAATGGAAGACATTTTATACAAGCTGGAAGAAAAAGAATTAATAATAATAAAAAATCTTAATTAAATTTACATAGATTTAATTAATATTTTTTTTTATAATCCATTACATTAATCATTATAATAAAAAAAAAAGAAAAGAAAACACTGATCTGGTTCTAACATAACTAAAATACACATGGAATTGGAATTTATACACAGGAAAGTATAATTTTCAGCCTTTTGATTTAATACTTTACAAACAAAAAAATTATAAAAAATGCCTATCTGCTGAGGTTGAATTTTTCACTAAATATAACAGTAAGACTATTGTGAGAAAAAAAATTAAATAAAAATGTATACATAAAAAAAAGTTTTGGGAAAAGAGCACCATTTAGTTACATTATATTACAATAATACAGATATTTTCATTTATGGAATTCAAAACGAGTAAACATTATCTAATATTATACAAAAGATAACGGATATTTTAATCATAGGGTGAAAAAGCAATAAAAAAAATTAAAAGAAGATATTAATATATCTAATAAGTCGACTGAATTCTTAATAAAGATCCCTTAAATGTTACGGAATTCAGCTTAAAGCTTAGGGGTTATGAAACTTCGCCATTAAAATAACACATATATATAAAAAAAAATATATACTTATATATGTATATATATATATGAAGAAGAGATAGTTCTAAGAACTCGTATTTAGAAAATGAATAAGTTAAAGCTTTAATCAGATAAATTTAATTTAAAAAAAAATAATAAAGAAAACACGAGGGGAAAATATTGTGAATCCCTGTTTTATCGGGAAAAGTCTTACAAATATAAGCTAAGAATGTCAAAACGACTAGAACTTCAATCAAATATCACAATATTCGTAAGAATATATGGTAAATTAAATGCACGTTTCAAATGCTAAAAGACGTTATGTCAATAAGTGACTTATCACTCTCATAAAATGGATTATATAAATAATTTGATTAAAAATTCTGTGTATACATATTAAATACCATATTATATTTAGGGCATTTGTTGTGTAATATAAAATATGAAAGTAACCAAGTAATTTATTTTATTTTTTTCTCTCTCTTTCTTTCTCTCTAAACCTTCTAAATTTTTTTAAAATATTTAAGATAAAAAATACAAAAATATTACATGTCTTTTAAATGTATTTACATGAAATAAAAAAATAATGTTAATGTAATTATTCCTATATACATAAAAAAATAAAATACATACTTTTATTGTTTGAAATAACTGTTAACAATAAAGTTGGAATGAAGTGGTCCATTAAAATAGAGATTACTTATTTAAAAAAGATAAATTTCCGGCATATATGAGTTTACACAATAAGCAATGAATACAAATAAAAAACATTAATAAAAAAACACATAAAAATTGTTTATTTTTTTTATATCGTATTGAGATAATAAATTTTTGTTCTTACATTTAATCTAAGCTTTCGTAGGATGAAATTAAACTAAACAGTACATTCCCTCTCACATTAACTCAATATATATATTCATTCTTTTAACCTCTGGTAAAATTAAAAGGTTTAAAATGTGGAAGAATTAAACTCAGCCCACTTTTTTTTCGTTTTTTTATCAAGTCTTTAAATTGAAAATTGTTTTTCAAGAACAGCACCATGGTTAAAAAAAAAAATATTATCTAAAATAATACTATTTGAAAAAAAAGAAAAAAAGAAACAGATCTCAGAGAAAGTATTAGACCATAATGGGGTCTTCATCACAGTCTTGGCTGTAAAATGTAGCTGCAGAGCTTTCGGAACCTCGCTTTTTGTGCTTGTGTACGACTCTGTGCCTCGAAAGCGGTTGAGCTGAAAAGAAATAATCATCTTGAAATTACATGTCTGTAAATAACTAAAATTATCTTGTGGAAGTTACAAAAAAAAAAAAAATAATAATAAATTCAAGTTGGTGTGTAGACACACACTTCGTGATGAGTCAGATTCAATTTTAAAATACAGGTGCCAAGAATAGGTCAGCAGATCTGGCTTTTCTAAACATTAAGTCTTGCCTAACACTATTTAATATTATAATTTGACAAAAAATGACATTAATATTAATAAAATTAAAAATCCTACAGAAATATTCCATTTAACTAGTAGGCCCGTGCGAAAAATTCGCACAGCATATTGTTATCAAATGCCAGATTAATAATAAAATAAAATAATGCAACCTCGAAAAAGAAAACAAAAATTAATTTAAATCTTCATTTTTGTTTGGAACCAACATGTTTACAAATTTCAGAAAGCTGTATCTTTGCTAAAAATTGTCCGATTTCAAATGATTTCTTTTTCCTTTTGTATGGAATTAAGTAATCTTTTATATAATCACGGGCATAACCAATGGAAAAGTCAGTAATTTTTTAGTTATTCGCAAATAAAGTTTGCTTTCTTTTATAACTTGTTTGCCTGAATTTTCGGGATGATCTGACTATTTTGTCAGTCTGAAGGAGAAGGAAGCCTTCGAAATTGGAGCTCAATCTTGAGATTTGGTGAAACATTGACGATGATAAATACCATCAAAAATACCATTGATAAATAAAATAATCTCCTCCTCTCTCAATCATAGAGACTTCAAGTCGACGAAATGATGTATTCAATGACAGTACTACAATTAATGTAAGGTTGTGTGGATGCGAACCCTATGCCATGCGTTATCTCGAAAATAGTACGTTTTTGGTCAAAAAAAAGCAGGATCCGATAGTTCCGAAGGAACTATCTGGGTCTTGCTGTACGAATCAAAATCTTCTAGATCCAATTTGTCCCATATCGATCTACAGACCTACCACTGTTCAGGTATTGAAGCCTAGCAAAATGTTTGTATCGACTTTATTTATTTTACAAAGAAAAACAAAAGTGGAGAATACGATTCGCTAACCCCCCGTGAAATTCTGAATTCAACGGTACGATTTCAAGCCTTACCGTAATAATATATGTACGGATTTTTTTACAAGTTGTCGTATGTTCCATATCTAATTTGTTATTCTGATTAAAGCATTGGATCTCTCTTCGTACAAATTTCTTCGTCACCACAGCTACTCGTTTTCTTTACCAAGGAATGTGGACAATATTTTAAATAAAAATCAGTTATGTGTTGAGTATTAGTAATCATTTGGATTATAGGAAATCTTAGACTGAACAGGACAAGGGACTAGTGAATTTCAGACACTCACTTTGACTCCAAACTAAGTTTTTTTGATTACATGGTAAAGTTCTAAAAACTATTGAAAAAAAATACGAAATTTAGCAAATTACTCATAAAAGAGATTACTACAACATTTATTGCATGGGTTTTTCCTCTTAGAAAGCTCATTTCACAATTGAAGTGTCATTTATAGATCGAGAATTTTTTTTTTCATCACAAGCTGTACGACTTAGTGTAGGTCTCAATATAGTCTGTGGACATTTGCTTTAGACCATTTCTGGCTGAAATTCTTACATGATTATTACGTGCTGAGCTTATGCAGGCCCACATTTGGGACAGTAGAAGAAGATGATGGATGAAGAAGTTAGTTATTCACTAGAATTTGAGAGCCTTCATTTAGACTTTGTTTTGGAATGTTCCAAATAAGTTACTTATAATTAAACTTCTTTAAGTTTTTTTGACGTTTCTGTATGATGGGCACCTTATCTCAATTAAAGGACGACCTGAAGAAATAATCAGGCGATGTACCCAGGGATGGCGCGCACTCCTCAAATTTAAGGATATATATAGATCCTCGGTGAGCTCAGAAGTCATGAGATAACTTTGGATGAGCACAGTACTTCCTGTCATGACATATGGTCGTGAAACATGGGTAATTGACCAGAAGACTTGTCACAAATTGAGGATAACCGTCAGAAGAATGGAGCAATATCTTCTCGGAATAACTCGAAGGGATAGAAAAGCGAATTAATGAATCAGAGATAAGACTGACATGGAATCAGGAGGAATGAATTAACATGGACCAGGCAGTTTATGGATTGGTATCCAAGAGAGCACATGAGAAAGAGAGGATACCTGTCGACGGACTGGATCAAGGAGGTAAAGAAGACCTGCGGGGGAGCAGCCTGGAAGAGAGTAGCATTGGAGAGGAAAGAGTGGAAACGGATGGGACAGGTTCATTACCTAGTGTGGTTGCAAGAGAGCTCGAAAAAAAAAAAATAAATAAACAAAGAAAATCAAACTCAAAACCTCAGCTAAAATGTTGATTTTGTACATATAAGAATGTCAAGTATAAATCAAAATGTAAAGATTTTGTATATATCTATTTTTTATCCATTGATTGTTTGCATTGCATGTACAAATAAAGGTTATTATTATAAGTTTTTTGGAGCTTTCCTCTCATTAAATTTTAAAGAGTATATAAGGAACTATGTCGGAGATACATATTTTATTGGTTTATATTTAGCAAACATTAAGAAGATTTCAAACCGGAATGATAGGTAAGTCATGATAAATACTGATAAAAACACTATAATATATTGAAAGGTTTCTATTTCTTATTTTAAAAATATTTTTAAAAAATTTTGAACCAGCAAATGATAAATTGTACTCACGATTCGAAGTATCTACATCATCAAGACTGCCATCATCAGTAGAGAGGAGATCGTCATCGCTAGGAGACCGCGTAAGAGAGGGCAATGTCGACGTCAGAAGGGCCTTTTCTTTCTGAATTTCTTCGATTTTCCCCATCAGCTCTGCCTCTTCATCGTCAGGTTTCACTATAACCAGTTCTTCATGGCTAAATACCTGGTAAATAAAAATGTTATATTAATGATAGGCAGATGTAGAGGTAACAAAAAATATTAAATAAATTAAGCACTTCTGAGAAAAGTGACCTAAAGCCTATTACACAATAGTAGACATTGTTGTGAAATTTGTCTTGTACTGTCAAGAGACACTTTGTCTCATTTAGCGTCCACACTACGATGTAAATTTCTCAGTCTCGTCTACGCAACTCACTATGGAGGACATAGTTTTGTATGGAATGAGTTTCTGCTTAGGGCTAATTGCTCTAAAAGGGCTGGTTAATACAAAATGTTTGGGGATTCCTCAACTATACCATACATTTTTAAAATTTTTATATTATTGAAATCAAATGTATGTTTTTTTAAATATTTTGATTGGATAAAGCTGTGGATTTTATATGTTTGTTTTGTGTTGTTTTATCCTGTTTTTAAATTTTGTGATGTTTCAACAATATAATGTTTGGGACATTGTAAACATTACAATCTAACCTAACCACCCCTAAAGAGTTCATATGTACAGTCAATATTTAAAAGTAGACGGAGGAGTTAGTTCCGTACTGGGTGAGCATAAAGTTTAAATAAACAATAGTAAGCAGTAATAGAAATTTTATAGAATAGAAATTAACTAATGAAAAAATTGCATGCATAAATTTTTATCGTAGGGACATGCATAAAAATTTAAGGTAGATTATGAAGAGGAATACATTATTTGGTGACAATTGGTATACTACATATGCTAGTAGATCATGAAATTATTATATAAAAAAATGTTTTGGTAAGTTCTTACTCATTATATGACTAGATAATGAGCAACCATAGTTGTAAATTATCTTTGTTTAATTTTAATTGTTATTTGTAGAAGACTTGATAATGAGCCAATCAGCTCGAAATGTCGTCAGAAGTATAATAAAATTTTTTTGAAAATATAACGGCCTATTTATTCCTTGAAGACACCATATATAAAGGGTACAACATTCTACAATAATATGGAGAGGAAATTATTAAATAATGAGCTTTCGAAAATTGGCAAATAAAAAAAACCTGAAAAGCAAAACTAATCAATAGAAATAAAAAGAATATGAAGACCTGCTAAATTCTTCCTAATAAGCTTTATTAAAAAAATGTTTATAGCAAGAGGAGTAAACATCGTTCTATCTCCAATTTAATTGAAACATATCGCTAAACTTAGTGCAAAAGGTCATATGTAAAAATTGAGCTTTTTTACAAGAGAACATAAATTTTTTAATATTTTATTAGTATAATTTCATATTTTATTTCTCTCTGCTATTTTCCATAGTATCAGACTACTTATAGCAGTTGCAGATTACAATAGAATAGAATAAAAATGAAAAATTGTTGCATACAACCTTTTGCATTAATAGCAGCGATATATATGTTTTCCAATTTTACTGGTTAAATTTATTAATAGATAGATTAATAATGTAATTAATTTAAATAAATAAAAATGTCTTAAAGCCTTGCCTTGGAACTGCGTATGGATGAAAGCCTATAAGTAGCCGTATGACAAGCGGTGTCGAGCGTATCTATGTCGGCTAAGGTAGACTTCACTTTCTTCAATTGTTCTAAAACGATAATCTCAACGCAAGTTGTTTGTCTACTTATATCATGAAGAGAATCCTGCGCGGGGACAACTTTATTCGTTCTGAGGATACAAGGAGCGAATACTATAGCCAGTGAATTAGCAGTCATTCTATTTACATCTTCATGAAGTGCGACCCTAAATGAAACAGAATAGTTTAAACAAGGAAAATAATATCAAACATTAGTAGAAAAAGACCTTTTCTGTCTCGATAAATAATTGCTTTATTTCAAATTTATCCAAATTTTCATATCTTAAGGCATCTTCAAGGATAATCTGATTTTTATGAATTTTAAATTTTTATCTGAAAAAAAAAAAACATATACAAAAATCTTTCATTTTTTTTTTCAGATGAAAATTTAAAATACATAAAAATCAGATTATCCATGAAGAGGAGAAAATTAGGATAAGTTTGAAATAAAGCAATTATTTATCGGAGCTGAAAAGGACTTTTTCTACTAATACTTATTATAGCATCTTTCTCAAGACCATCTTTTATTAATTATCCATTATAATAATATAAGATCTTATGTATGCATAAAAGATGAAACTACTCGAAATTGTAACATAGATAGTTCATTCCTTACCGGGCAAGATGAAAAATCAACCTTTCCATCAAATCGAAATTCGGTTTGGGGAGTTTTTTCAATATAGCAAACATAGTAGATACCCTATCTTCCGTTAGATTTGCAGCTCTCAAGAAATCATCATAGCAGTCAAATGTCAGAAGAGGTTCAGGCATTTCTCGTAGAAATCCTTTTAAAACACTGGCAAGAACGTGCACCTGAAAGCAATATGTAAATGAATAAATATGATTCAACTTGATTCTAAATAATAGCATTATAATCAACCATTGAAAATGAAGCTTTTAGGAAGTCTTAAGGTTTTCCATTAATCAATAAATATATAAACACTTAATAATAATAATAATAATCCAAAACAAAACTAGATCAAAGACTCTGCACCATTACAACTAATTAAGAGTCTTGGGTTCTGTAATTTGTAAACAAGAACTTTTTGAAAGCCAATGGTTTCGCAGGGAGGTGTTAACATGAAATCAAGCTGAACTGCAAGATTTCCTTCTTTTATTAATTAATTAATAATGGATTGGCCATAGTGAAAATTGATGAGAACTTGGTAGAGGTGTTCAGTCAAAAATACAAAGTAAAAATAAATAAATGATATTTATTTTTGCCTACGTTTCGGCCAAAGTTCAGGCATTCATGAGGGCTGCTCTCACAAAAGGTTTCCGTAAGATGATTAATTAATTTATTAAGGGTATCTAATTTTTATAGAGGCTGGATGTGCCCCAGGTACATCTATGAATCGAGGATCAATCCATGGCTGATCTAAAGCAGGCCTACATGGTCAGTCAGGAATGACTCCAACGATCTCTTTTGAATATAACAGTTACTGATAAAGTAAAACGTGAACATTTTTCCAATTTATTAATTGATTTTACTATTACCATAAAAAATCATTTTTAAAATTTTAAGATAGAAATATAAACATGTAGGAATATGAAACTGTTTATTTAAAATGCCAATTCACATTCTGCATTGGTTTAGAAACTTAGATTACAAGAACAGCAGTTAGTCTATCCCTTATTTTTTACATCAGTCTTACCTCCACTTCTCACGAATAAAGCTTGGATTTCAGAAACTGTCAGTACAGTCTATCAACTCGTCAATCTTAACACATAATCGCTGCCATGAAAAAAAATTATCATTTGTATACTACAGAAAATAATTGATTCTCATTCTCTTAATTCTAATTTTGTGAATGTGGGTGAAAAAATTATTGTACGAATATATGTTAACCTTATATGATCAATCAGAACACCAATCATCACTTAGAATGTCATTCTGACTGACTTTGTATGGTCTCCTTAATAGAATAAATAATTATCTGCCAAAATCAAACTAGAACCTCAGACTAGAAGCATAGCAGCAAAGCGCCTTACTAGTTAGTCGACTCCTTATCCAAAAGTAAATTAATTTAATAAGGAAAATCATACCTGATATTGATCGAATGGAATTTTTTCTACTTTGCTTTCTTCCATTCTTGCTTTTAATTCTTTCACTTTAGAACTGACCTGAAAAAAAAAGTTATGCTTGAGGGAAGCTTCTCAAATCTTCTATATTATAGCTAAACAACTTAAAGGAGACCCTCTTAGTGTGCCTGGAAACTGATTTTATTTAAATAACAATCAAATTACGTATTAATGCACATGATTGAAAGAATGTATAAGACTTTAAAATGTGAAAAAAAAAAAATCACAATGGTATATACAGTACAATTCCACTTAACTGGCTCTTCAGATTAATCAAAAGTAAGCAATAAATGAAAAAAAAAAAAGTTAACATCCTTAAAAGTACGTAAAACTTTATGAGATTCTTGACCACTGGTTATAAATAGATTGAAATGTAGACAGAAACTTTTTGATTATTATTTTGTTAACAATCGACCGAACCTCACTCAATAAAACAAATCTATTCGAAGCAAAACTGATTCTTGAAACAAAATCCTTATCTTTTATCCATTCATAGATAAATGAAAGAAGAAATTTCCGACACACTACTGTAGTAATTGCGAATACCGTCGACATTAGACGTGTCAAATTTTCTTGGAAAGGTTTTAGTTTGTGTACTATATTTTTCTTTTAAAGAAGAAGTTAAAATAAAATTGGATTTTTTTTTATTATTAGTATATTATCGGCTCTCCCTCGTAACTAGCAATATCTTGGTCCCAACAAGGACGGATACGTGGGAGTCTACTGTATGACAAAGTTTTCAGCAATAACTCCACTCACAAGGGTTTTCCTTAACATGTCCATCTCAATACATTGATTGACACGCTATTAACATATTAAAGTGGCAAGATGAAGATTAAATAATTAAAAATTAATAATTTAAAAAAATTACCCCTGATTTTCTATAAATTCCTTCAGTATAGAGGCCGTACATTTCAATTGTTGTTATCAACCTATCGACTACTAAAGGTATCTTTTCTTCCTCCACTATAAGGAGTTGCAGAGGAACACCAAACACCGGATTTGGACATTGCTTTTTCACGACAACTTCTTTATCTTTGCTACATGTATTTATAACTTTGGAATAACATTTCTTGTGGCAGGTAAACTTGCAATCTGAAATTAATAAAAATTAAATGTTAGTTTACATTTTATTATATTAGTATGTAAAAATATTTCAAAACACAAAAAATATCTATAATTACTTTGACAGACAAGACCACGCTCTATAGGCCACATGAAAAAAGAACTGCATATTTCACAAGCGGTAGGAATGTTAATAATTGTCAAAATGAAATGGTGTCCACGATAAATGATTGGATCTTCTGTTTTCCGTTTCTTTTCCTTTTTACGTTTTGTCTTCCTTGGTTTTTCCTGCTCTAATCTTGAATTCATAAATTCGTTCATAAAACCTCGAAATGCATTCACCCCCATGGTCACTGGAAAGTCCTCTCTCATATTTTCTTGCAATCGGACTGTTTCCATAACCTAAGACAAAAAAATAAAATACAATCATATGAGAAGGCAGAGATATAGTTAGCTGTAGGCCAATAAGTAAGAAGTTAGTGGTAAAGTAAAAAACTGAAGTACACACATTTTTAAAAATTTTTTTTATTGAGTCGACATTTCAGCTTTCATCAGGGCTAAGTAAAGACGAAAACCACAATAATCAATAAAAAAGAGAGAAGATGAAATGGTATCTGGTTTACCAGTAAATAAATACTGAGATGTGAAAAAGTAGATACTATTTGAACAATCTCCCTCTGGTGGCTCACAATCAAAGTACAAACTACTATTTCTTGAACAAGAATTTTATTATACTTATTCGTGAAAATGGGAATATAAAACATTTTTCTCTAGTCTCGAATGTGGGTCTTATTATTACGAATCCACTGTTGTGCCCACTGAAATACTGTCAGTTCTTTAAAGTTAATAATTCACCAGATCTGGAGTTATAATATGAGAGGATTAAGCTTTGAAGACAAATAATTTAACCACACCCCAAGATTATCTAAATTATTTTCAGTTTCAAGCAATAATCTATGAACAATAAATAACTTTTTATATTTTAAAATTTTGACAAAATTATTAACAACTTACATGCGAAAAATTTGCTATCAAATCTTTGTACTTGATGTTTAAAGCCTCGGGACCTTGTTTATTAAAAACACTATACGTAGCAATAAGATTATCTTTGAATTCTCTTAGCGCTTGCTTGAACACTTTATCAGCATTTGATGGTTTTTGACCTTCTTCAGCTTCCATTTTATAAATCTGTAATAATAAATAAAAATATTAATTTTCTTGAGCAGTAAATAAAATTGTTAATAATTAGCATTAAATTCTGTAATACAGTTAAAAACGCTATTCATCTTTGTAATGATGAAACTAATATTTAAAAAACATAAAATAATTCTGTATGTTTATATTATGACTAGTTGGCAGCACAGATAATTCGCATAGTATATTAGCAAGTGAACAATTGGTAATATAATATAGAAATAACTTGATGTAATGTAATGGGTGATAAAGGAAATAATTTAATTTTTCTCAGTTAAATCACTCTGCTTATAACAAACCAAAACATGAATACATTACTATAGGCTGTATCTTAGCTAATAATGGTCCGATTTCAAAGATTTTTTTTTTATTATGTATGGAATTTAATTTTTTTTTTTTTGTCTTATCCTTCATGCTTTTTCAGCTATGCAGGATTTTTCCTAGGGCAGGGAGGGGTAGGAGATTAATGCCAGAGTTAAAAGCCCCTCAGGTATTCTTTGGTTTATCAGGTTGCCAGGCAGGTGTATTTTGCAAATGCATTAAACCGCTCGTCCACCCTGCCCAAAAATTATATGATCTTTTCCCAGTTAATATAATTGAAGTGATTACATTTTAGCAAATAAAATGGGTATATAAAATTATTAGGCTTAGTAATGAAAGAATCCCTAAAAGGTTAATATTTACAGTTCCGATTGGTAAGCGGTCAGACCGAAACAAAGTTGGAAAGACTGCGTTAAGGCTGATCTGGTGGAGTTCGGTTTGGATGGCGGACCGAGTGAAGGGAGGTGTGTAAAGAGTGAATCATAATATCTGCATTGAACCTTCGGGATCGCCAAGCCTGTAATTATTTATTACTAAACCTCCAAAATTCCAAACTAAACACACTGGTGGAGTGTTAATGAAGTTGTCAAAGAATATTTAAATTTGTTCTTACTATATGTATATAATAATATAATTAACACAGGTCAACTAGTAGTTCTTTGATGAGAATATATTTCCTTGTCAAAGGATCTGGAGAATAAATAATTTTACCTTTTTTGTAATGAAGTCTTGCATCGACTGGAGTTCGTTAATATCTGAAATTATTTTATCGGTGCTGTCGGTAAATTCAGAAGTCCCTGTAAGATTAAATTTCACTTGAGCAGCTTGTTGGTTATATGATGAATTTTTATCAGACGGTTGAGGGCGGGAAGATTTACGCGAATGTTTCTGCCTGCGTCCATCTCTAGAAGCGGTACAGGGTAATTGCATAACTCCACCGTTCTGGATGCATTTTGTATGGAAAAGATGCTTACACTCTGAAAGATATGTAAAATTTTGATTAGTATAAAATGATTACAATGCTAAATATTAGTTCAAGTCATTGAATCGTAAATTAAATATTCATGTTGACTTAAATGTATTTTATACATTGTATCAAAATAAAGGATTCGATCTTATCATAATATTGAAAGAAAAATGGCATATCGATCTTTTTTTGTCCACTTTATAAACTTAATAAATATTTAAAAAATAAATAAAACAGGCATATCGACATGTACTAAAATGTTTTAAGTCATTCAAATATAAACCGTTAAATATCTCCATATATTATAAAATGGAGTATTAATACTTTAAAAGAAAACAAAAGGTCATATTGTCAACTTATTACAAAAAGTCACGAAGTTTATTTTTGATGGAGCTGTACTTTTAAGAATGTTTTTTTGTGAATTTTGACCTTATTAACTAATAAAAAAATACAGTAAGCACAATAAAATGACACAAACTCATTTATACATCAAATATAGTAGTACAAATGCAAAATTTTCTGATTTGACAAAATAAAATTTATCAATTTTTTTTGTAAATCAATTGTTTTGTTAAAATTTATCAATCACCTCAAGTAATTTGAGGTTATGAAAAGTCACATAATGACTTTTCGCAAAAAACAGATCATATATTTGTTAAGTACTAAAAAATTTTATTTTGATATTGATATCATTCAATATTAATATTTTTAATTCGATATTAAACTAATATCGATATCGATAAGGAATATTGGAACTTGCCCAATATCGTAACAACCCTAATCAAATCTTTTGGTGAAAAAAAACAAAAAACAATTTATTAGATCACATCCATAACATTTCAATTAAGTAACATCAAATCAATTACCCGTGCACAATTTAAAATCCAACAGTAAATTTGGATTTAGCAAAAATAGTTCGTGGTACAGATCCCTTTTTATCGAATTATTAACATCTGCCTGACACTTCATGAATAGCTTCATCTCATTGTAACTGACAACTATTTTATTTACGAAAATTCACAGAATTTTGGGGTGTTTTCAATCAGGAGATCAGTAAACTTTGTCTATTTAATTAGGTATTAAAAAATCGTAAAAACCCATTTGCTTTTCACTTGGATTGTAAGATAATTTGAGCACAAAATAGAGAAAAAAGATGGCCTTCAAAAATATTAAGCAATTCTGTGTGATATACACTCCCAAAATGTCAAAACAATGAGGTTATATAGGCCAAAAGGTCCAATATTTTTGTGCTCAAATTATCTTACAATTGAAGTGGAAAACAAATGGGTATTTATAAGGTTTGAGTACCTAATTAAATAGACAAAGTTCGCCGATCTCCGGATTGAAAACACCCCAAAATTCAGAGAATTTTCCTAAATAAAATATTTGTCATTTACGATGAGATAACGAAGTTTCAGGAGGATGTTAATAATTTGATAAAAAGGGGTCTGCACCACGGACTATAAAACTTTAACTATATCGATATCCACGGCTGCAGCTATGGAGGAGCAATGTGGGGCCTGTTCCCCTTTTAACATGAAAAATAAAATATAAAAAATTGCTTCCCTTTAGGAGGTATACCCTTGGCCTGGCTATACCTCTTACCAAGCAGCCTCGTATCATTGGCAACATGACGTCCTTGCACTTATATACTACTTCTCCAGCAAAGTAGCAACCATGACAGACATATCTTGATGATACTACAAACAACACCAACACCCTACACAGGCCTCACTAATGCTACTCTTTAATACAAACTAAAAGAACGGTGCAGATTATGGAAAACATATTAACTATGACAAATACTAACAAATCATTTTTAAATTTTAGAGAAGGGTACATAGTCAATAATGAGAATGAAAAATTTTTTTCAGAAATTTCAGATAAGATAATATTTATTTGGTCAGCAGACTTCTTGATCTAAACATGTGGGTCATCATCAGGGATATTATGTAAATAACCTACAGGAAGTTAATTTTAAATGATTAGTTTTGGCGGGAATAGGCGCATAGCCTTCCCCTTTTATATCGGGGCTTAAGGTTATTTACACTCCTGAATATTAAAACAAAACCACAGCACTGGATATCGACTTTTTGAGGGTATTTAACTGTGATTGGGAATTCGGGGATCTCTTACCTTTTGTGACATTGAGTGAGAAGAAACAATAAGAACATATATATATAATGTGGGACTTAGTAAACACTTTGAATGAATTGACTCGCCTGGTTTATTCTTCAATTGTGAGGCCTATAGGATAACTAAATAAAAGGACTATTCACTCCGGTATAATAAAACAATTTATTTACAACTGCAATAAATGAATGTATAAAAGTCTTATAACTGTAGGCTTGATATTCTTAGTCTTCAATGTAGTAAGCCTCTCTTCCCAGATGACGTCTTCTTGTGTTGGTGTCCAGGCCTCAAGTATTTGGCGTCCTCTTCACCATCTGTTGCCAGCTACCTGATCGGACCTTTTCTTCTTATCGATTGTTTATCAATGTGAGATTTTCCAATGAGCGATTTGCCAACTGTACAATTGAGTACAATTTACAGTGCAACCTCACATTCCTATATATTCCTTCTCATTGCCTCACACATTGTCATCTAAAGGAGTAAATACAATTGTTTGGATAATAGAAGAAGTTCTTGTCTCGATATCTGCACGATAGTCCTGATGATGACCCAAATGTTTGGGTTGGAACATCGGTTAATCCAATAAATATTATTGCGAATGAAATTCCGGACAATTTTATTTCATCATAATTTTTTAAATAAAGACAAAAAATTTGTTCTCAAGAACATGGTACTGAACCCTTTTTATCAAATTATTTGTGAATGGCTTCATTTTGTTTACCAACAAAGTTTTCATCAACGGAGGTATTTTCTCATCAAATTAATTAATTTAATTAGGTACTAAAAACTCATATGTTGTAAGTTGTTTTGACGTTTTAGGCACAAAACATCCAGGTCATCAGTGGCCAAAATCGTAAGATAATTTGATAACAAAATCGAAAATAACACTGGGCTGTTTGGCATAGATAACCTCGTTATTTTGATATGTTGGGGTGAAGGTCACGCCAAAATGCCCAATATTTTTGTAGACCAATTGGTACTTCTTGTCTAGGGGGCAGTTTTGAAACCTCACTTCTTATCTATCTTATCTAACATCACATCACATAACCTCCCTCTTCTTATTCCGCCAAACTTTTGAGTTATTGCATTGTTTAGTTTTCAGTTACTCCCTTATTACGTTCATTTATTAAATTATTTACTTTTGGTCCATTTGTGTTTATTTTACATTTTTTTTTCCTTTATTTTCGTCATATTATGGATCTTCTTAGAACCTGGCAAAGTGGTTGAAGTAGACGAAAGTCTTTTTTCTAAACAAAAAAATCAAACAAAAAATCATGTGAGGAGAGTTTTACCTCAGCAGTGAATGTTTGGTGGAGTTTGCTGAGAAACAGATGAATGTTTTATCGTCAAAATAATTTACAGAAAGGCAACAACCTTATTACAAGCAATTAAAGAAAATATAGAAGAGGGAACGACCATTTATTCGGACTGTTGGAAAGGATACAACACCGGACAACTGAACGAAGCAAACTATGACCATTTTCAAGTGAATCACCGGTATAATTTTGTCGATTCATCAACTGGGGTTCATACTCAACACATAGAACGATTATGGGGCTCAGCGAAGTAGAGAAACAAAGTACATAGAGGAACTGCCAGACAACACCTCGATTCATATTTGTGCGAATTTTTGAGGCGGCAGGTTCACAGAGAAGAGGACCCGTTCCTCGCTATTTTAAATAGCATAAAACAATTTTGCCTTCCAAAATAAATAAGACAAAAGGAAGTGAATAATTAAGTGAAAATAATTTGTATATATATTGTTTATAGTGTTGATATTTTTTCTTTTCTATGTAAATATGTTCTTTTTTATTATTTCATTAATATATGTATCGTCAAATATAAGTATTTTTTTTGTTATTGCATTTGTTTTTGTATCTGTTAACACTTTCAATAATACGAATTTAATATAATAATACGAAGATATGAAGTAGGAGAAGGCTTATCACTGCGTTATGGGAGTTATCAATGTTCAGGTTATAAACATTGGCAGATAGCAGTCAGGAGCGGCCCTGACAAGACTAACTAGACAAGAAGTACCGACCAATTTTATTCTTGATTTAGTGATCAAATTATCTTACGATTTAACTGAAAAGCAAATGAGTGTTAGTGAGTTTTAAGTACCTAATTAAATAGACAAAGTTTGCTGACCTCCAGATTGAAAACGCCCCAATTTCTAAAATTTTCGTAAATAAAATATTTGTAGGTAACGATGAAATGAAGTTATTTATTAAGTTTCAGGCTGATGTTAATAATCTGATAAAAAGGGGTCTGTACCACGGACTACAAGTCTTAAGCCCAAAAGAAAAAGAAAACTACAAGAATGGTGCAGAGTATAGATAACACTATTAAACTATGAAAAATGCCAACACATCACTTTTACATTAAGACAAGAAACTTGTTCTCCCATATACACCAATACTGCTAACAGACAAAGTCAACACCTAGAACAAATCTTTGATAGGATACAGCAAACTGTTATAGTTTTTACTCAGACGACAAGCCAAATTAAATTTAAGACAGAAACTTGCTACCAAAACATACTTACTAAAAACCAATTGGGTCTTGTACTTCTCAAATTTTAGGTTCTGTGAAAAAGATACACTAACATAGACTCTAAACATTCCAATCCAAGAATATTTAGACTTATTATAAAAGTCTTCATATACCTTCACATACCAACTTACACTTGTCAACAATCGGCAAATAAATATGGACTTACTACCAAAAAATTTCATGAAAATTAACAAAGACATAACAATCAGCAAATAGTAAGAATGACAACTACCAGTATGCCTGACAACATCACGAGGAGGCTGAAAAAGTTGTGGATGAGAGATCTTCTGCAAATTTCTTTTTTCTAAAATATTGTCACAGGAGACATACCACTGGGTGTTTTTCTTCCTCATGCCTGACATGTTAATCTTGCATTAGACAGATGTGTATATATAAATTTAAAAAATTTAACTAATACCCAACACTAGTTTAATTTCACTCACCTGAACATTTGTGTCCTTGTGTGATGAAAGCATCCATAGGTTGCGAACAATAAAAACACCGATCCTCTTTTGTAAACCTTCCAACTTTACGGAAGCTGTGACCAGCGATGGTAAACATGGTCGTGCCTTTCCATTCCAGTAAATCAGCAGAAGGAGAGTGCTGAGGTGGCGTGGGTTGTTTCGTATTGGTTCCTGCTGAGGATTCGGTTTGAGTTGCTGGATCACTATTCCGCCTTTTAAGATCCATGCTACTGAAAAAAAAAATCATGAATGAATAACTGAAAAAGAACATAAATATCTGACTCTGACACTTTTAGTACCAGAATCTATAAACTTTAAAAGAATATATACAGCGTCCAATATAAATCAGCTCAAATACCGCTCACGGGCAGACGACCTTAACAATAACAAAAAATTCCAGAGGAAAAAGTTGTAGATTTATATTATTCTACAAAAAGTTCTAAGAACTCTACTCTACTATACTACTAAAAATTCTACTATATTATAAATATATATATAAAAAAGGGAACCTGTACCACTACAACCCATGATGGGTCTTGGGTTCAGTACTATTTAGGGAAAGTACTCTTTCTTGGTCAACAATTTCGTATGGAGGTGATTTGACTGAAATCACGCTCAACCGCCAGGTTTTCTCCCTTAATTAATTGTTTAATAAAGGGTACCCATTTTATTGGGGTTGGGTATGCCATAAGAGAGTCTCCTCATCCCAGGGCAGCCCCACAGCTAATTAAACAGAATAAATAATTTTTTTGCCATGAGCGCGGTTCGAACCTGGAACCTTAAGCAATGGAAGATCAGTGGCCTACCACTGAGCTATCCCACTCCCTTATACTATACTACTACGAATTCTATTGTAATAGGAAAAAATTCTACAAAAATTCCAGGGCAAACAGTTGCAGATTTCTATCGTTTCAATTAACACAAAACCAAAAACCTAAGGTTGCAGATAACACCTATTTTTTAATACTCTCTTTTATTGAAAGTATTTCTATCACTAAATTAATAAACATTTTGAATTCAGAGAATCAAATTTCTTTCCAAAACACAGAAAACAAAATTTAATTTTTATATTTTTCAAAAAAATACTAAACCTACAGGCTTGACAATACCTTTTAAATAAACAAAACACAACAATAAAATGATAATGATTTTGGTAATTTAAGAATATAAAATAATGCAAATCTAACAATTTTTAAAGAGATTGAAATGCGTACTTCAGATTATTTCTGATACCTAAATATCAAATATGTAATACACTACTTCCATTTTAACTTCACGGAAAATGCAATATAAAAAGTAATTGCTAATATTAGCTTCCTAAAGAAATTTTTTTATCCATTGTTTGTAAAGAAATATAGAAAACTAAATTTTTCTTCAAATGATAAAAATCAATTGCTTCAGTAGATATAAAATTTATTCATTTTTTGGATGAAGTAGGCTATATACATAACTTTAAAGAGCTTCAAGAAAACTTCAGACAAATTTCATTAAAATTGTCAAAGCCTTTTTGGCCACCATTTTGAAAGACAAGGGTGTGGTTGCCAATGCCGAATTCCGAGGATCATTCTTGAATGAGTTCTGACTTTGATACTAAATCTCAAAACAATTAGCCCAGCAGTATCAGAGAAAAGTCGTGGACAACAGACAAATGGATGAATTTTTTTTATATCAGTTTTTGAATTCTACATTTCTTGAAATATAGAACATTATATTGTAAGAGTAGATTAACTATTTTTTTTTTTTTTATTATTTGATTACAAATGCTCATTATTGAAAATAAAGGAAAATATGCACCCTAATAAACCGAAGATTATGACTTCTGTACAAAATTGTCCTTACAGACTTTTGCAGTGTGGCTATCGATATTAGTTATCCATTTATATTAAATACCACAAATAATTTCATATGAATATATATATTTAAGATATTTACTAACATTGGTAGCTTATTAGGCTTTATCGGGAGAGGGGGATCTTCCCCAATACTCCTACAGACGACATCTCTCCGCCTCGGCTGCCTCGGAGGAGGCGGTTTGGCGATTTTTTTCTCATCGATCCAACTCGGTTCAGTTTCCATTTCACTATCACTGTGAGCGTCACCTTTCCTCTCTTTAACAGTGCCTATGTAAACATTCATAATTAATTAACAAATTAATTAAAAAATCTATGGCATGGAAATTATAATTCTTTTAATTTTTGATCAGAAAATAACTCAATAAACTAATAACAGTAATAGTAAAGAGATGAACTATATTCATACAGTAAAACTTCATTAAAATGCTCCTGTTTAGAATGTTCTTTCGTTCAGTTGTAATAAGATATTTAAATAAATGAATAAGGTTAGCTAATTTGCCATAAATACACTATAGAAATAAAAGTAGTGATGTAATAGAAATAATTATGCATTAACGTTAATAATACATGAAATAACATATAATAATAATAATACTTTATTTATTCTGGGACGAGTCCCTTTAGAATAATACAGCAAGACAGAAATGTGGGATAAGGAGCCTCAAAGATACATAAATAAAAATACAGAGTAATTAAATAGTAAAAAAAAAATTATGTAAATAACTTTCTAATTTTGATCAGTCAATAATAAAAAATTGATAAAAAAAAAAAAAAACATGAAGTAAAAATAATGAAGAACGAACTAATAATTTAAATACATATTAACAGTAGTATCTATTTACAATTTTATGGGGACTGGATGGATAAGAAATGACTGAACAGGTGGGATTTAAAGGTTAGAAGGGTATTGGATTGACGGATGTGGGAAGGGATGGAGTTCCATTGAGATGAGGATCAGATAACGAACGATCTGTCGAAAGCAGCGATTCGGTGGACCCTTATGTATAAATCAGAAGACCGGGAACGAGTATTACAGGAACGAACAAAGGATTTGAATTGAAGGAGCTCGGAGATGTATGAGGGGCGGTGGGATTGGATGACTTGAAAGAGGAAGGATGCCAGGAAATACTTACGATGGTAGGAAGGATAAAGCCACTACAACTCTGCATAAAAACGGGAAACAGAGGCGTCCCTTGGGATCCCGAAGATGAATCGTACAAAGTAATTTATCAAACGTTTTAGTTTCGCCTCGAGATCCACAGAGACGCCCCTATATATTGTACAACAATAGTCAAAGTGGGAAAAATAATGTATGTTCAGAATATAGTTCATAGACAATATGAATTTTGACCCTCCCACTCTGGTTGAATAGGTTTGTTACACCTGTAGAATAAAATCCCTCTATACCAGAAATGCCCAGGTGGGAGGTAAAGAGAAAACAAATTTAGAAACGTCTAAAAATGAAGGTATATTACTAATAATCTTTCTGGAATATATACATTTAAAATAAAATAAATACTGTAAACTTGGACCATCAATGTAGATATACAATGTGTCCTGTCAGTAGAGGGAAATTTTTATAAGAGTACCGGAAAAGTATTAGAAAAAAATCAGTATTTTTCACAAAAATAAATTTTAATAAATAAAAAGTGTATTTAGGCAATTATGTTTATTATAAAACATCCTAGATCATGGAAAAAAGAAATAATATCTTTACAACAGTTAATTGTAGTCACGTTAGCTGTAAACAGGGGTAAATTTTGCCAAATAAGCCTCAACTCAATTAATATTAACATAAAGTTTATTAGACAAAGAAATTTTCCTAAAAATTGAGTATAATTTGACGGTGATAAAAAAAAAAAAAAAGTTGTGAATAATTTACGAGTTTTTAAAAAACAGAACTTAGCTTAGTTTAACCACCCAAAAGTCCTCTTTTAATAGTTTCAACAATGAAAAGCTCTACTTCTTTTTTAAATAAATGTTGTCTCGTAGTTTACTGTGTATTGAATTGCTTAAATTGTTTTAATATTTTATTAATTATTGCTTCCTATTCAACAAAAAATGTAACTCAATTAAAAATAAAACAAAACACAAATCTTGAATTTCCTAATATTTTACTGGAAATTGGGCCATTGTTTATATAAACTTTTTTATAGATTTTGATGTCTACTATCTATCTTTTAAATATTCTTTCATACTTATGGGACACCAAGTATATATTTCTTTTTTAATACAATAAATTCTAATAATTCATTTAGTATTTTTTTTTTTTTTTTTTTTTTTTGTGCTTTATCGGTCACAGCGAAATTTTTCTTTGGACCCCTAGAAAGCATTATAAGGCATTATGAAAATTATAAATTATTGTGCATACCAATTGTATAATGTTCATCTGAGAAGTTTCTATTTTCATGGAAGAAAGCTTTCCTAGTTGCTGCACGCCTACGAAATTCAAGGTTTTTTATTTCTTCTTTACGCTCTGCAACGCTAAACAAAAGAAAATAGATATGATACAATCATCAAAAAATTTATAAATTTTAAAACAAATTTTAATAGGCCATCAAAGCTGAAAGAGACATACTACATACAAAAATATTTCATCCATAATTATGGAAAATCCGATGAAGTTTGAAATGAATGTTTCATTTTATGTACATATATATATTTATTTTTTTAATTCCTTATAGATTTATGGTTGCCACAATGCGGGATGACAAATTGCAACTTTTCTACATATTTCAAATTTTTTCCAAAGAATCATCATGTTGGAGATTTGATTATATAAAGTTTATAAATTTACAAATTGTAAGTAAAGACGGAAAGTTGAAAATAAAGGACAAGCTATGGCAAAGAACATGTTTTTACAAATATGAACTACATCAAGTGCGATGACCCTTGAAAAAACCAGATGCAGGGTGAAGATACAGAACATTCTATCAGAAGAATTTGAAGTAGTGAATGGTTTATGCCAAGGAGATCCTCTTCCCCTGTTTTATTTAATATTGCATTGGAGCAAGCGGCGAGAGAAATAAAGACAAACCCAGGAAGAACAATCTATAATAGACTTACCCAACACTTGGCGTATGCTGATGACATGGTAATATTGTCAAGATCTAAAGCCGCACTATCAGGAGCTTTACAAGAGTTTGAAGATGCTTGAAAAAAATTCCTTATTTAAATCAATAAGGAAAAACCCAATACATAATAACCTCAAAAAGTGAGAGCATGCAACTGCTCCACCACACTTTTAAGAAAGTTGGCAGTTTCAAATAACTCAAGAGCCTTAGCGACAGGCAAAAATGACATCACTGTAGAAATTAAAGCAAGAATCGCAGCAGGCAACAGATGTCTTTTTGCATTATGGAAAACATTGCGTTTTTGAAACCTGTCACAGAAGGCAAAGCTAGTGGTTTATAAGACTATCTTGATCAATTGTCACTTACGCAGGTGAAACATGGGTCCTGACAGGAATGCGAGAATATCCTCCGGATCTGGGAAAGGAAGGTCCTTTGGCAAATCTTTGGGCCAATATGTAAGAATGGCCAATGGAAAATAAGAAATAACAGAGAACTCTCAAGAACTGTATAAAGAACCAGACATGGTCACTTATGTTAAATCAAGCCGACAAGACTAATACATGATAAACCAGAAGGCAAAAGAAGAAGAGGAAGGCCCTGACTAAAAGGAATTGATGATGTGGAGAACGGTTTGCAGAAGATGAGAATTGTACAATTGAGGGGCATTGATAGGGAGGATTGGAGAGGCGTTGTAGAGGCCAAGACCCTACAAGAGCTGTAGAGCCACAGAAGTAAATAAGCAAGAATTACATCTAGAATAGTGCACAAGTAAAAGTTATAAATGAGTTCCAAAAAGAAATAAATAGGACTAAGCCAAAAACACATACTAATCTAAATTGCTGTCAGTAATTGTATTAGTATGCGTAAGGGCTGTATCGTGCTTCGATGTTATTCCATCTCTTTGTTCAGAACTTTCGGCTAAAGATTCCGCTCTGAAATAGAAATATTAATATTAAAATCACATTTTTGGCTCTTACGTCTGATAATTACAATATAATTTATTTTGATATGATCCTTAGCATTTCTAATAAAAACAATCGTATGTAAAGCTCAACGATTAGTTTGGCAGTCTGGGAGCAAATTTGGCCCTAAGCTGAAACTAGCATTTTATTTTTCCATAACTTTCCAACATTATTTACAAATTAATATTTAAATATTTTCACAAATCCAGACATTTGGTTGATCTAAACATGATTAAAATAAAATTTAGTTAAATAAAAATTTCATTTAACACACTATAAGTTTGAATAATTTAAAGAGAATTTTATTTTTAGAGATGTTGGAAAAATATTAACATAACAAACATTGATATTTAGGAAAGACATTTAAATCATTTTGGATGTCTTCTTATTTATCAATAATTCTTGATAACTCCCTAAATATCTTTCCATGATCCATCATATGGCCATTTTCCTTCTCTATATTTATACGTTATTATATTTCGATTGAGCAAATTTTTGTAATATCTCTTTTTATATGTGCATTAAGTAATGTACATTGTTTTATTTTAATGTTTATTTCATTTCTAAATTCTTAACTTTTATATTATAATATCAATGTATTAACACTAAATTAATGTAATATATTTTGTTTTGTGGTAGTATAAAATAAATAAATTTCCACTTTAATCATAATGATGTTTTGTTTTGTTAATAAATTCATTAAACAATTTCCTAATTATTTTACATTGAATATTATTAAGATTTAATTTTCTTTTCCCCACTTAAATATCAGACTTACCTTATAAAGTCTTCATTTACATTGATAGATGGAGTTTCTGGAGTATTTGGTTTTTCAGAAACACTGGTTTTTCTTTCAAGTAATTCAGCTTTCATCTGAAAAACATTAATACTGAATTAAAAAACTAAACAATAAACAATATTAATTCAATCATGCGAATAATTTGTATAGTATATTGGTCAGTCACCAAATAATAATATAATGTAGAAATAAAGAAATGTAAATGTTCATTAATAAAAGGTAATACAATTCTATTTTATAGTAATATAATGAAGAAATAAAATAAATTCATCCAAATTTCCAAGTTAGTTTAGGACAAGTGTCACTAATGTTAAATTTTAAAAGAAACAATATTTCAAATTTTGAATTTATATTTTTCTCCATTAGTAGTGAAGGTAATCTTGAAAATTAAGGGCTTTTATGAAGTATTAAGATAAATATGGAGTACCAACAAACAAAACACTTTTGAACTAATACGGAAATACTGTAAATTTCTCAGAATATTATTTATTTAATTATTACGTATCCAATGCATATTATGTTTTCTTTAATTTATTATTATTAAATTATTCAAACTTAATACTTCTAAAAATTAATGTTTCAGGCATCATAAAATATTTTATTCCAAATCTATGATGCAAAATCCTGGAGTGTATTCTTATCTTCTCAAGAATTCTTTTGAATCTTGAAATTCTTTTTTTGAAAAATCTTTCTTATAGAAATTGATACACATAGATTTTACTTCACATAATTATTTTAAAAAAGTATATATTTCTTGAAACTTACAACTATAACAACTAAAAATACAAGAAATATGAATTGATATGACAGACAGATTTTTAGAGCAACAACCCCTTGGTAGCACTCCAATAATAATATTCTATATTAGAAGTTCCCTTTTTTCAGTAATCGATTATAATGCAAGGTTAGAAATTTGGTTTGAAATATTTTATTCATAAAATTCATAATTGTCAAATTCATGTGCTCCCCTCAAAAATTTGCCCCCCTCAAAACTTTTGATGGTGCAACACAAGTAACAAAACCCCCTTCTGGGTACCCCTGGTTTTTGTATTTCTGAACAGAAAATAAATAATAATAAAATTACATACTAGAGATATGTTGGAATTTATGAGTGGATTTTGATAAATTGAATAAATAGTAAAATTATAAGGCCATATATGAGTCATTATTAACCGAGCCTTTCAGTTCACAGAATGACTAACATCAATTTCAACATTTTTGAGTAGTCATTTTAGTGATAATTCTAATTGCAAAATTTATAATATCTGTACCGGCAGTAAGTAAATTGATTCCAGAGAAGGTGATTGCAGTGTTGAAATATACAACTGTGAATAAAGGTATCCATTTTCCCACTAAAATTATTAAAATTAATAATAAAAAATGTTAAAATTGCAGTTAGTTATTCTTTCAACAGAAAGCCTTAACTGATAACACACATGTGTCATCAGCAAATGTGGTAATGATGTTGTTAGGATCAGTTGAAATGTCAGCTGTATGAACTGTATAGCGGACCCTACACGGTAATTCATGAATGAACGTCACAAGAAGTGCCAAGATTGCTCGGGATCGCTTTGATCATGAAGACCCTTACACGTTCAATCATTACTGATCATTACTTATCGTTGCTGATACCTATTTAGCTCAGCTTTAAACAAAGAAACAACATAAATATGCTTATTTGGACATTGTCATTTATAATATTGGGCATCAAGAGAAAAACGGAGATATAATAATTACTTCCTAGTGTCTGAAAATCATTTAGACCAAAGTTAGAAAAATATAAGTCAACTACATACAAATATCTAGGAAAAGTATTGCGAAAATAATCAATTTGTTAAGAAAAATGGAAAAATTAATGGCAAATAAACACAACGGTTAAAGATTTTTTTTCTATAAGTAAATTGTGAAGTTTCCACTTTTTTTTCTCTTCAATTTATTGCCTACTTGACTATTTAAAGAAAAAATAGTTGAAAATGGTTAATAATAATATAGACTAGGGATATAAACAAGTATTACTTCTATGAAATTATTTACTTAATAACGAGATCTAGGTAAACTAACCTATCTAGTAGTAAGGTTAGTCTCATAGAAAATCGTTTTGACAAAAGTTAGTAAAATATAAGTCTACTACTTACAAAAATTAAGGAAAGATATTGCGAAAATAATAAATTTGTTGAGGAAAATGGGAAAAGAACTGATAAATATACACAACGTTAAAGTTTTTTTTTTTTTCTTAAAGTAAATTGTGAAGTTTCTTCATTTTTTTTTTAAATTTGTTGCCCACTTGACTATTTAAAAGAAATAGTTAAAGATGGTTTAAAATTATAAACAAGGGATATGAAAAATTATTGAACTATTTACATATAATGAAAATCAGAAATTTATAATGGTTGTGAGGCCTAGGTAACCTAACCTATCCAGCAGTATGGTTAGTCTCCCCACTACTTTCACCTCAGTCCCTCCTCCAGTTCTCATAAATGAACCTATGATTTCCAGATGTTCGGAAATCCGCAGCGCATCACCATCAGTACTTCATTCACTATCTTACACAATAATTCGGAACGTCATTAGTGCAATTCCGAATGACCGTGTAGAGTCCGCTTATAGATGATGGGATCGAGGATACTACCTTGAGGAACTCCAGCGGACTGAGTAAAAATAGGGATGAATAGGCACCATTGCGGTTAACCTTGATCTGTCAAATAATAAATTACAAAAAGCTTCACAAATGTAAAAATAAAAATAAGTGTGAAAATTACCGATTCAACTTTTATCCTAAGAAGATATCCCCTCGAATGAGCTTGAAAGATGACAATACCAGCTTTCAGTTTTCTCAGCCACGTCGTCGCAACGTAACCCCTCCAAGCTCTTTGGATTTGAACGATACTCATCATTTTCTGTTTTCTGAGTTGCTGTGCCAGAACCATTCTCCACCAAGCCTATATAAACAGTATAAACAGATTTTTACTTTAAATTTTTTGAAACATTGTAACAACATTCGTGGTTTCGGTTTGAAAATGTTCTAACTGCATTTACTATAATTTTGAGAAACAGAGCTTCAAAGATATAATTTGCTGTAGTATGAATATTTTGTTACTTAGAGTAACAATTTTGTTTGTACAATAACTCGAAGCTGTGAACTTAATTTTATGTTTGTCGATGACTTAATTGTTAATATATTTTTGAATATTGAAATTTCGCAGTTAGAACTTTTGTCATTCCAGTTAAGGCATTTTTTGAGGTGAGACAAGGTTCTAAGTGCAGATGAGAGCAATCTAAATTTTGAGGTTGAATTAAATAAAAATATTTAGTACTCCTTTTTTTTTTTTTTTTTTTTTTTTTTAAACAAATTGATTTATTAAATTATTTTATCCTTTTTAAGTTAAATGAAATAAAGGGTATTTATTTCAGAAGCAATCTACATTAAAATCATAGTCCATGTAGTTATAACTAAAGAAAAAAATTTTTTTTTACAGAAACAATATAAAAAAAAAATTCTGATCATGTAATGAATGATATGTGCATTCCTAAAACCAACATGAATAATGTAAAATTTGTTTCTTTACACTATATATATTTTATCTTCTAAAATTTTAGTATAATATATTTTTTTTTTTGCGATTTTTCTAAAACTTGTGAAAATATCATATGTCGTTTCTGAAATGGCCGATTCATATATGTTAAAACACAAATAATAGATAGGTGATAAATATTCAGGACGCAGTCATTATAACAAATTTTTAATAGTGCCAACGTTTCAACCAAAATATGTGGGTCATCATCAGGGCTGAAAATTTTAATTTTAGAACATGATTCAGTCAAAAATCCAATTTTAAAAAAATGTGACGTAAGACAGTTATTCAGCTGAACCCTTCAATTAATGTTAAACCGGAGTGATCTACCAACTTTTGCTGCCGATTTAGAAGCTTGGACATTCTTTGTTCGTAAATTGTTTGAGGGAGTGGAAAGGATATAAAAAAATATGCTCTTGTATTTCCTGAGCAATAAGGATGAAATGGAATAAAATCATCTTAGTGGCAAAAAATATTAATTTGCAAAATGAGGAGAGATGATACCGGGTATAGTGGTCATAAAATAGTGAAATCTATTTATTAAGCCCACATTTCCCAATAACACTTCAAAGAAATAATTCATATCATAACTGAGTTTCTTTAAGTTGCAATGGAGTCAAATATTAGAATATTACAAAATAGAATATATATTAATAAAACTACTTATATAATTTTCAAAGTACCTGAATCGTTATAACAGAAGAGCGGATTCGAAGGAACCTGGAACGTTCGAGTATTGTTCTAAACCACCTTTGAATTTTGACGATGCTGGCTATGATTTGTTGATGTAGCCGATAATCCAGTTTGACCTTTTCACATTCCCTCATGAATATCTTACTGCTTCCGAGCTGATAATTATCTCGATTAAGATTTAACGTGAGAAGAAAATCCTTGACATCTCCTTGAGAACTGTAAAAGAAAAGAAATCAAAATATAATAAAAAAGGGTTTAAACAAAAATACACTCACAGGCAAAAAAATCCACCCACTTGATTTTTTCATGTTTTCATCTAAAAATATTTCTGCCACTTGGAAAAAAAGTTGTATTTGTATATAATACATGGTATTTGTAGATAATACTTAGTATTTATGGAATTTTATAATCTTTTTTACCTTTAATAATCAAAATGTGATTGGGCAAGAAAGATTAGAGAAAAAAAAAAAATGAAAAACCATTAACCATTAAGAACCATTATTATTCTAAAAGAAATTAATTACATCATCGTTTAGTAGCGCTTGTTTCCTCCTCTTGCCTTCACTACTTCTTGAAGACGCCTCAGCATACTTTCCACCAGTCGGGAAATGTCCCTTTGCTGGAGGATAGCCCATTCCTCCCAAAGAGCCCTTTCAAGGTCCTGCAGTGTATCAGGAAGTGTTGCACGCGCTCTTATTCGTCTTCTGAGGTTATCCCATAAACGCTCAATGAGGTTCAAATCTGGAGAACGTGCTGGCCAGGCTAAAACCTCAATATTGTTCTGTTGAAGGAACGTCTGCAATATGTGGGCGTGCATTATTGTACATTAGAATAGAATAGCCGATTTTGTTGAGGATAGGCAACACATGAGGTTCCAAAATCTCATTTACATAGCGAATGGCCGTCAAAGACCCTCCACGAACAACAACCAATTCTGTGCGGCGCTCCATTGAAATCCCAGCCCACACCATTAAGGAACCACGTTGGAAAGGTTGGATCTGCGAAAAATTACAGGCTGCATATCTTTCATTTCTTCTTCTCCACACCCTTTCACGCCCGTCTGGAGATCGAAGAGCGAATCTTGACTCATCTTTAAAAAGTACAGCACTCCATTCGTCCATAGTCCAATGGCTGTGTTCTCGAGCAAAAGCCAGCCGTGTTACTCTGTGAGTTCTGGTCAACTCTGGTCCTCTTAGTGAGTGAATGTTTACACATACCGGTGTTTATTTTGATAAAAGCATTATTCATAGGGATATTTTTCCTATCCTATCATTTCAGTGATCATAATGAAAAAAATCAAGTTCAATAAAAAGTTCATGTAAGATTAAAAAAAGTTTAAATTTAACTCATATCTTCGACCCCTGCTTAAAATAATAAATTGTAATTTTTAAATATTTCCTTCACATTAGACAGATGAAGAAGTACAAGGATCAAAAACTTGAAAGAGTATGACTTACCTCAGTAGGCCTTTCGGTAAAAGGATTCTGTATAGTTGAATAAATTCATCGTAAGTCAGACGAACGTTGTATCCAGCTTGTCGGATCCTAACAGTTTCCAACATACCGGTGTAACGAAGCTGCCTTTGAACAGTTTCGTCATCAAAGGAATGTGGAACCTGAAAAACAAAAATTTAAAACATGTTTACTATCTGCATTTTTGTATTATTATTTTCAATAATTAACCTTTTTAATCGAAGAAAAGTTTTTTTTTAAGTCCTCTTCAAAATTATGGTTTACATTTAAAGATATGTAGAAACCAATTTTTTTTTTTTTTAGATTTATAATTGAATGAAAATTAATTAAAATCCATACAAAACGAAACAAAAATCATCAAAATTGGACTAAATTAGCAGGTATATAACGTATTAAACTTAATATACAAAAAAATTAAAAATAAAAGCCTTCGACTACCTTATTACTATTGCTTTTGATACATCTGATGAAAAATGGATTGGCTTGATTGAGAGTGTCCATGAGGCTATGCAACGATTGTTGAAACTGCGCAGTGACGGTCAACGGCTGTTTGCGAGCTTTGCCTAACTGACCAAGGCTTTGAGTTCTTCCAGCGAGCGTTTTTACACTCTGTAGATTTTTCAAACCTTTCTTTCCTCTTTCTCTTGGTCTAAAGGACTTGTTTTTTCTGAAAAATTAAAAATATAATAACAAACATGCATTTGAGGTATTAAAGTAATTATACATATGTGTAATTATATCAATTACTTTATTATATAGAACAAATAATATTTAAAAGTGTTAAAGGAACAAGGAATGGTGGAGGATAAAAAAAAAAAAAAAAAAATGGTATTAGGTTGAATACGTGATTATAGATGACTGTGATAAAGATTCGCCTAATTCCCAAATTGATTATAAATAATTTTAATTTTATTTTGCTGATTTTTATTATGCTATAGTCCATCGTACATAACCCTTTTTATCAAATTGTCAACATTTGGCTGAAAATTCGTAAATAGCTTCATCTAATCGTAACCTACAAATATTTTATTTACGAAAATTCTCGGAACTGGAGCGTTTTCAATCTGGAGGTTGACAAACTTTGTCTATTTAATTAGTTACTAAAAACTTGTAAATACCCATTTTTTTTCCACTTTAACCGTAGGATAACTTGAGCATATAGTAGAGAAAAAAGGAGGTCTTCAAAAATATTGAGCCGTTTGGCATGACCTACATCCGAAAATTGTCAAAACGAGGTTATATAGGTCAAACGACACAATATTTTTGAAGGCCACCTTTTTTCTTGACTTTGTGCTCAAGTTATCTCATGATCAAAGTGAAAAGCAAATGGGTATTTACGAATTTTTAGTACATAATTAAATAGACAAAGTTTGCCGACCTCCAGATTGAAAACGCCCTAATTCCCAGAATTTTTGTAAATAAAATATTTGTAGGTTATGATGAGATGAAGCTATTTACGAAGTTTCAGCCGGATGTTAATAATTTGATAAATAGGGGTCTGTACCACGGACTATTGTTACAATAAGCATGTACTTCAAAATAAACTTTTTTGTAACATTTTTGTTTTGTAACCAAGGTATTTTTACTTAGAATTGTATCTAAACTTGTCATTATATAGTCAGGAATTTACCACATACATTACAGCATTCTTTTTCTCTGGGCCTATTCGTTATAGCAAATTTTTACTGTTTTTATATGTTTTCTAAAACAAAGTATAAAATAAATAAATAATTTAACATATTTCAGTTATTTTATAAGTTCGCAGTTGGCATCAATGTAAAATTTTTGTAATCATCGCTTGGACTAAAAAACAATAAAGAATGATTTCTGGTTATAGATGAAAAAGAAAAAAAAGTAATTATAAGGAAAGATATTGGGAATAATACAATGAAATCATCTCATGAAACCAAATTATCAAATTAATAACAACTAAAATTAATTTTTGATGAATTACGATGTTAAAACAAAATAATTTTCCTTCCTCTTAAAAGTTGAGAAAAATAAATAAAAATATATTGTGAAAGTAAATTATCATACACATCAATAAAATGTTATACCAACAAAAGGTTTATTTTAGAATTCTGACCAATTTAGAAGTCTGCCTAAAACTATAATAATGATGGTTATTTGTAACAATAAATAAATAAATCTAATAATGTTAACAATATTTAATAATAGAAAAAATAGTAGTTGTTTCATTAAACCGTTTATATCAATATAGTTTTATATAGATATCAGCTGTCTATTTCCATTTGTTTATGAACCCCACCAGGTACTTGACATATGTTTGGAAATCAACATCAGTAATTTATTAAATTGAAAATTATCATGTCAAAGTTATTCAAGATGGTTTAAATATTATTTATTATAGCTTTCATTTTATTTATAGGATGATTTCCATTTTCTAAATGAAATTAAAATCTTGTGGTGCTACAAAATATTTATGTCATACTATGTTATAACACAATTGAAAGATATTTAAGAAGTAGAAGATTCTTTAAAAATATTTCATACATTTAAAAAAAGAACATTAATTAACATCTAAATTGATACATCAATAAATTTTATAAATATATATACACAATATATCAAGCAATTAACAAAAATTATATTAATAGAAAACTTATTCATGCAACAATTTAGTAAATTTAACTGTCAACAAAAATTTTTTCAAACAAAAACCATGCACGAAAACATGCAAAATAACAACAAAGAACAAAACATTTACACTTCAACAAATTAATTCAAAGGTGTAAAATCAGACATACAAAAAATAATTTTATAAGAGGACATGTTTACAGCCCTTATACACGAAGAAGTACTTTTTCATTAATTCAGCCAATTAATGAAAAAAAAATATGTAAGCAATGAAATGTAAATACCAAATGAGTTCATTATAATAAATGTGTTACTTATATGTGTGATTGTTAATTATAATTTTAAACATTTTATATAGCGTATATCAACTTATATAGAAATTGATTATTATTAATTTTCCACCACCAAAGAGTGATTATTTTATTTATTTACTAAATTTATTACATACGCAACAATTTGTGTCGCTCTTTCAAAAACTTTTGCTTCTTCTGCACAAAAGACTTTATGCAACCTTTCTTTATCACAGTCCATTTCCTCTGTATTATTAATGTAGTAAGATCGTTGGTCCGTCGAGAGATTTTTAGGCGATATCTCATTGGTATTCACATTAAAAGTTTGACTTAATGGTTGTCGGATACTTTTCTGTTGAGAATCGTCTTGTTCAGATTTTGTAGTATAACACCTGGTGTTACCGTAGCGCACATTGAATCTAAACATGTTTTGTATATTACAAACAAATTATTCCTATAACACAATCAAAAATAATTGTCCACTTCATTAGCCTATATTTTATAATATAACTTTGTCAAAATAAAAGATATATAAATAAACAAAAAAATCACACAAATACCTCATCAAAGTAAACAGAAATCTGAATAATAGTGTGGTTATAATTAGTTGACCGTGATTATAATAGTATTTTATTGGTTACGCCGATGTTTTGATCCACTTTGTAGGTTTTCATCAGATCTATAAAAAATATACAAGGTATAACATAAAAAATAAAATAAATGAATTATTAGTAGAAATTAAACAAGTAACAGTTGTCTGATCAGGGACTTGTTTAATATCTACCAATATTTCATTTATAATATTTTTTATTTTGTATCTTTTGTAGACCTGATAAAGACCCACAAAATGCCATTGCTCTAGTCACACACGATTAGCATATTAACTAACCTTGTGTTACTGGAGTAACTGAAGAATGCAAAACCGAAATACAGTGTAAAATATAAACCTTAAATTATTGTTCAAATTTAGAAAATTAAAGGATGTATCAAATTATAGCATGTCGTGGCAATATATTCCCATTTGCTTGTACTGGAACAGTACTAGAAAGAATTATGGTAAGTAAACTGGAGAATGTTTTTAATGAGGGTATGCATGAGAGACAGTTTGGGTTTATGAGAGGCAAGGGTACGGAAGATGCGATGAATGAATTACAAAGTGTGATTGGTGGGTGTGAATCTAAATATGTAGTGGGAGTGTTTCTGGATGTTAGTGGTGCGTTTGACAGAGTGTGGTGGCCTGGTGTGTTAAGATGTCTGCGAGAAAGAGGCGTAAGGAAGGAGGGGTTTGAATTAATGAAGGACTACCTTTCAGGAAGGTCGGTAGAGTTGAACGTCGGACCTGGAGTAGTGAGGAAACAAGTGAACATGGGATGTCCCCAAGGTTCTGTCATGGGCCCACAAATTTGGAAACTGATATTTGATGGATGTGTGCGTAGCCTATATAGCCTACCTAATCATTTAATTTTTAAAGTTCAGAAACCACTATATAACACCGCATCATACATTTGTTGTTATACAATTTAGCTATAAAGGATAATTTAAAAAATAAAATGAATAGCAAGCTACTTAATTACAACAAAAAGATATTTATTAACCAAATATATATTTATAATATTACAACTTTTTATATAATTAATCAAGCAATTAAACAATTAATAAAAGAAAAAAATATATACTGATTTTGGAGCTGTTATTAGTATCAATTTAATACAGCATTCAACAGCTAATAATAAACTATAAGAGAATCCCATCAGGATGATAGATAGATCAAGATCACACTGTTCATTGTATGCCAAGTCTACGGAGAGGTTAGGTTAGAATTTTCCAAGTTATTCATGAATAATTAACTAATAGAAAAAAAATTAATAGAAAACAAAATCTTTGGGGGAGGAGAAGAAGGAGGGGTTACCCCTACCCACCATTTCTGGCATATGGGAGGGTTTTTCTTGAGGTAAAACCAAACCTATTCTAACCAGAATGGGAAGGTCGAGTTCCATTCCATGGGTCTGCCTTGAAATAAAAGTCAACTCTTCCCGGGACGGATTCGAATCAGTGTCGCTAGGCACAAGAATGCTACAACTGGCAACGCTTCAATATTCTCGGTCACTACCTCCCCGTGCCGGGAGAGGATAATTTGCATGTCTGCTGCCCTCCTTGGATATGGTAGCCGTTTCTCGGGCTCCCTCTCTGGAATCGAACCCTGATTTGCCGTAACCCTTGAGCGCCATGGTCGACAAAGAATCTACCATTGACAGCTGATAAGTCAGATTTGACGGAACCTCGCCGGTATTGTGACTGTGCAATCTGTGGTATTATCTAGAGTCATCAAACAGATGCCCGGGTGAATTGTTTTGATCCAATAAAAGCGTCCTTTCCATTGCTGTTCGGGACTTGGTTGCTTGTATTAGTTCTAGAATTACCAAAGTTATACACGTGAGTGGCATATATATAAACTATGACCGGTTATTGAGCCTTTTGCGGTTTCACTTTAAGTAAGCTCGTACTGAGACTTGCATGGCTTAAGCTTTGAGACAAGCATACAACTACTGGCAGAATCAACCAGGCCCCTTCTAAATTCATAATATGCCGCTCCTAAATATTCACGACCACGACTAAATTTACTGTCAGGTTAGCTCAGTAGGTTGGATACTGACTACCTAAGCTCAAGGCCCGGGTTCGAATCCCGGCTGATAGCAGATAAATTACTTATTTTGTTTCATCGGCCGTGAATCAATCCTGGGGTCAGGAGATCCTCCTTGGGCACATCCAGCCTCTATAAAGTGGGTACTCTTAATTAATTAAATCATTGGGGGAAAAAATCTGGTAGTTGAGCATGATCTCGGTCAAATCACATCCTTGCACAACCGATGACCAAGAAACAGTACTTCCCAACATTGTATTGAACCCAAGACCCTTCATGGGTTATAGCGGAGCAGGTTTTATACTATTTTATAACTAAGATATCACATAGAAAAATACAATTTGAAATATTTATGCCTTTAATCCAGTACGCGATTGGATGTTATGATGTGATATGATCTTGGGTTTCTTTTCTTTTCTGTTGACAGATTATTTTATTCTTTACTTGAATTTTAGAGACACAAAGCTTAGTGGTTGGAATTTTTGCAATAATAACCTAACATTGATTTTATGTCTCTTGGTGTTTTTATTTGTTTAATAATAGATTAAGTAATAATTATTATGAGTTGAACATATTTATAAACTTCTCTATTTCATAAAAATTAATAAAAATACATGAAATTAATAGGTTTTGTTAATTATTTTTCCGTAATCTTGATAATTTGCTTTATTTATTTTTGTTCATATATTACTAAGTAGATTTTCCTTGAGGTGCTGTTTTAACGTTTCATTTGCTTCCACACATTAATCATTATTATTTCATTTGAATTCCTATACCTACATAATTAATATTATTGGAAGTTATTGTTAAACCTGAAAAAACGGTAAAAATAGCTTAAAGTTATGGAGATCAGTTGTTTCTATAAATTTTGCAAGTCTCATAATTCCACGAAATGTGATTAGTGTGATCTTGACCCATCCATCATCATCCAGATGTGACACTAATATAGTGTTACCCAAAAGCTCCTTAACAAACGAAGATGAGCATGCATTGATTACATATATAAATAAGTATGAAAATAAACATTTTTTTTTTTTTTTTTTTTTTTTTATAAAATACACCATAAGATGAGAAAACAAATGAAAATCTTAATAAAAGCTAAAATTACATGCGAATTTTAAGGGGAGAAATTAAATAGATCTGGAGAATCAACAGTTTTTTAACTTACGCTATCCTTGTTACGGTTAGATTAACCGCAGACATTGTCACTAGTTGGCTAGACAATACATACTATTATCAGGCATAAAAAGAAAAAAATATTTTTTAAAAATAATTATTATACCTATACGCAGTATTGATTTACTTTTCAATCATTAAGATTGATTTCATGTGAATAAATTTCTTTATCAGATTTTGAATTTTGATCTGAATTTTATAATTAAAAAAACAAAAAAAAAACAAGAACATATCTGTATTTTTTAAGCTAACTAATATATTATGATAATGCAAAATTTCATGATTTATTTATTTTTTAAAATTTAATTAAATAAAGGATGCATAACATACAATACATCCCCTGCCATAACATCACACACAATACTATATAAAAAAAAAAGATGGAAAATCTTGTTTATCAGAGAAAAATAGGATTATTAACTATCTCTTTGATATTTGTCGGTAAGAAAGCTCTTAAAGCTAAAGCTAGGTTATTTGGATACCTCGAAACAATAAGATATGATCAAGCTACTCATAATAATTTTATTTTTGTTGGAAAATTCAAAATGAATTGATTCATGAATAAAACTATAGCCAACTCTCAATAATTTGAAATCTTCAGCTGTTCACTTCGGTAAATCGAAAAAATGCTGTATTTTAATAGGCTTGATAACTTGAAATCCTTTTCATAACAAAGGAAGGAAAGAACGTTCTATAATTCGAACTTGGCCACTTTCCCTCTTAATAATTCAATTTTTTTCTAGCAATGTTTACCTCTCATTTTTTGCATACCTCTCCTTTATTCTGTTAGATAAAAAAAATTTGGAATGTTATCATCAGATGCTGAAATTTTGGCTTCTTCTAGCGAAAATAATGCATATGACAAAAACGAAGTTGAGTACCCTGCCCTTTCGCATTAACCTAGTAATATTCGACATGTCCTCTATGTATTGGGTATGCTTCACCAATTGTTATATTATGAATAGATTTTCTTCATTATTTTGTTTATAAGAATAAAAATATTACCCTAATAGAGCTTATACTAGTACTCATGTTAAAATATTTCAAGCCATATTAAAGGAAAGCGTGCTAGCAGCTATAATTTTATTTCTTTCCAAGTTCCTACAACTGGATAATTAAAATTTTGAACTTACGTGTTTTTTAAAATATAGTACTTAGTATGGGCAAGTCAACAATTAGAAAATATGTAACAGATCGTAGCCGTCCTTAAAAAATATTTATAATAGATATTTCTAATTGCTAATTAAAATAACAAAATCACAATTTTCCTGGATGATTAAAAATCATTATGATTCATAAAATAGTTTTAATCTAAAAAAAAAATTATAGATAATATCTAAACAAAAATTTAATGAGCTGAAGGCAGTTAATATAAAATATTTTTTTAAAAATCACATGCCAAATCTAAAAATTGTTGCTAATGTAAAATAATGTTATACAAACCTTAAAATCGTATCATTTGGCGTATGATTTCTATATCTTGCATGAATGGAACTCGGCTTGCTTCCATCTGTAAATCAATTGATTGGATAAATAACAATGTTTTGGAAAAACATGTAACCACGGTTTGTGGTTAGATATAACAAACACTATACACAACATTATCTCATTCAGATAATTAATATGCCAATGATAATTCAAGCAATTATTCATATGATGTAAAATATAATAGTTATTGAGGCGATAGCTGGAAAAAGAAGCTTGTCCAAAAACTATGTTCAATAAAAATCATTAGACAAAATTTTCTAAATGAACAATATATGAAATAAGCTCTCATTTGTTTTAGTATCGATTTTCGATATTGAATATTACAGAGTAAGAAAAACATTTGATTTTAGGTTGTAAGTCAGTTGTAAATCGTTAAATAAGTACGAAAGGGAAAGGGAGTCATATGTTCTTTTCCCATAGATCAGGTGTCTTCAAACTTTTTAGTCGTCAGGCGACACTTTGAGTCCTCCACTAAGTACTGCGGACAACGAACAAATTGTTCTATAAATGACTCTAAATTGTGAAATTGTTAGGTTTCAAAGAGAAACAACTTATGCAATAACTATAGTAGCAATCTCCTGTTTGAGAGATGTACTAAATTTCATCTTTTTAAAATTTTATCATGTAATTAAAGAAAATTTTGCAAGATCGGATTAGAGATGCTAGCCGCAATTTTAGAGAGCAGCGCCATAGAGCAAACAAAATTTAAAAAAAAAAGAATCAAAACATGGCGCCCATTTGTCCACTCTAGCCTGCCACGTAAGCATATGCCAAGAAAAAATATAAAAATTGTATACCTAAAACATTATTGTTCATGTAATTATTATCAAACAAAAAAAAATAGCCACTCAAAAATTAAACTATGAATCCACAACTGTCCTGGATTGATAATCGGTTCACCAATATTTTTCTTCTAAAAAGCACATAAAACTAAAAAGAAAATCTGAACTAAACCACCAATGAACTTTTTTTATAAAAAAAGTTGTAAAAACGTAAAATTCTTTTATTAAATTCAAACAGTTCTACAAACTTCAAACATTGTTACACAACTTTGAAATTTCTTTAAGAGACAAAATACATATTAAGGATACAAAAAATAAAATCTATAAAAAAAGGGCTACTCACGGTGAACACCATTTTTTCAGCTACAGCCTCAATTATTGTAATAATAAATGATATTAGAGCACTTAAAATAAATTGTATATATAATTTTTTTTCTTTTTACCTCTTGTTAATCTATGTTTCCTTCCAGCTTCATGAAAAGCAAAATATCCTCTAAAAAATGCCCTAACAATGGCCCATCGGAATACAGCAACGGGGTCAGCACCTACTAATTCTCGAACGAACGCCATATTGGAATTTTTCAGCACACCGACAATTTCTTGCCTCATCAGATCTAAATTTTTCTCCCTCATTTCATGGACCTGCAAAAAATAAAAACAAGGGTAATGTAATGAATTACTATTAACTAAATATAAATTAATAATTTTTATGATGAACACTTTTATTATATTTGTAAATTTTTAGTGGGATAATTTTAAAACACTATTCAAATTTAGATTAAGGTTTTAATAAGACTATAATATCCCCACAACAATTTTACTTTTAAAAAATCTTCAGAAATAAACCTTTTTTTTTTTTTATTTCTATTAAAATTTTTAAAAACAAAGATGCTGCTCTATACAGTGTAAACTAGAAACAGTGGCCAAAGATAGGCAGAAAGCTGTTTCAGGCTGGCAAAGATCTACAAGGTCTGTAAAGCAAAAGAAAAAAAAAAAAGAATAATAAAAAACTATTCTGAAAGTCATTAATGACCAATAATGATACTGAATCATACATAACAGCTGATTCACACTACCACCCTCCCTAATTAGTAAATTTTCCAAAATTTAGGGGTTAAAATACCCTGATTTTTCAGAAATATTCCTGGTCTTCCAAGTCAAGTAGACACCATGTAAATTTCATAAAATTACTTAATATTAAATGATATTTTATATTAACTTTTGAAACAAACCTGGTATTTAACTTTTCCAGCATAGTGGCGGACCATGAACGCAGCTTCCCTCTTCTGTGGCATTTCGTAAAAAAGATTTTCCTTATGAACAGAATTAAATTTTTGTAATAGAGTTTCATTTGAAGCACCTGGAAAACTGAAAAAAAAAATCTCTAATAAATATGACTTTTTAAAACTAAATTAAAAAACATTTTATAAAAATCAAGATTATAAAAATGGTTGCATTAATCTTTTTTTTAAAAGGACAATACAAATACATTAAAATACAAAATACATACTTGCACTGGTCATCCAAAACACAGAGTAGACCGTTGGGTTTGCCTTCTATTAAGTATAAACAGAGAGAATTATCAAGGAACTCTATGTCTCTCCACTTTATTCCTTCTTTACGATATTCTTCTTGCTCATATTTGAAAACATGTTGATTAAAATAGTGTTGCAGATGCTCGTTAGCATAATTAATGCAAAACTGCTCGAAACTAAAATTAAAAAAAAAGCAAGAGTAAGATTAGAAATAGTAGTCATTTAAAATTTGTTTAAAATTATTATTATAATAAAATTTTGTTTATTCTTTATACTTTCAAAACACTGTTACCTATTAAAAAGACCAAAATCTTCAAAACCAAATATATCCAACACTCCAATCGAGTTTCCTTGGTGATCTCTGAGAGTATCTTTCTTAGAAAGAAGAGCGTGATTGACTTGAAGAACGATCCAGTCAAATAAAGCACCGTAGAGACATTTTGCCATAGCATCCCTTGCAGCAGTTGCCTAAATAAATTTATCTCATTATTACATTTATATTAAGCATTGAAGACAAAACAAATAAATTAATGCCTAAACTATAATATTAATAAATAATTTTCATTCATAATTTTAAAGGCGATTCCTTCCAACGGTCATTCATAACTTATTACATTAATTACTTAACATTCGCAAGGGTTATGTTCTAAAAAGTTGAAAGCATCACCATTTTGAAAGTTGTGTTTGGCAAAACAATGTATATAGAAAAAAGGTTACCTTGTCAATTCATACTTGACTTTATTTTAAAATCAAACAGTGTTTAGTGTAGTTAATTTTAGTTTGTCTGAGTGTTTTTGATCTGATTGTCAGTAACCCATAACTGAGATAGAATAATTATAAATTTCAATTTAATATATTAATACTCTTACAATTTTGTTTATTATTTAACAACCTCATATTTCTTTTGGAAGTATCGCAACAGTATGAAGTGATCTACCGAGGTTATATTATTAGTTTAAAATAAAAAGAAATATTGCAATATATTAAAATTTGAGTTTTTGATAACATATTTTGATTTAATTAAATTGGTCCTTTTAAATGGAAAATTGAAAAATACCATGGGTTATTGAAGAGTTAATCACATATTCATATGACAATCATAAGTTAAATTTTAACAGAATCTATTAAAAGTATTTTTTAAAGGAGAGGAACGATTAAATTAGCATGAAACTGGATAAATTTTGTTTGATTTCATATAATAAATATTATTAAATACAATATTTGGTAAAATAAATATAATAAATAAATTATAGAAGGAAAATGAAAAAAAATCAACAACACTTAAAATTATTATTGTTTAATATCATAAATAAAGTTAAAATCAGCAAAATGTAAAGATAAAATATTAAAATTAAATGAAAAATTCAATAGAAGAAATTGTTTAGGATACAGCCAAAAGTGAAAGTAAAAAAGAAAATTTATTTTTTTAAGACAATAGCATTGCTTGTCTAAAATCTTCAGAACAAGTTCTCAGCACTTGTTCACACAAATAAAAAAACATTTAGTAGAGCATTCACTCAACCCATTTCTCCAACTAAATAATTTACAATTGATTATTTCTACATCAAAATGAAAAGTAATAAATAATAAGACTAAAGATAAATATAACTAGAGGATTAAAAAAAAACAAAAAACATACTTCTGGAAGCCTATAATTGATAACTAGAGTTTCACCAGATGCCCGGGCTCGTTTAGCAGTTAAAGCGGCGAGTAACGTTTCTTCTTTTACCCTGAGTAATTCCGAAATGAGAAGAACTACCTCTGGATTTTTAACTCCAACTGCTTCGTCATGATGATATGCAGCTTTCCTTGGCTGGAATTCCACATTTCCTGAAATAAACAAAGTGCAATATAGTAAATCAGTGCTCTACCCACTCAAAAGGCTCCTTTATAAGGCTAATAAGAGAAAAATAAAATAAATTTATAATATGATTTTCACTAAACTTGTAATAAATGCTTAACATGTTTTTGTGTTAAACAGATAACACAAATCTTGAGTGAATGACCCTCTTTGCTAACCTGTTAAAGTGATGTTACTACAATAAAGTTTTCAGTAAACAAGGCAAGAATGAGTTTGTAATGTATTAAATATCAAAATCTACAGGGACTAACTGAACAGAACTAAGATTAAAAGTAAAAGCCAGATAAATATTCCTATTTTAAATAATCAATTAAAACAAAATAGATATTATCTATCTAGAAAACTTATAATTTTATTACAATAAATGTTTTTTTTTTTTTTTCTTTCTGACATACCTAGAAGCAACACAGCTGATAAAACAGCAAAAAGTCTCCTCTGTTTTTCTGCAGTGAATCCGACCATTTCCATTGATTGTTTCAACCTTGAGAATTCATACTTCTCATCAACATTATCCAAAACATAACAGCCACTCTATAATGAGAAATGATTCATATAATACAACTATATTATTATATTACATATTATATTTTATTTTTAACAAATACTAGTTGAAGAATGAAAGCGAAAGTGGAATGGAAGAGGTTGAGTATTTTTTATGAAAAGAGGTCAGACAAAAAATAAAAAAAATAATTACCCTGTTTAAATAATTATAGTAATCTACAGTCTTCAAATGTAATTGTTGTTTATCGACATCACTAGCTCCAGCAAGAAGGTAATAGAACACATGGTAGTTCCTTTCGTTGCGACCTTGCGAACATATTCGTGATTTTTCCAAAAGATATTTTTGAACCACAGCACTAAAAATAAAATTGGATGTTATTAAAAAAATCAAATGTTTATAATTTCAAAAACACAAATTAATGTTAGGTTATAATTGGAGAAATTCCTATCTCCTTATGTCTCCAAAATGCAGGAAAAAAACCGTCAACGTTTTGCCAATTCAGACATCATCGGAACAGAAGAAAAAAGAAAACATCAATCCATGACATCCATTCGCATACTGAGTATATAAAGTATGAGTATAGATAATAAACTGAGTATGTGATTGGATGTGAAGGAGTAATGTTTGACTTACTGTTCTCTTCAGTCCTGATGACTGTTCATCCTCATCATCATCATTCCTGATGATGATTGGCCTGAATTGGCGAAACGTTGACGGGTTTTTTTCTTTGCCTATATTTTGGAGATATAAGGCCGGATGGTTGGAATTTTTCCAATTATAACCTAAAATTACGTTCTGTCTCTTGACGTTGTTTGTTACTTGCGAATTTGAAATTAACACAAATTAATTTTCATAAAATTATTGCTTAAAAGTATTTATTAATATTATTTATGGAAAACTTACCCATGAACCATTCCATTTTCTTTATAGTTAACTTGAATAAATTTTCCAAATCTACTGGAATTGTTATTATGGGCTGTTTTAGCATTTCCAAAAGCCTGTAAAATTTAACATTAAAAAATATATTCATAAAATAATAATAGTATATAAGATTTATAGATATTATGGTCCTATATAGGCCAGTAGAAAGATTTTTTCAAAATGGCAGGGTTGGTACTTGTAAAAGAAATTTCCTCTTGGCATCAAATTAACAAAATTTCTAATTAGCACTCCAGCTGATTATAAAGAAAATAAAAAACCTATAAATCTGGTTCTTTGTTTGAAATATAGGACTTAGCATCAAAAATATTTAAAGCCATCTTCCAAAATTGAATTAATGTCTCAGGTGTTGACTAACAAAGTGATAGCAAAAATCAAGGAAGATTTAAATGAATATTACAAAAAAATATATGACAGATATACTACTTATTTCTGTAAATAAGTTGAAAATAAAATGACAGAAAGCTAAAAAAAAAGGAATATATATATATATATATATATATATATCAGAATAGAGGTGCAGACTTTTAATTTTGATTATGGAGAGGGAGAGATGAAGAAAAAGAAAATGGCGGTAATTTTCATTATGTGTAAAAATTCAACATAATTATTGTGGAACGAACAATGTAATATTGAATATTTAAAATTGATTTGTTTATATAGTTGTAATGATATCTATTTTTTTTTTACTTATTATATATACTTGTTGAAAATATCTAAAAAATACATTTGTTTAGATTAAAAATTGTAGGGGAGGGGGTGAGTCAACCTTCATAACATAGGTAAATTTCTAGAACTTTTTCAGCTAAAAATGAATAATGGTAATAAAAAGGTGAAAAATATCTTTGATTTTTTAGTGTATACTAGCTCAAAGAATGTTTTTCACAGTCTTAACTAGATTGTTATGGAAAATGTGATAAGAATATTTATATTATTATCTTTTAATGTAAATGACAATTTAAATAATATTATCATAAAATTGTTACATGCCTACACTAATAGGCTCTAGCATAGTCAACTTTTCTTAGCCAATTTTAGTTTACACATTTAATTCCTTCATGTAGCTTATTTATTTTTAATTTTTTTTTTTACCTTAAATTATTGGTGGGATAGGGAGGGCGAAATGATATTCTCACCCTCTCAAAATTTTTATTGGGCGGGATCCTTCCTCTCCCTCCTCCATTCATTCGTCCCCTCCCCCCCAAAGTCTGCGCCTATGTACATCAGGAATTTTTCTTCCTCCGGTTAGGACTACAGAGAATGCAGATATTTGGTTGCAATGTTTAGTCTTCATACAGATAAATATATTTAATGCAGGAGCACAGATAGCCTGAGTCCAACCTCACATAATAGCAAACAATTGGTTTTTATAGTGCAACGGAAGGCTACACAAAAGTTCAGAACAGATTTTTTTGGGGACAATTTGGTAGAAATTGGCGTCAAAGCGTCCTTCCCACTAACTCCATTGGGGTTCAAGGACAGTGACAAATCTGTTTAGTTAAGAGGACCTATATTTCTTTCCCTGAAAAAGATCCTTCAGGACTAAACTTTTGGATGGTTACTGACATTCTAGAAAGTAGACCGACAGAGCCCTCACAAACCCAAAGGGAATAATTATTAGGTTGTATAGCTTTCCCATGGACTTGGTCACCAACCAAGATGCTCTAGCTGTTTCTTAACTTTGATTACCTTCGTACATACTTTAGTCTGCTTTGCCCTACCTTATACGCTGACAGGCAAAAAAATTCCACCCACTTGTTACCCATTAAGGAACCACGTTGGAAAGGTTGGCTCTAGGAAAAATTACAGGCTGCATATCTTTCGTTTCTTCTTCTCCACATCCTTTCACGCCCGTCTGGAAATCGAAGAGCGAATCTTGACTCATCTGTAAAAAGTACAGCACTCCATTCGTCCATAGTCCAATGGCTGTGTTACTCTGTAAGTTCTGGTCAACTCTGGTCCTCTTACTGGAAGAAAAGCCATTAAACCATACTCATTTAATCTTCTCCGAGCAGTACGTTCAGAAATTTGCACACCTCGAACTTCTTCAAGCTGATGAAACGCTTGAACAACAGTTCTCAAAGTCAAAAACCGGTCATCCCGTGGTTCTATTACCCTAGGCCGTCCAGAACCGGGCCTTCTATTGTAAGAACCAGTTTCCCGAAAACGCCTGTTCTCAGGTTTCATATGGAACTCTGATGGCATTAGCTGCATATCTAATGGAACGTCCATCATCGATAAGTGCCACACCACGCGCAACATCCTCAGCACTAAGAGGCATTTTTAAACTTAATATTGAAAAAATTAAAAGCCGGAGACTAAGAAATGTGCTGCAAGAAACGGCACTGAATTAATGATACTGAATAAACATTTTGATTCCATAGAAAGTAAACATTGGAATCTAGAATCATTTCATTGCATTAAGGATTAAGGGTTATTGTCCTCTATATTAACATTCCTAATTGAAAACAAACAAAAAGATTACCTATTTATTCATTAAAAACAATAGACCAATCCAAAGCAGAAATATTTTTAGATGAAAACATGAAAAAATCAAGTGGGTGGAATTTTTTGCCTGTCAGTGTATATCAGGTGATGACAAAGAATAAATATACCAGTTAGCTTTCTCAGATATTGAAATGACATAAGTTTATATCTGATAGCTCGATTAAATATTTTAATATATTCACCTCTAAGACAGGTCCAGCGCTTAGTATGGTCTGTTCAACACCGCTGCCATGACTACCCTTTTGACTCAATGCAGTCAGGTGATGTAAAAGGAAATTGGTACTTTCTGTCTTTCCACTTCCACTCTCCCCGCTTATAACGATACACTGATTTCGGCGATTTCTCAACATACAATGATAAGCAGAATCTGCCACGGCAAATATATGAGGTGGAAGTTCAGGTCCCATCCTTCTGTTTTGATATAGTTTGACATATTTCGGGTTGTAAATAGGATAGAACTAGAAAAAGAAAAAAAAAATTAATAAAATAAATATATTGAGTAAGTTATCAATTATGATTAATTTTATGACAAAGCTAAAAGAGTGATAATAAAATTATAAATTTACAAGAACATATTTAATTGAAAGAAATTTCAAATCCTAGATCTCAAGATATTCAATTCAATGAAACTGTCTATCTTGAGATTATAATACCGTTTAATTTATCTGAAATAATATATTTCATATGAGGATATTTTGTATAATTACATTTGAATCATAAATAATGACACAACGATAGATAGTGGATTCACAAAATTTTAAAGATTATATTTGTCTTTTAAGAAATAATTGGTAAATTCTAAACATGTGTTTGGATACATTATCAATAATACTGATTTTTAAAATTATATAAAAAGCCAAAACACTATTTTTTTTTTCATTAAATCATTTTGTGAATATAGTTAATAAAAAGAACTAATTATTAAAAAAAGTACGAACAAACTACTTTAAGTTAATTTTTTTTTTTTTTTTTTACTGACTATTGTAAAACCTAATTTTTTGAAGTCTTAATAAAGGTCTGATAGACTAAAAATATGTGTTTTTAAATAGTAATGTATATTCTTAACTGATCTTGAAAAATAATCATTATTTAAGAACTTTTTATTTTCTGTTGACACTACAGACCTTGTAGAATTTTTGTTGTCTCAAAAAGCCTGCTCCATTTCTGCCTGTCTTGGGCTATTTCTATCCAGTTAGCTGCATGCAGTTCTATTCCATCTTTGTTGATTCTATCTATCCATCTGCATTTTGGTCTTGTCTTTTGTCTTTTACCGAGGCATTCATTGTAACATAGAGGCTTTCAGATGGATTGCTACGAGCTACATGCCCTGCCCCGCCCATCTTAACCTCTGTGCTTTCATATCATGGGATATTGATATTTCTTCTCCATGTGTTAGTACTCTAATCCCAGATCAATCCAGTTATGGTGTACAGGATTTTCCTCTGAAATCTTTCAACACTTTTTTATAGGATGCTGGTTAGTGTCCAGGTCTCATATCATGGGATATTTAAGAACATATCACTTTCAAAATGATAGTTGATTAAAACTGAGCTTAGGCTCGGTTAAGTTCCTCTCGAACGCACTGGCTTCTACTTTATAAAACTCTGAAATTTACAGCTCCCACGATTGTGCACTTTTAACAATAGCCTCTTAGATGCCATTGGATACTTATCATATATGGTTGCTTTTTTTTTTGTTGGCTTATTGTAGCGCCACTCTAATGGATCTATTGTGCGCCATTATGCGGTCTGTTTTATTCTTAAAATGTTAGTTTGGTCACTTCCGTGTAACTTAATAGGCTTGTTGGATTGACTGACTTATAGCTACTGAGGTGATTCGTTCCTCCCCAAATAGCTTCAGTCTAAGCCTTGCAAATCTATCACATCGACAAACGATGTGAAAGGCTGTTTCATTCTCCTCTTGACAGAATCTGCATAGCAGATCTGAACTCTGATATTGAACATATAATTTAACTTACAGTAGCCAGTGTAGATCTCTATAAGCTTTTTTAGAGTTTACAAAAATTCTAGTTTAAAAAATTAAAACATCCCTAGCTATTATAGTCTATGGTAAATTAATAATTGAAAAAGTAAACAAAGAAGAATAGCTCCGAGAGATCTTGGGCACTATGAATAATGTAGAAATGAATGTTATGATATAAATAAAAATAAACATGTTATGTGGACATATTTCAATTTTCTTATTTGTTAATAATCGCCTTAGCAGTGATGAGATTCTAGCACAAGTATATTAACTACTAATAATTACAAAATATTTATTCGATGAATATATTTATTAATTAAAATGTTTTAGCATCATCGAGGATATTAGTAAGGTAGCAAGACACCATGAATAGTGTACAAATAAATGTTTTCATACATACAAAAGTAAAAATAAACATGTTATGTGGACATATTTCAATTTTCTTCAATAAATAACTTTCGTACATACAATATTACAAATGTTTTATCATTGAATGAAATGGACAATAGATAGTCGACTGCCTAAATCACTCAGACTCAAAAGTCTACAGGCCAAGCTGAAGAGAAATCAGAGATATTAAAGTACTAATACCAACTACAAGGGGACCAATTTTAAAAGGAACAACTGACGGAACTCTACTATGACTAATTAGATTTTGAGAATTTTTTTATTAGCTAGAAAGTAGAGAGGAAATTTGAGAACTCCAAATTCAGGGGGAAGGGGATGGGCCATGAAATAGTTCAATCAGTTAGTGGCGGATCCGTATACAGTACACACCTTCCAGTCACTCGCTTGATATCAAGGAGCCAGACGGTTCAGTTCAGAATTTCCGCCCAGATGTCCACCAGTGCTGTCTCTTGCAAGTGATAATATTATTCAGTTCAAGAGTTGTGCAGCATTTATCATATATGATTAACTAGCAGTATATAAGAAAAGAACTCAAACATTCATTAAGAAAAACAATAATAAGTATTTTATTTTTTATTTACTAAATTATTCATTGAATGGATTTATGTATTTTGTTTTTAATTTTGAATATACGATTAAATTTAACAATGTCGATTATTAGATCTCAGATTATTCACAGTCACTGAACCATCATTACGCTATCAGCATTCTTTTATCACATTTAAAATATTAGAAAACAAAATTCAAGCTTAAACATTTCTAAGGCAATGAGATAAGATAAAAACATAAGTAACAAAATAGTGGGAAAGATCTAAAACTTGTATATTAATCGTGGTATTTTATTAACAAAAATTAAATAAATAAACAAATAAAAAGAAACGGTCAACCTAGTTCATGCTAACAACATATAAAAACCAATTTAAACAGAAATTATACATTTCCAATATAACATGAACAGGTATTTAATATTTGTAAATAATTTAGGAAGGAAAAATTTGGCAACTATCGAAATCAAATCATATAAGTTTGCTCATCATAGGCTACCGCACACCACACTTAGGCCTGCGAATGAAGATACTTAAAAACAATGGTATTATTCCATCAACTCTATTATAAAGAACCCTAATTTCTTTATCATAACTACAAATAAAACCAAGGTGTTCCAATAATGGAGTAATACAAAATATTTGCAAATATAATTCTTCAAGAAAGAAAAATCATCAAAAATAGTATTCTAATGATACAATAGATAGAAAAGTTCATAAAAAGCCAACTTGTCAAGGAAGCTTTTTGACTCATAGCAACAACTAAACAACCAACTGTTTGATAATCTATCACCTCCAGAAGTACCAAAACAATGGCATTATGCTATATTATCCAATTAATTAATTAAGAATAGAATATAATCACACTTATTATATTAAATACCTCGTAACAAAGACAGACATCTGTCATTTTTAAAAAGTTCATAATAAGCCAATTTTTGTACACATAGTTTCAATTCAAACCATTTCTAATTATTTGTATTTCATTATTCAACTTGAACATTTTTAATTAAAATCATTAGTAACAGTTTAGAGTAGATCCTGCAAAACAAAAGTTGACTTTTTCTTCACTTTCTGATAATGACAGATCTCAATCTTTGATATGAAGCCATTCATATTCAGCTAAAATGCCATGATTTATAAACAAGAATAAAATACTAAAACTAAAGCCAAAATAAAATAAAATGGAAAACAGGGAGGGAGAAATTAGCCAAAGCAATACCAAGGGAATGGTAAAGTTTGATTATTATTGCTATAAAAAAAAAGAAGAAAAAAATAACAGCTTTTGATAATATAAACAATTAATTCTACTGAATCCTTGATCTATTTAAATTTTAATATTTATTCTACAAAATATTTATAACAAGTTAAAGTAGTAAAAGTAATGGCAATAGATTAAGACAATGTAAGATAAAGATGCTGACATGAAACAAAGTGAATCATAACAAAGGCAGATAATGATGAAAACTCATCACCAGCATATAATTAATTAATATTAAGTTTCAGGCTTATTATATTTATTTATCATTTCATTAAAAAATATAATCAACTAAACTGAAACTGAATAATTAATTATAATAAATAATTGTAGTTGCATGTCCTGACATTTACACAAAAATTAATTAAATAGCAGATGTGTACATTTAAACTCAACTTTGGTGTATTAATTTTTTTTAAAAAGTCCCTTTAAAATCAAAAATTCTAATAAAAGTATTTAGAAAAGCACTATGATGAAATTAAAACAACTTCAGTCATTCAATATTTATTCAAATAAAACAATTATCTCGATGTTTAATCATAAAAGATGTGTGCATGAACTCTGTTTATATACCTATTATGACATAATGTTTATAAATTCTGTTTGAAAACTGTTTTACAAAAATTTAATAAACAAGTAATAGAAAACTAAATATGTATTATAGTAACTAAATATTATATAAATAATAATAGACTAGAATATAATATGGGAAGGCATATCAATTGAAACAAGATGATTATATAAACATTTCAAATAAACAGTAATCAAAAAGAAGGTAACAGGTTAAGTTAAATATCAATGAAAATTTTTGAATGAATGGAAAACATAAACAAACAATTTTTTGTTTATTTATGATAATTTAGCAAACAGACTTATAATCTATGCATAAACTGTTGGGAGTAAAAAATGTCATAAACATCATTGTTAAATATATACCAGCATACCTTGAAAGGGTTAACAGCGATGAGAATTGATCCAACATAAGTGTAAATATGACCAGCATTAAATCTTGCTCTCAAATTGTCAAGCAGTGTTTGTTCATTTAAATCAGGTAACTGACAAAGATCAGGATAATCACGATCAGCAGGTTGATAAAGGAAACGGCAGAAATAATCCTTAATTAATTGAGGGTCCATTGTGAACCCATCAGCCCACAGTGTTTCATTCATCTTTTCTCTAAGATAAAACCTGATAAAAGGGGAACTGATAAATGAACAGGAAGTTGCATATGATTTAACATGTAGACAGTATATTGAATGATAAGTAACTACTAAATTGGAAAGCTTCTAAATCAATATATTCAAGAACTAATGGTCTCTATAATGAATAAACAAAAAGATTAATGAAATGAAATTCTCACCTATAATACTCTTCCTGATTTGTTCTAGGCCATAGAAGCATCAAAGCAACAGGACATTCGACAGGTCCTAATCTTCTTTCCTTGCATTCTCTACCCATTGTATCACCAACAACTTCAGCTAACTCGAAACTAGTAGATGTAGGTAGTGAAAGTCTTTCAACAATGCACTGAACGATTTCTTCTGATGTAGTTTGTTTACTAGCTTCAACAGAAAGTGCTTCATAATGCTGAGACAGTGCACCTACGAACACTTGTAGAATATATCTATTGTTTTCAGTCTCCATGTTCACTTTATTTTAATCTAATCAGTTCATTACAGTCTGTTATCATGAATTTAAACCGATTTTCAGCACATATAGTGATTATGCTTTGTCGAAGAACCATAATGAGTATTGAATTCGCTGTATTGAGCAAGATGCTGTTGTTCACTTTTGTATTCAATGATTGATATTACTAATTAGAAATGGCACAAAATAATACTCATTACTTGTAACTACTATCAAGAACACACATACTAAAGAAAAGAATGCAAAATTATCTACAACTGTCCTGCCATGATATTGTAAATAAAAGATGTGTAAAATCATATAACACTAAACACAAATGAAATAACCTGACGTGCCCATTACAGAAATGTTTACGCTTCGACATGAATGAAGCAGTAGTTGATTGTAAACGATAAAAGAAACCAGTACCATATCAAGTTCTTTATCACGAAGAAATGAGGAAGCACCCCAGAGAGTATAAGATCAGTTTATTTTTCATCCTTGTGCACAAGATCAGACGAAAATGGCACTCGTTCCTATTCATATAATACATACAAACACATCACAATCGGTTCAAAGCTGATTACTAGTGTGCACGTCCATGTAAACCGTTTGAAAATACATCTTACGGCATTAAGACTGTTAATTAACCATTAATTCAACAAGATCTAAAGTGTTCATTAATTCGTTTGCATCGCAATGACTTATCAACACAAGTGCCTTGATGAGTGAAACAATCCAATACAGAAAATATTTTATTATTATGATTACGTCTTATGTACAAGTGAGACTGGTGAACAAAAAAAATGTAGCATAATTAAATTGCAAACACACTAAATAGTAAGATTTGAGATTAATAATTTATTTTGCAATAATTATGACTTTTGTTTATATTGCACTAATTACTTATGGTTCATGATTATTATGATAGTAATATTGAATTTAATGTAGAAATTAAAACTATTTTCCTCAAATATTATCACAGGATAATAATTTTTAGCACAGTAGAGGATTTCAGAAAAGTTTTGATAATCTACAATTACTTAAATTTACAATTGTTTACTGTATTCTTTATGATGATTTAAATAATTAGCCTAAGTAAAATCATTAAATCATAATAATTGACGTATTTATAATTATTGTAAAATATGTAATCAAAAATGTTTTTGAAAAATGGATTAAAGAAACCATTAAAAAACTAAAATACGCAATTTAAATAAAATTAATTTTTTTTTAAGAAATATAATATTTTATTTTTATTAAATTTCTTGTTATTACATTCCATTCGATTATATATTTTTCGATTACAATTGAAATCGCTGAATAGAGGGCAGTGGTAAATTGGCTCGCAGTTTTGGGAGGTAACATTCAAAAGTCAAATTTATTGGACCCAATAATTTTTAATGAAAATTAGTTAAATGATTGCTATTATGCTGTTTAAAATAATAATTAATGAGGTATTTAACTTCAGTCTAAACAGACATTTCAATTAAAAACTAGTTGGGTATGCATTTTCTGTTACTATGTCTGACGTTTCTTTGACATTTGAAGAAAAATTGGATTTAAGATCTTGGGGTTTGCCTGAACATATTCTTGAGGTATTTGTTTTTAATTGGCACTTAATTTTGTTTTACACTGTTTTAAGTCAATTTTTTATTGAATTTGTTTTTTAGAAATATTTGTTAAAGGGTGTCAAAAAGATGTTTCCCTGGCAAGTTGAATGTCTTATGTCTGGAAATGTATTATTAGGTGGAAATCTTATTTATTCTGCACCTACTTCTGCTGGTAAGATTGGAAAAATAATTTTTACTGTTATCGTATTTCTGGTATTGGAACATTGGTGTAGTTTATCAAAGGATACCTTATATGTTGATTATTACAGTGGCCTTAACGAGTCTTGGTCATTGACGTTCTCTTTAAAAGTAATAAATAACCACTTGAATAAATTATTTTGAAAATATTTTATAAGAGTTAAAAACCCTTATTTTTCAAAGTAGTAATTTCTATTTATTGCAATTTCCTAATCATTATACCTATGAAATCCAGATAAGATCTTGGTTTATTAACTTTGTAGAGTTATGCTACCCCATTGTTAGGTCAATGCTATTCTTTGTACAAATATAAATTTAAAATAGCAGTGATTGATGTGGCTCATTAGAATTATTTGATTTTTATGGGTGACCGGATGAACAGAGGATATCTCTAAAAAATCCAAAGGGTCATGGTGAGTTAGGGTTTTCTATTTCATATATTAATAATAATCAAAAACAGATTAGAAAGTAAAGAAGCAGTTACAAAATAGAGTAATTGAGTTTAATTGTTTATCAAAATCCTAAATCAGTACCATGCGGATCAAAAATTTATAGCGTCTGATGGCACTTCATATGTTGATGTATACTTTCATACCTAATATTTCATTTTGCCTACTAAACATCATCTAATTTATACTGACATCATACATGATGATTTAAGTTCTTATGAATATACCTAATATTATAGCTTATTTTTTATTATTTCTGATCATTGATTTTCAAAATTAGTTGTCCAAAAATGCATCTATATGTGCATTTAATATCATCCAGGGTGTATTAATATCAGCCGGGTGGTGCTGATATAGAGAAGAGTTCACCATTTGTGAATTGGCCCGACTTTGCAGATTTTCTTCAGGGGGGTGTATGTTGTATGGAGTTTCAATTGAAGTAGACCTGCAAAGTCGGGTCGAAATGCTGGCTTTAAACGAAATATTTTTTTGCACTATTTTAGCCTTTTTATGAATGCCATCCTGGACCATCTCTTTACTCATTAAAATTAGTTAAATAAAAAAAACAGAAATTATGAATTTGACTAGCGAGTAATTAAGAGGTGTGAGATATGTAGTCTGGACCATAAAAATGAAAAACACAACTCATCCAATACTGTCAGTAATACTTATTTATTTTATTTTGCAACTTTTTAATATTATTAAGACATTGTTTTCCAAGTTAGGTTGTTGGGCTATTATAAAAATAACTGGATAGACTAGTTAAATATAAAAAAAAATTATCAAAATGAAATTTTGATTAAACTTAAAAGAAATATAAAATAATGATAACAAATTTAGGGATATTTAAGTTTATTCTACCTACATTTTTTTACTTTAAGTTCATTCTAACTACTCTATTTTATTTTAAGTTTATTATACCTACATTTTTTAAACTATATCTTTCATCTACACATTATTTTTTTTGTTTTAATTTTAATAGTTCCTCATACCCATTGTTATCTGTTTATTTTTTTGTTTTTTTCTTAGCCCCGAACAGAAATGTCAAAAATAAAAAATAATAAAAATAAATATAATTTATTTATTTTACTGAATATCCCAACCCATCTTCTCTTCGATTATTGGATTTCAATATGATAGGTTCCCATTTATGTATAATAATATTTAATAATTTAATACATTTCCATTTTTATTGTAGGTAAAACATTAGTAGCTGAAATCCTCGCAATTAAAACAGTTTTAGAAAGAAGGAAAAAGGTAATAGTAATATTGCCCTTTGTATCAGTCGTGAGAGAGAAAATGATCTATTTCCAGGTAAATCACCATAGTTTTTCTATTAGCTTACCTTTATTGAACCTCAGTTATTTTCTGAATGTTTAATTTTTTAAAATAATTAATATTTTTCTGACATTGTTTTCATTGTTATTTTGTCATCTGAAATTTATGGAGTGACTACTCTCGAAGGTCTTTTGAAGTGAGAGGTTTTGTTTGATGCTTTGCCTTAATGGCTCCCAAGCAAAAAAAAAAAAAAAAATAATAACTATTACACTTGACGGGTCTTGGGTTGAGTACTTAATAAGGGAGTTCTGTTTCTTGATCAACGATCGTGTAACGAGGTGATTTGACAAATGTCACATCATACTTAACTTCCAGTAAATGCCCTTGTTTGACTTAGATACTTTTCAGAAAACTTCTTAATAGTCTACTGTTCCTTACTGTTAATATTTTTTTCTTTTTATGATTCAATTATTTATTCATTTTGTTTTTTTATTGTTTTCAGGAAATATTTTCAGGAAGTGGTATTAGGGTTGAAGGATTCATGGGATCTTATAACCCTCCTGGAGGTTTCCGATCTGTGCACTTGGCAATTTGTACCATTGAAAAAGCCAACAATTTAATTAATAGGTTATACCAATTTATTTATTATTTTAAACTTACCTAAAAGAAAAGTCTAATATAACAATATTGATTTTCTTGTTTGAAAAATACCGATATGATCAGTTGAAGTATCCGATTTCGATGCCATTTGGAACATTCACTATTTTTAGTTTTCCATGTCACATTTGTCTTTTATCTATTAATATTTAGGTGACCAGTTCTGGATAGAAAGGGTTTATGACCACTACTGGGCACTAGTTTTAATGCATTAGTTATAGTGAAAAAATATTTATTGTAGAAATATTCAATGCCTATAATAATATATTTTGAAGTAATCAAACTAATTTTAGAAGCTAATTATGATTAAATAAAAGATTAGTAGGCTTCTTTGTAAAGGCTACAAAGTCAGATTTATGGAGCAGTATAGGACTTCAATGGAGGACTTGGGCCGACAAATTAAAAAAAAAAAAAAAGAAGTCTGATTTGTAGAAATTAAGTTACATCATTACAAATTCAAATTTTCCAGTGGTTAAACTGGATATCCAAGACTTCTATTTTTTATTTTTTTCATGAGAATTTAAGTTTCTCAATAGTCGCCTATTCATTCCTTCATTTCTTAAAAATCATAGCCAACTAATATTAACCAGAAAAGTCAGATAAAATTTTCAATGATAAAATGAATGACAGGTATATTATATTTTCTATTTAGTATGTAAAAGACCACTCGGAAATTTTTTGCTAGAATAACTGTAAAATTGCACCTTTTTTTTTAACTTTCTTTATTGAATATTAATACATTCTGCCACATTGAAGGGCATTAATATTAAGGCTACATGATTCATTCACACAATATGTACATACAATTAATATCAATAATAAAGAAAAAGAAATATAAAAAGAATAAAATAAGTAAATTGGTATGCCTGTGTACAAAAAAAATAATGAAATAATAGATAAAAGCTATATGAAATTAAAGTAAATAAATCACATTCACACCTATGTACAATATTTACATTCACCCAGGGGACTCTGAGTCATACCTTATTCCCTGACATGGAAGCCAAGGCAGGACTCCAGGAGATCCCAGTGCTTCTCTCTCAGCCGCCTCACTGTTATTTGAAACCAGTGGAAACTGATGGAGGGCACTATAGCAACAGACGCTCATGTCTTGAGTGGAGAATCTGGCCATTGCCAGTACTCCAATATATACATATTTACAAACGGTCGCGGTGCCACTGCTGTTTTAACCTCCGGGGAGGATTGTAGGGATGACTGGAGCTAGATAGGGATTGTGCTACAGGATTTGGATGATGAGTGAGTTTCTGGTGAAATTTGGAAAAATTTTCTGGGATTAGATCAATAACAAATGGGATATGAAGGTCATTATGGAGGGTTTTGTTGGATACATAGAAGGGAGCATCGACTATTGTTCGGAGGATTTTAGACTGGAAGGATTGAATGCGTTTGATGTTAGAAAGTTTTGCTGTCCCCCACAGTTCTATTCCGTAGGTCCAAATAGGTTTCAGGATTATCTTGTAGATTAATAGTTTGTTGTCGACTGAGAGTTGAGATTTTCTATTCAATAGTCTATATAGTTGTCTGTATCGTCTGTTAAGATGTTGTCTTTTAAGTCTGGTGTGTGGGTTCCATGTTAGTCTTTTGTCTAGAATAAAGCCAAGATACCGGACTGTGTCGGACAGAGGAAGTGGTATGGAGTTGAAGTAGACTGGTGGACAGGAATTGCGTCGAAGGGTAAAAGTAATATGTTTGGATTTGGATTCATTTACTTGGATTCGCCACTTATTACACCAGTGTTCAATAAGAGAGAGGTGACTTTGTAGGTTTAAGGATGCTATTTCAGGATCTGGATTGGAAGATAAGATGGCTGTGTCATCAGGGAATGTTGCCAGGAGTGTTTCAGGATGAGTAGGAATATCAGTGGTAAACAGAATGTAGAGGACGGGACCCAAGACGCTGCCTTGAGGAACTCCCGCCTTGATTGAATGACAGTTGGAGGATTCTGTACCATAGCGAACTTGAAAGGAGCGGTCAGAGAGGTAGGATCGGAGGATAAGATATAAGGAATGGGGTAGATGGGATTTGAGCTTGAAGAGCAGTCCGGCGTGCCATACCCGATCAAAAGTTTGCGCAATGTTCAGGAATGCCCCCCGAACAATACTCTTTGCTTTCTAGGGCTGAGGATATGTGGTCAACAAGTCGGAGTCCTTGTTGGACAGTGGAATGTTGGAAGCGAAATCCGAATTGGTAGATTGGAAGGTTTTGGGATTCTATTATGGGTAGAATTCTTTTCAGTAGGATTTTTTAAAAAATTTTGGAAAGGATTGGGAGTAGGCTAATTGTGGTCTATATGATGATGTATTATTGGAAGGTTTGCCAGGTTTCAAGAAAAGGACGATGGTGGAATGTTTCCATAAGAGAGGAAAATGGGTAGTTCTTAGGATGCAGTTGTATATGTATGTGAGGAATATGATTGCTTTGGGTGGTAGTTGATGAAGGATCTGTGGGGTTAGAAGGTCGTATTCAGGAGATTTGCGGGCAGATAGTTTTTGTAAATGATATTTGACCTCAGATGGATGAACTGCTTTTGGTGGTAAAGAGAGTGGAATTGGTGAAGAAAGGAATTCTACTATTGTAATGTGGGTCGGATTGGAATCGGGATGAGGAGTAAATGTACTGGAAAGGTGTTTGGCGAATTCCTCAGCTTTGTCTTCATCAGACGCCGCCGAGGAGCCATCACCTCGACCGAAGGGATGGGAAATATTATGGGTTTTTAGGATTTTTTTGGTGATATTCCAGAGGGAGTTGTCGTGAGCAGAGAGGGAGGTAAGGAAGGAGTTAAAGGATTGGGATTTGAAGTTGGATAATTCTTGCTTTAGTTGTTTACAGAGATAGTTATAGGAGCTGCGGTCAGTGGGATGTCTGGTACGTTGCCATAACAATCTGGCACGGCGTTTGCACCTTTCTAGGAGAATGATTCAGTATTGTTTTTTGATGTATTTTAAAATTAATATTATTTCTAATTTTATTTTATTTATTTTTCAGGCTTTTAGAAGAAAGAAATTTAGGTGATATAGGTACAGTGATCGTAGACGAACTCCATTTACTCGGTGATCCACATAGAGGATATCTTTTAGAGTTATTATTGACAAAATTGAAATTCATTTGTCAAAAGTAATCCATTTGTACTTAAGTAATTAAAAAATTATACCAGTTTACAACTGTTTTTTCATTTTAATTCAATGCTTACGAAATAACTTTCAGGGGTTTATCAGCTAACATACAGATTATCGGTATGTCTGCTACACTTCCTAATCTAGATGTACTCGCATCTTGGTTGAACGCAACTTTGTATCATACTGACTTTCGACCAATACCACTTTGTGAATACCTTAAAGTTGGAAGGAGTATTTATAAATTTCCTGATTTGAATCAAAGCATTGAAATCAAGCCAGAAGTTGATATTCAGGTAATCTAGATTTTTATTTAATTTTTACAAGAAAATGTTTTGACAATAATAATTTGACTCTTGATTGTTAATAAATATAACCCATACTACTTACCCATTTATGAAATATGTTGTTAAGGAAAGTATTGCGATTGTGAAAAAATATTTAGAATTTTGAACGGAAATACATGTTTGAGATCCTTAAAGTCCAAATTACCAAGTTTTCAAACTGCTTTTTGTGTATATGAACAGCCTCCCTCAAAAATTAAAAGTTGGTTGAATCTGTAATTATGTATCTAAGGTAGGTATAATATGCCTGGGACGTTACGGAAACTGTTTTGTCAAAATTTATTATATCAGGATGTTTACTTTATACCATTGATTTGATAATATTTTCAAAAAAAGCTCCGACAAGAGAGAAACACTTTATTTTCAAATAAAATATAAAAGATTGCTGCCCAATTGTATTGGGCTGCTATATACACAGCATACTCGTTAATCCGTAGGACAATAAATGAACTTATATATAAATATTCAGAGATAGTTTGTACGAGTATAATAAATATATATATAATTTTTTTTTCTCCTTTCATTGTTCATGCTTTTTTTATTTTAACATTTAATTTCCCTTTCTCTCACTTCTCTCTCTTTATACACCTCTCCTATACACAGTATTAAGATGCTTAAAATTATAATAGAACAATAACAAAAAACAAAAGTGTATACATCTAGAATTAAATAAAATTTAATAATAAATATTTTTTCATTAAATAGATACATAAATTAAAACTCAGCCTAGGCATGCACGTGATGGTGAATGATTCCCAGGGATTCGAGGACTATATTTTCAGCCAACCTCGCTACGTCCTTAATGTTGACACCGAGGAAGCTCCTTGCTCTTTTTGGAATTGTTCCGCAAGACCCAAACCAGAGGCCTCTCACGGTGAACTCTCTCTCTCCGAAGGTCTCACGGAATTTCTCTTTTAGGAAAGGGATACATTTATCGTACGTGTTCTTCTTTTCCCTTTCCACTTCACCCGCCTGATCGAGGTCATAAATTTTGAACATTTATACATTGTAAAACTGATATACACGAGCGTCATCTCCCCTCTAGCCTTTTGTGCTATTTTATTTTCTAATAATATATTTCTTTTCGATTGATTTCATTTATTACATCTTCATTATTTAGTTGGACTTTATTTAAATTAATTCTCATGTATTGTAGGAAAAATTTAAGTTAAATTATATCTATTACTGATTAATATGTTCTAGAATGATCCAGGAGATGTTGTATACCTTTCTTTGGATACCATTGTAAAAGGTTACTCTCTTCTTATATTTTGTCCTACTAAAAATTGGTGTGAGACTCTGGCTGTTCAGATATCATCAGAAATTAAGAGGATAGGTAGTTCAAATTTTTATTTATTTTTAATTAGATCCTTTCTTTAATGTTTCTCATTGAATTGCTTTCGAAGTTATTTGTTGTAAATGTTATTCAGCAATATAGAGAAAAAGGGAATAGATGTTACATTACGTGAGAAGTCTTAATAAACTGTTGTGTGCCAGTGTCAGACAGCCTTCATGATCGTATAATCATTTTTTTTTTCAATATATAAGTGGCATTTGTTTGGGAAAGTATAAAAGGAATTTGAGTATAGAAATTGATGTATAATGAAGAAATTATTAAAATTAATGATAATTATTGTTAATGTCAAATATTAACTTAACATATTATCTGAATTTAGGTAGTGATAAGAACAGCATTGGAACTTCACTTAGGAATGAACTTAACTCTGGTGGCATATCTGATATTTTAGAACAACTCAAAAAATGTCCTGCTGGACTTGAGAAAAATCTTGGTCAAAGTATTTCTTTTGGTGTCGCCTATCATCATGCTGGTATGTTTTTTTAACATTAAGATTTAATTTTTGAGAAATGTTAGTATATTTACTTTAAAATTTAATATATGTATAGGGTTAGCTTCTCCCCCCTCCCCCTCCCAAAATGTATATATATGAGAGTTAGGGGCTTTTATAGAAATTTTAAAGCTGTCCAAAATAGTTACCTAAGTAAGGGTCAGCAAAACAAGTCTTGAGCAGTTTCCATGATTTTCAGTAATTATATTTCCATGATTAAAATTTATTTTAGTTAATTGTATGTTTTTAAAAATATTTTGGTTTTTTTAAATTGGAGAATTTATGAAAAAATTTTGAAAAAGTGAGGAATATCAATTCTCAAAATTGGTAAATACCTTTGTCGCTTTCTTTTAAAAGTAATTTATCGTTTTTTTCAATAGAGAAATCAAACTGTTGTCAAACTGATAAAAAAGCAGTTTATCTACTCCTTAACATCTTCACACTCATTATCGTAAGTGATTCTTAATACAAAAAAATTTTTAAGGATTATTACAAGTGATTCTGAGCTAGTGGATAGCATTGATAAAATAAAAAGGACACAATCCACTTGATCCTAAACCTTTTGTTCAGTGAATTTCAAACTAAACTTTTTATTTTAATAAGAATAGGACATAAGGTTTTACAGTTATACGGTCTATATTTATGAACATAATCAGATGTAAACTTTCTAATGATGTCCTATTAGAAGAATAGTTTTTAAATTTAAAAATAAATATATTTTTGAAGGCAATGGTTGATTTTGATATTTCTTTTAGGCTTGACGTTAGAAGAACGGGATATTGTTGAAGGTGGATTTAAACAGAATCTCATTCGAGTCTTAGTATCAACCTCCACTCTTTCATCAGGTGTGAACTTGCCAGCTCGAAGAGTTATAATTAGGTCACCTGGTTTTCAAGGGCAATGTATGGACATTTTAACTTATAAGCAAATGGTTGGACGTGCTGGACGTATGGGTAAAGACACAGCTGGTATGTATTTATTTAAAGCAATCCTTCAGACGTTTTGTCAGTAATATGTTAGCTGTTATATTGATTTGTTGGAATTATTTTATTCTTGTCAGTTTTAAAATCTTCTTTGATTAAATGTTTATTAATTAACTTGCTGCTGATTTTGTTTTTAATTATTCTTTTAACTTTCTGTTTAACTCACTAAATCTAATGATTATCAAACTATTAAATACAGTTATATTTAGTTATTAATTATAACTTTAGTAACTCAATTTTGTAGTTAAATAACTTTTATAATGAATGCAGTCTTTATTAGGTGAGAGTTATATAATCTGTACTGAATCAGACAAAGCTTGGGGTAAACAGTTACTAACCTCACAACTTCCTCCTGTCGAAAGCTGTCTAGGAAAAGGAAACTTGTCAAATAGTCTGAAGAGAGCGCTGTTAGAGGTAAGTTTTGTCAATTATTTAGCTCTGAATTAAGTATTATAACAAATTTTTAAGTTGTTAATAATTACACTCTTCATCAAAGCTAAATAATCAATTGATCAAATCGCAAATTTTATGTTATATTATTAATTACTATATTCAAGAAAAGAACTTAACCAGTGATACTGACTTCTTTATTTTTAGGCTACTTGACAGATGTTCTAAATTATCATGTAATAAATTAACTGTTAACATAGTCCTCATTAAACTACTTTGGACATATGACAATAACTTGAATAAAATATGACAGTTATGTGCAACATCAAAGGCATCAAATATAAAAAGAATTCATAATGATATGGAGATGGTTGATTGTGGATTCAATTTTAGAAGTTAGTCGGTGAGTGCGGTCAAAAATACTATATTATATAATAGTATATTTTATTTACAATGTCCAACGTTTCGACCTACGTTACCTAAAAAATACATATCAGTTATTATTCATATAATATTAGTAATAACTAATATGTATTGTTTGTATCTCATATAGTCCTGAGGAAGACCTACAACGTTGGACATCATAAATAAAATATACTATAACATTATATAGTATTTTTGACCGAACCCTCGACTAACTTCTTCAAAAAAAAAAAATAATAAAAAGAATTCAATCGTGTTCCAGTCAGAAGTTCTCTAGAGCATTGTAGATGCCGACTTTTATGCCTCTACTTCTACAAATCCATATGATCCGCCCAGAAGACTGCTGAGGTGCTGGCCAAGAGACTTACTGTATTGAGCTACTTGATATGTTATCGTATATTTTTGTATCATTATTTGCTTAATAAACTATTATATAGTAAATTTATCAGGGATGCTAAACAACTGGAATTCCAGCAGTCTTATGCCATTACACTATGATAAAATCCAATCTCTTCAACCAATCATGACTGCACAATTTTTCATAGGCAGTGGTAAAATGATAATAAAAATAATTTGCTATTTTTATTACATACACTACATATAGTTAAGATTTATGGCGTTGATTGTTTTAAATGTGATCAAAAATATTGTTCTGAATTACGTAACTTATAATTAAATTTTGAAATTTTGTTTTGTAATGAAGCTTCCCCAAATTTTTATTTAGACATTATTATTGTTATCATTAACGATAATTGGTCTTTTTGTTAAATGTTAATAGTTTAATATTTAAAGAAGCTTTTATTGGTTAAAAAAAATAATATTTAAGCATATTTTTTGTCAAGAAGTATTACCTCTATAATTTTGCTGCTCTCAACTGATTTTATCAGTTTTTAAACATTCTTTTTGAGTCATGTAAACTATGATGTATTTTATTATATATTATTAGGTTTAATCATTGTTTCCATCAATTAAAAATATTCTTTTCCTTTATATTTAAGGTTACTGCCTGCGGTATGGTTTCATCTGTAACTGAAATCCAAGAATATACAAAGTGCACTCTTTTGGCAGCGAGTGCGTCAGAAGAGAAAATTTCAAAAGCTATTAATTCTTGTACGACTTACTTACAAGAAAATGAATTCATTAAATTAAACCTTGATGGAAATATATTACCATCATCTTTAGCCGAGGCATGCCTGGGTGCATCAGTTCCTCCGGATCAGGCGCTGTATTTGCTAAGAGAGTTGCATAAAGCAAGGCAATGTTTTGTGTTGGATTCGGATCTTCATGCTATCTACCAAGTATGTTAAATTTTCTTAATTATTACATTTCTTTTTTAAATAAGCATGTTTAAATTAAAATAATTAATTTGTATAGTATTTTCTTATTTTTTATTTCTTAAGGCCCGTTTACATAAGTTTTGCGACCAATTTCCTATATGAATTTACTTTAGTGAAGAAACATAAAGATGTAAAAGGGTTTTGTTGGGTCACTGAGACAAATTGATCCAATATATTGAAAATTTCTGAATAAACTAAAGCTTATAGGTTATTCTCCTTGTGTTCAGGAAATATACTATTATTCAGAACATGCATAAATTATCTTATTTTTTAACATTTAAAAATAGTAAAAATTACCAAACTTATTAGTATATCAATTGATCAATGTACCTTGCTTTAAGTCTTTATGTAGTGTATCATTTGCTACATAAAACTATCCTTCGCAAAACTTTTGACTGAAAAAACTGAACTATTTTTTTGACTAAACATATAATACAAGTTAATTTATATATTTCCCTTACTTTTCATTATTTTTGATGATTTCTTTACATTTTTATTATTATTAAAAAGTCCGCTAAATATACTCGTATAAAATTAACTTAATTAATTTTTTTTTTGTTCAGGTGACGCCTTATTCCATTTGTGACTATTGGGCAGTTGACTGGATGCGATTTTTCACTATTTGGGAAAATTTACCTCCTAATCTTCAAAAAATTGGAGAACTCATCGGGATTGAAGACAGATTTTTAATTAAAGCTATGAGGGGAACAATTAACCTAAATGCTGACGAGTTTGTAAGTTTTTATTTACACATAATTTACCTTATCAGTAAATAAGGTTAATGATAAATATTGTATCATTAATATTCAAATATATCTGTAGCATCTGTTAAAAGTGTTTTAAGTGCAATTTTGTAAATTTGTATTGGTATCACCACAAAGCTAATTTTTCCCTCTTTGTCTAAGAGGCTAAGTTACGCAGCTATTACAGAGATGAACATTCCTTTGTGAATCATGGGTTGAAACTCGAAAATCAAATTTGTACCTGTGAAAATTCCAAACTTTTGATTGCATTTTCCATAAATATTATTTTTACACACTATTTGTGAATTTTTGCCACAAATATCAAAATAATGATTTGATATATATATATATATATATATATATATATATATATATATATATAATACAGATTATATTTTTCGATCTATCAGGTCTAGATAATTTTAATCTCTGTGAAGAGTATCAATGTTAGCATTGAACAATAACACTGATAAATATAGTATTAATAATTATCAAATACACAATATTTCGAACCTTGACATTTTTAATCTTTGAAACAAGAGGAGCAGGATTACCAATGAATCGAAGCTTTAGATTTATTATAGTTCTAATATCAGCAATTTAATATTTATATATTTCTTATCACATAGTTATTATTAAAAAGACTTATTACTAAGAACTAGAGGTAAATGATGGGTACTAGAGGTATGAGCCTCATCACAGATTGCACGCCAGGCTGATCTTTAGGCAGCAACCGTTCTTCATCCTCTAACTCCAAGTTGACCCAGGTCTGCCTCAGCCTAGAAATTTCTCAAATATTGTGTTAAAAAATAATATCAATTTTATATGCTCACCAAAGATGCAGCTTTCTTTGTAGTTGTTTTTATTTATTTATTTTTTTGTGTGATGGGGGAGGTAGGAGAGGATAGCATATAGGTTTTTGGTTGCTCATTTTTTAATTAATATATTTTAGTTATATTTTTTGTATCTATATTAATTTCTTAAATAGGTTCAAAAAGTTTCTATTCACAAAAGATTTTATACAGCCCTTGCCCTACAAGATCTCATCAATGAAGTTCCGCTTAATCAAGTAGCATCGAAGTATGACTGCAATAAGGGTATGCTACAGTCTCTGCAGCAGTCAGCCTCTACTTTTGCTGGTAACATAGTATAATTTAAAAATATAATAATTTTGTTTATTTTTTAAGTTTTATAATATATAAACTTTAATTTTAGCTATGGTTACTAGCTTTTGTAGAAGACTAGGCTGGGGAGGGCTTGAAGTACTCCTGGCCGAATTATCTTCCCGAATCCAGTTTGGCGTCCAGAAGGAATTGCTGGATCTCTTAAGATTAGACTGTATGACGGCTTTAATGGCCCGAGCTCTATTTAATGCTTCAATAATGTCTGTAACTGAACTGGCTTCTTCCTCACCATCATCTATTCTGGCGGCGATTCGCAAAGCGAAACCGTTCCAGAGGTACATTTTTAAAATTTTTTATTGGTCTTGATAAAATTAAACATGTTTAATCAAAATAAATAAATAATTTTATGGGATGAGCTGATTTTATTGTTTTATTTTACTTTCACTTAGCTTCGATAAAAATAAAGTGCTTTCCAATTAATTAATTTCAATAATTTTGCTAATCAAGTGACCTTTTTGGTTGTTATATAAGTAACTGCAGTATTCAAAATAATTTTAGATCTTATTTAATTATTACCGATTCTTTTGAACCTAAAATAAAGGGACCCTTTTGATATACAAATTTTTTTCTCTTGCCTGTACAGATCTTGTTGATCTTTTGCTACCTTATGCGAATTTTGCATAGCACTTTTCAATAATCTGTTCTTAATAATAATTCGTTATTATTAAAGTTTAACATTATAAAATTAACAAAAATAATAATATAGAACTCATGGCGAAATAGCTACAAGGCCGTCGAACATCGTGTAATTTCATCGTATAACTGCCCTTAAACAACTCCTAAGATTCCGTGATTGTATTCCTCTAAAAACCAGACAGCTCCTTGTAACCTCCCTTATATTCCCCCACTTCGACTACGGCTGTTTGGTGTATGGAGGGCTATCTGCCAGGCTGGAAATGAGACTAAAGAGACTCATGAATTGTTTCATAAGATACATTTTCGGGATCCCCAGGCGTTCACATGTTTCACTCTGGTACACTGAGTTGAAATGGCTCTATCCTACTTCCCGACGACAATTCCTCCTTGGTGTTTTCCTTTTCCAAGTCTTCAGAACCAAAAACCCTACCTACATCCTGGAACTCTTTACTCTACGATCCTCTATCCACTCTCTCAATACTAGGTCTCAACCTATAGACTTATATATTCCCTCCCATAAAACTTCCTCCTTCAGCAAATCCTTTGTCATTCGTGCTGCTTCCTTATGGAACTCACTTCCTACCTTCATGTGTCAATCCTGGTCCACAAATTCCTTCAAACAACTCCTGTTCTACTACTCCACCTTCAAACTAACCTACTCCACATTCAAACTTCCCCTAACATGTAAAATTACTTGCATCTGTACAATGTTTAATTTCAATCCATTGCACAATTGAAGTAACAATTAACAGTAAATTAGTTTGTATTTTTATTATGTCAGACTAAGATCCATAAATTTGTAACTCTGTTATTATTCTTAGGGGACAGTAGACCCAGAATAAAATTATTTTTTCATTTCATAATCTCTTCCTTTCCTGCTGTTTCCTAGCTTGTCATGCATTGTTTCCAAAAATTGGAAATTTTTTAAAACAACATGGGACAAATTGTTAAAAATCGGGACTGTCCAGCCAAAAGTAGGATGTCTGGTTGCCTTACCAATATTTGAACATAAAAATGTCATATTAGGAAGATATTGAGCTATGATTGTCTTATTTCATTATTATTTTATTTTATTTTAGTGAAATAATTGGTAACAGAGAAGAGAAAAAGAATATTTATGTGCCTGGAAGAGCTGGTCTTTCCGAGGCGCAAGCTGCAGACCTTCTAATTCATGAAGCTAGAAGATTTCTATTAGTGAGAATAAATCAATATTTATTAAGTGTTGTTATTTTATTATAAATATATTTTATATTTCCTAAAATTAATATCTTACCTTTTTATTTATCATCTTTTAGAAAGAAATGGGTGTTAAAGCAGCAGAATGGGAGGCAAGTAATGCGGATTCGGTGAGTAATTCAGTTTACGAACGCTCTACAATTTTCGATAGTGAACCACAAAATAATACAAATTCTAAAAATATTCATCCTGAAGAAGATAATCATAGCATTTTAAATGAAAATCAATCAACGAAAGTCGACAATGATCAAATCAACATTATGGAAATTTCAAATGATAAACAGTCTCCTATTGTATCAAGAAACATTGATGTAATGTTTAGAGAGGTTTTTGCAATTGAAAAACCAGAAGCATCTGTTATTGTTGATGTGCCAAAACTTGATGAAGTACAAAAGCCTGAATTAGTAAAACCAAATAATGTTACATTTATAAAAAAAAATGTTTCTCCCTTTTTAGGAATTAATGGAGAAAATTCAAAAAGTAATATTAATTCCAGTTTAAATCTCCAAAAGCTTAATGAAAGTTTCAAATTAGAAAGAGAAGTAAAAGAACTAACTGAATTAAATGATACAGAATTAATTAACTCAGAATTTGTAAGTAGAATTACCGAAAGTAATGCTAACAAAACTAAATATTCTCACAGAATCGATAATAATATAGCAGGCAATATACAACAACCTAAAAACCAATGTGAAAATTTTCCTCTTAATTTTTCTGACAACAGTAAGTTCCCTTTTTTTGATATTTTAGAAGTCGAAAAAAGATTCTGTCAAGAAGAAACAGAAAAGATACCAGAAAATTATTCCAATAAGAATCAAGAATTCAAAGAACGTACAATTATACATAAAGTTACTAATGCAACAGTGCCTATAAACAATTCAATGAGTTTTTTTCATTTTTCTCATTCTCCCAAACCCATCTTTCAAAGTCCTATTCAAAATGATAATGATTTCGTTAAAATTAATTCTGGTAAACTAAAGGATCAAAACATAAATGTGAATTGTAGCACTCCGGTTTCTAATCATAGCCATGACGGCGCCAATCTTAGTAACAACGATATGTTTTCTGAATCACCGCTGATGCATTGTTCTAGTATCAGACAAGGAATAGATAGCATGAAAAATCAAACACTCGAAGAATTTGATATTAACTGGGGAGGTGACAGTCTTTTAGAATTTTCACAAATAGAAACAAAAAATTTCGGAAATAATCCTAAAGAAAATACTTTAAAACGTAAACTATCAGATACTTCAGAAGAATTCAACTATTCAAGAAAAAAAATGTGTTTGCTGCAAGAAAAAGAAAAATTTAATTATTCCAAAAAAACATTTCTTCCTGAAGTCAAAGAAAAATGTATTGTTAAAGAATCTGTGAGCAAATCATATTTTCACGATAGTATGCCATTTAATTCTCATTTAGAAAATCTTATTTCTGAGAATGAAAAAATTATCAAACCATCGTCATCTCGGAATATTTTTGCGAGAAATAAAAGTGAATTATCTTTTAAATTGGAATCGCCGAATATTGACTATCTGAAAATGAAATATCGTCCTAAGTCGGAAGGAAATATCTCTTCAAAAACTATTATTGAAATGAAAGACAAAAGTTTGAAGGAAACACCAATGTATAATACTTTTAACACAACATTTAAATTCAAATTATCTGAAATGTTAAATGATTCGCTGAAGGAAGAATTTAACATAAATGATATGAATTCAGATAATGATAACTTTGACAAGTTGGATTTGAGTATTTCTGATTCAGAAGATTTCATCACTGGGTGAGTTATAATTTATAACTCTTATATAGTTGATTCAATAATAACTATATTGAATACTGCCAACGGTAGTGAGAATGGTTTAAATTTAGGTTTTCTGTTGTTCTACATGCACTGATTGACTTAAAAAAAGCTCTTTTTAGATCATGTTTTGCACTATATTTTCAGTTAAATTTCTTGTACTATCAGATTTTTTAGCCTTTGCTTGTGAATGAGAAAACATGTCGGTAACCATAATTATCATATGTTTGAGATAATGTGTAAGGCTTGTTTTTATATAAACCTTTAAAGGGTAGAATTAGTAAATTCATATAGATATAAGTTTAACCTACCAATGTTATATATATTTTTTTTTTATGAGAAGGAGTTTATGTGCAACTGCCTCCCGCAGTGTCACATCCTACGCCCTGAAGACGACCTGCAAAGTGGGTCGAAACGTCGGCAAAAATTAAAATAATTAATATATTTTAATTTTTTATTTATTTTACCGCACCCTCGACTAACTCCTTCTCATATTATATCAACGGTCAACCATCTCTACATCATTTTTTTTTTTTATTCATGTTTGAATTCTAGCAAGATAAGGCAAATTTTTTTTACCCCTTACCTAACCATCTCAAGACATATTGCGGGAAGTTATTATAGAGGTACAATTAAACCTATTCTGGTCAGAGTGGGAAGATCCATTTTGTGGGTTTCCCAAAAAATACATTTCAACCTGCTCAGGCTGGATTCAAACAGTTATAGGTGTCATAACTGCCTTATTTTGCTGGAATAGAAAAAAAAAAAGAGAAATAATCAGGGCTTACTATATTATTATTTTGAATCTTGAACGCAAGATAGAAAAATGTCTTGTCAATTAATGATAAGTTTCAAATTAAAAAAAAATGATATAAACTAAATGAGAAAATTTGGAGATTTTCGAATTTGCTCTCTTTGAATCTCCTAACAATATCTTTCTTTTCGAAGGCAGCTATTTACAGATTCTCAGACTGAGTATTGCCATAAATCCATGTGACTATAGTTATGTCGAATGAAATAAACATTGCCTTATTTTATAAAATTTGAATTTTTTTTCATTCTGTTTATAAAATCATTGAAAAACTACCTTTATTCCTAGGAATTGTAGCATCACAGCAAAAGATAATGTGATTTAATTTGAGGAAGAAGCTACAGCACAAGGAATAAAATTATTCAAAAAGCATAAATCTTGTATTAATGTTGTATTGTAACATTATCTGAGTTTGCATAAATCACCTCACATACTCACACTCCATTATGAATGGCGCCACAGACCAATGTGGCCCCTGGACTCCTCAATAAGTCTTCAACAGATGATTATCCTCTTTGGTCGCACAACAGTTGTGGGTGCTTAAGAGTTCTCAAGCATTCTGAATTAGAGCATCCTACCCATCTAAGCCGTGGTATTTCTCTCCCTCTAGTCGGGTAGAGCTTTCCATACAACATTTGTGGAATCGCTTCTTCGGGCGTTGTGTCCAACCCAATGTAATCTTCCAAGGTTGATGTGCCTCATCAGGTTCATATTCTCCCTCACCTTGGGTGATCCAAATATGCGACAGAGAATTTTTCGTGAGGGTTTCTTTCTCTTCTAGTAGAGGAGATATTTTATGCATCGGGAAATAGTCTTTTTAGTTGTCGGCTAAGACCAAAATAATAAATTTTTTTCTTCATGATTTGCCTACTGCTTTCAAAAGATGTATTTGCACAACTTACAGCGGATTCCAGATAGATGAAATGGTCCACGTTCATGCTGTTTTCTTTGTCACAGTTTCTGTCATTCTCACTCCTGTTGACAATATTTTAATTTAAATTGCATTAATAAATTAGTTATATAAATAAATATTTATTCCAGATCACCTGAGCAGCTCAAAAAACATAAGACTGATTTCAGTCTCAAGAGTTCTGCCGGAAGTACTAATGTTCTTGGTCGATTTAGTTCTCCGATTAAAGTTACACCTAAATCAAGTCCAGCTAAGCATGATTCCCCTGGTAAATATCCTCCGATAGGAGAAGACATTATCAAACTCACAAAGTCTCCAGCTAGTAAAAAAAGTTTTATTAAAAATAAGTCAACAAGTCCTTCCCGAAAGTATGAACACAGGAATGCAAGATGCCTGATGTCGGAATTTATTAAAAAATACGATGATGTATCACTTATTAAAGTTGATGAAAGTGTTACCAATCCCAATATTATTATTGCAAATATATTAAATTCCAAAGAAGTGAGTTTTTTCATTGAAATAAAAGATATCAGTGAATCCGAAATTCAGAAAAATAAAATAGGTAATAAAATACTAAAGTGCATTAATAATCAAGAAAAAATACAGTACAAATGTTGTTCGGGAGATGTGGCCATCGTCAGAATTAGTTTTTTTAATGGAAAAACTGTATATAATTTGGATATGACTCTTGGAGGTATTTATTTACTAACTTCTATGAATATTCTTTTTTTTTTATCTTAATAATATTTGAATAATTATTTATTTTTAGGATAGATAAAATATGATTCAGTTCTTAATAGCAAAATTGTACTTCTGGATTGATTTTTTTTTGGTAATTTGTTATTTGATAGATGAGATTAGCATTATCATTGGTTTAAGTCTGGTATGGGGGTTTCAAATTAGTCTTCTATATTAGAGGAAACCAAAATACCGGACTTTGTACCAGAAGACATGAAGAAATGCTTTGTAAGGCTTAAGTATGCTGTTTCAGAATTTGAGTTGAATGATAGTGCCATCAGCAAATGTTACCAGGAAGGTATAAGCAAAGAGGTAGTAAAGGAAACACTGGCCTCAACTGGATAATTTTTTGGAAGGATTAGTATTAGGCTTATCTTGGTCTTTGGGATACCAAGGTGTTGGAAAGTGAAGCTCATTAATTAATAGAGGTACGAAGCTGCATTTCTATAAAACGCTCATCTGGCCAGTTCTTATCTACGGTAGCCAAACATGGACCTTAACCAAAAATGATGAAAAAGGCCTTTTGGACTTTGAAAAAGAAATCCTTTGAAGAATATTTGGCCCTGTAAAGGAGGGACTGACTTGGAGCATTCGAAAGAATAGAGGTACTGAACGTAATGTGGCCGGAATAATAAAATTAAGAAGGTTAAGTTGGGCAGAATAAAATTCCGATGATGAGATATAAAATCCCGATAAGAGTACTTAAGGAACCATTACACTATACAAGGAGAGCTGGCTGACCAAAACTGAGATGGGCAGATGGTGTGGTAGCTGAGGTGAGAAACCTGTTAGGAGTTAGAAATTGGAAAGTGGCCGTACAGAACAGAGAAATTTGGTGGAAGCTCATTGAGGAGACCAGGACCCACTGAGGATAATAGAGCCATTAGGATAGATAGATAGATAATCATAACATGTATGTAATATGAATTTGATATTCTAGGAAATTTATGGAAGTAAATTTTGTAAATATTTGACCTCAAGATTAATTGCTTTAGAGAGTAAGGAGAACAGCATGTAATTATTTATTCTATTATATCTGCCACTGATTGGTCTTGGGTACTCTTATTAAGGAGAATAGCCTGGTAGTCGAGCATGACCTCAGTCCAGTTTGCCTTAGTAGCCCTTCATTATAAATTACCAAATACAAGAAGTTCCCTTGGTTATAATGATAAAGGTTTTTTTTTTTTATTAGTGATGATGAGCAGGATGGGTGGAGTGTCCTTGAGGATAGAATATTTTTCATCTATCTCTACTGACACTTACACATATTTTTTTTTTTTAAAACATTGTTCAAAAATCTCTAATCTCAGAAAAATTACCTTCTGCCTCATGGGAAGGCCATGTCCACCCCTTCATTTAAGTAGAAATTGCCTGACAGGCTCCTGGTTTATATGTGAGTCCACCGTCTTTAAAGGGTTGTCAAGTTTTTCTAGTATTATTTTGAATTTTGTGGTAAGTCCATTTAAATCAATTTAATTTAATTCAAACAATTAAATTTTGTTGGTGTGCTCAAGTATTTTGTTTAAGAGTATTAAAAGCTATGGGTATACAATATTTATATTATACCAGATGGAGAACTGTCTCAAGATTATTGACTTTATGATTGGTTTCGAAATGAGGTTGTATTGATTGTTCATAAAAAACTATTGCTTAAGTTTTTTTCTTCACAGTAAATAGCAATATAACAAGACATCATTTGTTGTTTAAGTATTAAGTTTGTATATAGACTTCCTTATTCACTGCAATATCAGATTATATCTCAAGAAGAGTAGTTTTACTTAAAAAAAAACGTATTAGAAAAAATGAGAGAATTGTTGCTAAAAATAAAAGAATCAATCCTAAAGCAAATTATACACTTAATATATTATTAATGATAAAATTTGTATTGTTCTCTCTAACCTTAGATAATAGTAATAAATGTTTTCAGGGGAAAAAATGAATTTAATATTGAGAGAGGTTTTCAGTAATAAAGATCTAAAACTTTGTGGTATAGATACTAAAAACAAATTCCGAGTACTATATAAGTGTTGTAATATTGGAGTAGAGTGTGAAGTCTTTGATGTAGGGGTTGCTGAATGGCTTTTGGATCCAGGAGAAAAATATAAGTCATTAAAAGAGTTAGTAAGTACCTTTTATTGTTGATACTTAAGGATTACTATTTACAAAATATATTAATTATTATTTATTTAAAGTGTCCTTATGTTTCTTTTACATATCATTTACTATCCTTCTTCAAAACATCTGCTAGATAACGTTCTTGCTTAGCTTTTGATCTTTCTTCTTTCAGCCTTTTCTTCTGTTCCCGTTCTTTTATCACAAGCATTTCTTTAAACTTTTCATCTTTAGGATCTATTTTATAACCAAAATGTCTTTTAACTTCTTCAATTAAGGCATCTTTTTTTGCTTTAGCTTTAGCCAAATCTGCCAATTTTTTTTCTACACGGGCTGCTATTTCTCTTTTCCATCCTTCTAACTTTTGTAAATTTTTAAGTATCTTTTCCTGTCTTTGTTTTACTGACATTTCTTCTTCATCTACTACTTTTTTCTGTTTTGCTACCAATTCACTAAAACTAAAGGGGTGGGCGATCTTCTCATATTCTACCATTTCTTGTAATTCTGATTTAGTGGGCCATAATGTTCCAGGATTCACGTTACTTGATTTACCATACTTACCAAACAGCATTCTGTTATATTTATGTGTCAGATGGATATCTGCAACAGGTTCGCTGTAGGGTATTTTGCCATGAACCAAGTTTCGGTGATGTGATCGCAACCTAGATTTATTCCGTTTCTGTTCAAATTCTATTTCTTTCTTTAGCTGTGTAGCTTCATAATCTTCATCTGCAGTGGCAATTAAGTTTTCACTCACAGAATTGGTTGTTGATGCTGGTCTAAAATGATTTTTATATAAAACGGCCGTTTTTATATTTGATGAATTTAAATTACAAAATTTTCTAATGTTGAGTAACGCTTCCATTTTCATAAATATTTTCACAGCAGCGTTCTACCTTTTCTTGAAAATAATGAACATTAATATGGAGAGGTTGCTATCAGGTTTTAATCATACACTTGAATATACTGCACTCTACAGTCGTTCTTCAGAACTAAAAGTGTATCGTTCCTAATCGGTAATATTTGGAGATCGGTAAACATATATTTATTTTTCGATAATTTTGTTTTTATAAATATTTTTAAACTAATTGTATAGCCTAAAATAATTGATCATTTTATGAGGATGATCGGTTATTTTATAATACCCCCCTCCCCTAACGGTAATGCATAAAGCAGGAATGAAGATTGATTTCAACGGTACAGAACGGTTATTTTATTTTTGAAAATAGATTGCTATAAAAATTTAACAGTTTGGTTTAATTCAACCGACAAAAAAGAACTGGTTTAGTTGGTAACAGTTTAAGTGATAGGTAACAGTTGTTCTTTAAGCAGCGAATGGTTTTTGAAATAACCGCCATCAAAGGAACACAGCGGAATAAATCGCCGGTATGGAGCTTAAAATACATTTAGGAAAGTTGATTGTTATATTTATATTCAAGATACTCCAATTTTTTTAAAAATTTATTTTATAGATAAAATGCATGTTATATATGCACTATCAAAAATATTTAATTTAGAAATATCGATGTTAAAATGTCTACAGCTGAAACCGCCATTATTTCCGGCAATGCTGAAGCTTGAAAATAGATATATGGTAACTTATTTAAGATAATTTATCTTTCTTAATTTACATGCTTTAAAATGTTCTGTTTTAATCACTTGTTTCTAATAATTTATTAATCTAAACCCTTTTGTTGAAACCTTATTGCTATTACCCTAGTAATTGTTCAAGATTTCTTTAAAATGCAAAATCCAATATGGAAAAATTAATTACTTGATATAATTTTAGAGTATGTTTATTCAATCATAAAACTTTTTGTATGATGCTTAAGTCAATAGAAACATGTTAATGTAACTAGATTACTGCTTTGCAGAGTTTTTTAACTCTTTATTTGTTAATTGTACCATATAAACAATATGCAATCTTTTATACTGTATTTATTGTATAAAATCATTAAATAAAATTTTATAAAATTGAACATGAAGTAATTAATCAGTTTTCCATTTGTAAAATCAAAACATTACAGTTAGTAACATTTTTATACACTTATTTTGTTTTTAATCGATAAATGTGATCAACATTATTAAATTAGTACTTATAGGTTTAACTCCATAAATAGTGTACTTTATGTTTATGAATAAATGGATGATAGCCTCATATGCTAATGTTGTCTAAAGACATCTATGCAGTTTAAAGACATCTTTATATCACTGATGGCGTCAGCGTGCAGATGGCTGCATATGTTAAAAATGTTAGTTTTATGAAATATTTAGAAAAGTTAATGTATAGGTCAAGATTTTATTTTATAGATTCATAATAGAATTTTCAAAAATGCTATTTAGAAAATGAAATTCGTTGCAATTTCAATAATTTTTTTAATGTGTCACTATTACTTAATTTTTTTTTATATCTATTTAAGGCCAAAGACTTGCTTGGAAAATCTAATCCTATAGATGGTGAATTAGATGATAAAATTATACAAGAATTGATTATATTAAAAGAACTTCAAGTTGAATTAGTTAAAAGATTGAAGGAGCATGATCTTGAAAAAACATTTTTTGGTGAGTTGTTAAACTACTTTTTCATATCTTTTTTTAAATGATTAAACGATGACTTTTATTATTATTATTATTTTTTAGATGTTGAAATTCCTATTCAGAAATGCATTCTTTCAATGGAACTTACTGGCATTGGATTTGATCAGAAAGTAGTTAATAATTTGTGGTCTTTATCGACAGAACTGATGGGAACGCTGGAAATAGCTGCATATACTTTAGCTAAACAAAAGTTCTCTTTGAATTCTAATGTTGAATTTTCTAAGGTGTGTCAAGTTTTAGTTTGATGAAATTAGGATAAAATTGTTACTCATAATTTAAATTACTGAATTTTAGGTCAAACGAAAACTGAAAATATTACCTGAACAAGAAAATAATAATTCATTTATAGAAATAGTTCGTAATTGGAGAAAACTACATTCATTAAAAACAAAGGTAGAATACAAATTTAACATTATCATTATTTTTATATTACTAGTGTTCTTTCAGTAGTCAAAATTCTATTATAATCGTTATTAAAAATTTTAGGAAAACACATGAATTTGTAAATTTCTGACATTTTTTTTTCTACTCTTCTACATTCGTGTATATTTCTAAATATGTACTTGCAATTCAAAACTGTTCAGTACAATTTGTGTTCTTTTTGAGTTATTTGCAAATAAAATTCTAAATCTAGCATCACCTTTTTTCAGCCTCTTTTTGGGGTTGTTAATGTTATATACATAAATAGAAAAATGGTTTCAAGTAGAAGAGTTTAGCCGCATTTTATTAAAATTTTTACAGCCATTTTGGCCCTATAGTCTATAACGACACATGTTTTTCACCTGCCATTTTGAAACGAAAGAGTGGATGGTACTAAAATGTATATAAAAAATCTGGTGCAATGCGTGCACCACACAACTTTCACTTACTATCCTCTTAGCAGAAATAAGTATTTTCAGACGGGAAAGTGAAAGTAAAAATTATAAATGCTATATTGGTTTATATTTCATTGTGGGTATTTTTATTTGTTTAAATACCCTTACATAGACAAATTTTAATTTTTATATCACTGTATTCCATACAATTAAAAATTAAATAATACCAATGATAGCATTAAGAAAACCGCACATGTTTATGTAAATAATATTGTTGGAGTCCATATCATCTTAAGCTCATGTTACGTATGTACTCTTTCGGGTGTGCTCAGACGCGCTCGTTTGGTTCTTCCATTACAACTATTATCCGTTACGATCTCTTATATCTCCTTTAGTTAATTATCAAATTCTTTCATATTTTATATTTAACTGTTTTTCATATCAAATATTAATTTGAAATAATTTATTATTTCAAATAAAATATATATAAAGGTTATTGAATATATTAACAATTTAAAATACTTTTTAGTCACAATTAATTTTTATTCATATTAAAAAAATAAATTTAAAATCTCTTGATTTTCATAATCAACCTATTTGTTTTGTTTTTTTGCCGTTATACTAAGTGAGAAAAATATCTATACATTTTGTTTATAGAATCTGAGCCAGTTGCTTCTAGAAACGAAGGCCCGATGTTATTGCCGTAGTTCTACTAAAACAGTTACCGGAAGAATAATCTTATACGATCCGGACCTTCAGCATATTCCAAGAGATTTTACTGTCAACGAAAATCTTTTGAGCCTCAGGTCAGCCTTTATTGCGATGCCAGGTATGTTGAAATTAAAAATTTATCTTTGGTTTATATATATATATATATATATATATATATATATATATATATATATACATAAAATACTTTATTTTCAACACTTTATAAGGTCTTATGTCGCAACCTAATAATCATGTAAACCTTCTAACCATCTCTTTTCCTGTTGATTTCTCTTCCTCAGCTCAGTTTTTTTTGTCTCAATTGAGTACAGGATGTTGAGGGGTTCTTTAACTTTTTCCCTAATGGTGTTATTTGGAACGAGTGATATTTTATAACCACGTCTCCGAAAATCCATTTCTATTGATAACAATTTTCTTGCTGAGTCAGTTGAAATTGTTTAGGTTTCTGAGGCATATGATACAGTACTTACAGGAAATGAATTGTAGAGTCTCTTTTTCGTTTGGAGCATCATGTCTTTATTCCGTAGAACAGAATTTAAAGTCTGCATGATCTTTCTACCTGACCTTGACCTTTTCATCAATGTCTCTTGCTGTCGCTCACCTTCGAAAGCCACCTAAATATTTAAATTTCTCAGTTGAGTTCAAATCCCATTCCCAACATTTAATGAGGAATTTCCTCTATTATAGAATGTCATAAGTGCTATGTCAAAAAAAAAAAAAAGGATTGATGAATATGCTGTGTATCGAGCAACCCTATATAGTTGGGCAGCACTGCTTTAAATAAAGTATTTCTTCCAGTCCTCCTACCATATAAGTTTCCAACAACTTCCTGATCATAAAGGAAGCAGCATCCTCTTCATCATTTGAAATAATGATGCGGCTATCAGCAAATTGTAAATTGTACAAGCGTTTATCGTCTCAGATTATCCCCATACTTTATATTATCTAGTTTTTCAAAATATCTAAATGTGTTTTCACTTAAAAGTCTTAAGGATTAAGGAACATATATAAATCATTTATTTACTCTAGTTATTTTATTTTTTTAAATATTTTATAACTAAAATTGGTTACCTATAAAACGTGTTTAGTGTTTCTTTCCAATTCTATTTAGTTATTAGTATGTTTTTGTTTTTTTTGTACCAATATTATAAAATTGTAACCCTTGTACCCACCTGCTTTCCTTAATATACCCTCCAAAACTATGCATATACTCATTTTACTTACTACTTAGATTTTGGATACTCTTTATTATAATAGGTCACCTGGCCACATTTATTGTCAATTGGTTTGAAAAATATTGTTATTCTTAAGGGACCTAGTCCCAGAATGTTTTTCTATTTCTATTTCTATCTTCTCATCAGTCTAAGAACACTTTCAACGTAGATATTAAACAGTAGAATGGAGAGTAAGCATTCTTGCTTGAGGCTTATAATGATTGGAAATTCTTTTGTTATTTGAGCTTGGCCCTTGCTTTCGCATGAGAATATAATCCTTTTATAGCTCGGATAATATACTGCCTTACGCTGATGTTTTATAAGGGATTTCATAGTTTAATAAGAGGTACAGTATCCATTACTGTATGAGGTACAGTATCCATTAATAAGAGGCATTTTTAAACTTAATATTGAAAAAATTAAAAGCCGGAGACTAAGAAATGTGCTGCAAGAAACGGCACTGAACTAATGATACTGAATGAACATTTTGATTCCATAGAAAGTAAACATTGGAATCTAGAATCATTTCATTGAATTAAGGATTAAGGGTTATTGTCCTCTATATTAACATTCCTAATTGAAAACAAACAAAAAGATTACCTGTTTATTTATTAAAAAACAATAGACCAATCCAAAGCAGAAATATTTTTAGTTGGAAACATGAAAAAATCAAGTGGGTGGAATTTTTTGCCTGTCAGTGTATTAAATTTATCTCCTTTGGTTTAATATTCTTTTAATAGAGATCAAGACTCTGTGAAACAATGGAACAGTCATCGTATTAATGATAAACAGTGCCGGCCTTAGATTATAGGTACCACCAGTTAATGACATCATCTCCCAAAGTAATATCCTCCCTTCCCAAAGTAATATTTCATTCAACATGTCTCTAATTCAGTTGCTTTATTAAAAGACTAAAATAATTTATTCTTATACACTTTGTAATTTTTTTATTTATTTATTCATAAGTGGCGGGCATCTATTTTCATCAAAATATGATTAAAGGTAGTGGGTAATATACCTGTCACTGGTTGTTGAGGAGCATGTTATCACATACATTTTAATGCTAACTAACTGTTTTTTGACTAAAATGAGGTAGCTAATTCAATTTGATTTTTCATGATTGATCGAATGATAACCAAACATTTTTCAGATATATGTTTACAAGATGTTTTATATATAAGCGATGAAATTATGATTACCTTTTTTTACCTCTTGTAAAGTTGAAAAAATTGAATTATGCAGTGTAGGAGCTTATATAGTATACGGGTGGGAAGACTAAGTCCAGCAAGTGGGCCTATTGGTCCTTTTTAGCTTATATAATGATTTATAATAATTATAAACATAAATATAAATAATTATAATAAAAGCTGAAGGTTTGATGCTGAAATAACCAATCATTGTCTACACACCTCCTCTGGTCAATATCCAAACCCAGCCCCACTTTATTAGCTTCAATGCAATCTTCCCACCTTTGCTTCGGTCTATCCCTTGGAGATATAACAGTTGACACAGCAAATGTTACTTTTTAGGCATTCTTTCATTACTAAGCCAAACAATTTTACATACCCATTTTATTCGCCGTAATCGGGAGTTTGTGTATGGGTAGAGAGATACGATCAGCCCTGCACGTTTCTCCCTGGGAGTGGCAAGAAGACCACCTGAGGAGTCCGAAGAACATTAAGAAAGGACCGGCGGACAAAGTGCGGCCCCATCATAAAAGTGCACTACCATGTACCATGCCGCACCACAGTTACCCAGTCAATAAAAATAAATAATTAATAAAATAAATGATAATTAATAAAGTGTTGATTATTGGCAGCAGTGGGCATATGAGAACCCAACCATATCAACCCACTGTTGCCAAAACCCCGTATGGCAACAATGGCAGGAAGGGAAAAAAAAAAAAGTTTACGCAATTCATCATTGTATAACTGTCGAAATTCTCCAGTTGACTCAACCTTCTTCGGTCCAAATATTCTTCTAAAAAATCTTAAGACATTGCTCATCCTTTAATGTATGCGGATATTATATCTATATTTCGTGTCCATAAAGAACCTTAATTAGAATAATGGTTTTGTAAATTTTAATTTTTAAGTTTTGGTACAAGAGGGCGCTAGCCAAAAATGATAATGGATTATCCTTTAAAATATGAATTCAATTATGGCTTTTTTATTGTTACCAACTACTAAATTTCAGGTAACGTGTTAGTGTCTGCTGATTACGGTCAGCTGGAATTGAGGATCTTAGCTCACTTCTCGCAGGACCCAGTGCTGATTCCATTATTTAAACAAGATGATGATGTATTCAAGATTATTGCTGCTGAATGGAATAATATCTCTAAAGAAATGGTGAGTTACTTTAAAATTATTTTTATTTTTCTTAAAGGACTAAAGGATCTCTTACACAAATGTTCACATGTGTGTAAAATCAGATGAAATTATTATTAAACTCAAAGCAAATAATGAAAAAAGCTATTCAAAATTATAACTTCAAGATTTTTGACAATCACAAGGCTGTATTTTCCACTAGGCCTATAGACTCAGGAGCGTGTTAAAAAAAAAAAAAAACATTCATTTACTCCTCTCTACGTTGAATAGAAATTATTTTCTGGCAATGTTGGACTATTTAAAATTTTTTAAAGTAAATTTATAACAGAGCTAAAGCATAAACTTTACATCTAACAAATCATTAAGACCATTAAAATAATGAAAACCCTATTTATTGTATCAACGGTAGGTAATAAAGATCTTGTTACTCCAACGGTTATTGTAAATCACCTAACTCCAGTCTGTGAAAGTACATCTGTATATTTAACCAATAAATGCTATGGATTGTTCCACTGTTAGTTATTAAACTCTTAATTTTTGTGGTCTCCTAGACCACATCATGATTCCTGATTTAAGTACACGGGGGTAGGATCATCAGTTCTACGCCCGGTTGTGTGAGTTGCCCCTAGTAGGCTGACGGGTCTCACATACCTGGGGAAGAGGATCTCAGGCAGGGTGGCTTTTCCTGGTGGATGGCTACCCGAATCGGGTGGTCATCCATTCAAGTGTTAACCATGCTTGGCGTTGCTTAACTTGGTTACCTATTGCAAGAGCCTTAAATTTACTTATTTAATTTTCTAAAATGTTACATGATGAACTTTCATAATAAACCGACGGTAGATATCTAATTATTTAAATATAATATCAGATTTAGAGTTTAAACTTCAGTAAATGTATTTAAGGTTATAAACATATATTTTATACATCCATGAAATATTTACATATTTAATTTTTTCTTTCACACAAATACAATTAAATAGTTTTTTAAACAATGCCATAGCCTTTATTCAGTGGATTTTATATAATTTTATTGTAAACTGCAACACAATTTTAAAATTTTCTTTTAGTTAGAAAATTTCATTGAATTACCTTGGAAACCATGTGGTTTCGGTTAAATAATTTTAATTTTCAAATATTACTATTTATAATCACTCTCTATTACCTTTTACGACTTTCTATATCAGATAATATTCTTTTTTAAATTCTCCACTTTCCAACAATATGTTATAAGTATACCTTCTGACTATTATTTCCTGGAATTCATTTTCAACCTAAATAAACAATTATCTTTTTTTCAATTATCAAATTCTTTCAAAATTTATATTTAACCTTTTTTCATAACTGCTAACAATGAGAGGTAGCTAATTATTTAAAATAAACCAAATTAAAGGTACTTTAGAGAAAGAAATTTTGAACATTGGGTGTTTTAGCCATGTTAGCCACATCAATGGAGATAAGACCTAATGATATTAAATAGCACTTAATTGTAGGTTGATAAACAGAGTTTAATCAAATTCGTTAAAGCCCTTTTCGAGAAAATTGTAACAATGTGTAAAATTGATGATGTAAATTGCCGCTTCCGGTTAGCCGATTTTAAGGTTGCATCCCAGGCATATACTTATCTAAAATATGTATTTGCAGTTTCATAAGGTTTTTCGTTTTTTAACTAGACTGTTCACACACAGACCATTTTGTGGAGCATGATTATTTGGACTCAGGGGACCTTAAGGCATGTATTTCTATTGAAAACTCAGATTAAAAAAATATTCACAATCGCAATACTTTCCATTACTCTATATTAAATATATATTGGTCTTAAGAGACATTGCAACCAATAAATATATATATTTTTAATCTAATCTATTTTATTTTATTAATGAACAGGTAACCGAAGAAATGAGGCATCAAGTAAAACAAATCTGCTATGGAATAATTTATGGAATGGGTGACAAAACTTTAGGAGAAGCATTGGGTAATCCATTTATTTTTTTAATTTATTAACTGTTATTAATGCAATATAATTTGTTTTTAATATTTTTTATTTGTTTTCTTCTTGTAGGAAAGACCGCAGCAGAATCCTCAATGCTTTCCGCTCAGTTTAAGAGAACTTTTCCTAAAATCAATGATTTTATTAATAAAACAATTACGGATTGTCGGCAGACGGGAAAGATAAAAACTCTTGGAGGAAGGGTTCGATATCTTCCTGAAATAAACAGCAATATAGCTCAATCCAGAGGTTCTCATTCATAATATTATTTATACTATATTGAATTAATTTATCTCCCCATTGATCCATTGATGATTCATTCATAATATTATGTATACTATATTGAATTAATTTATCTCCCCATTGATCCATTGATGATTCATTCATATTATTATTTATACTATATACAGTCGCTGTCATAGAAATTGCATCATCCTGTAAAAATTTTGTTAAATTTTATTTTATTTACCATATTGCGATCTGTAAGATCACCAGATATTTCTTTGTCAGTTTTGAAACTATCTTCTAAAAAACAATTGCACCATTTTCTGGCAAGAACAGTTTTTTTAAAACTTTTATCCTGGCATTAGTTAAAATTGAACTGAGAAACATCGTTAAAGTTTTCTTGTTACGTAAATAAGTATAAAGAAAAACAAAATCATTCAATTGAATCAATGTTATCAACATAAAAATCAAAAGAAATAGGTGATGCAATTTCTATAACTGCCACTGTAGAATTAATTAAGGCTTTAATTGTGTATGCATAAACATAGAGAGAAAGATTGGTGTAGCTTTATTTATTAAGGTTTCTGCAGTATTTTCCATTGGCCAGAGAGATAATTTAGTCGCTTGTATGTGTATGTATTTAGATAAGGTGAGAGAAAATATTCAGATATATTAATAAATAAAAGATATTTACAGAAATTTTGCAGCAAATATTTATTAGAAAAATACAGAATTTTTGCATTTTTATTGTCATTACCTAATCTTCAATGATGAATAAAAGTTTTTTATTTATTTTTAGCCCAAGCAGAAAGGCAAGCTGTTAATTCTAAGATACAAGGTTCTGCTGCCGATATAGCAAAAAAAGCAATGGTGAACATTGAAGAACGACTTAATAACAAGTTTTCTCAACGCAAATCTCTACCTACTGCCGATCATACTTCTCATCTCATCCTGCAGCTTCATGATGAACTTATGTTTGAGGTATGGTTTGTATTAAATATATATATATATATATATATATATATATAGATATTGTCGGTATATTGCAAAAAACTTTTATTTTATTTTCAAGGAACTTATCCTGGAATAAATTAAGATTTTTATTACTATTGTTGTTAGATCTTTTGTATTATTAGATTATTTATGTTTTTAGGTAAATGAAACCGTGAAAGACTCTTTTATAGGTATTTTAAAGGATGCTATGGAGAAAGCTGCTGTACTTTCCGTTCCGTTACCTGTTGTTGTTAAAGTTGGCAAAAAATGGGGCAACTTAAAAAAAATATAATTAGATATGAAGCAATACGCTCAATAACTAGGTTTTAATTTTTTATTGTGATACATACCCAAAGATGAATAAAGTTTATTTTATTGTTAATAACTGTAAATATAAAAAAAAAAAAAACAATTTATTAATACTTTTTTAATACTGGTAACTTTTCAGTCATAGGTTAGTTTTAAATCATCAAATTTTAGTCATTTAGTGTATATTTAATGCTCAGAATTATCATCGAGAATCATTTTGTTCCTACATTTTATTTTATTAATGTGAATACTATATTACATTATATTTATTTTTTATGGAATATTTTTTTATTGTTACTTTTTTTAACATTATTATTATCGCTGTATTTTATGTTTGATTTCTTCTTGTTGATGTTATTATTATTTTTTATTTTATGATTATTTTATAAAATATATAAATTTTTATTTGATATTTTCTTTATTGTTGGCTTTTAGGTAAAAGTCGCTCGGTCATGATTTTTAAATTTAGAATTACTGAAAATCAATGTCAAGAAGGGTTGTTTTTTTTTTTCGGAGAAAAATTGGATTAATAAAAGGTACTTATTTAGTAGCAGGTAGCATCAAAAACTCCCTTTTTATCTAATCTCATTTCACATAACCTCCCTTATCTCATCTAACCTAAGTTATTCCCTTGTTTATTTTTTGTTTCTTGTGTTAGAGGTCGAGGATTTCTTTTTTGTCTATTTTTACTTTCACTTACATATATATGTAATATATAGTATAAGGGTAAGTATTGCGATCGTGAAAATTTTGGAATCTTAGTTTTCAACAAAAATACATGTTTTGAGGTCCTGAGTTCAAATAACCAAGTGTCGCAAAATGGTCTGTGTGTGTGTGTTAACAGTCTAGCTCATAAACGAAAAGTAGTACGAAACTGATATTAAGTATTTAAGGTTTGTATATGGGCTGTGAGTTAGTGTTATTTAATTATGGATGTTGTCACATTGTGGGAATTGCCGTTTTCAGAAGAAGAGGCTATAAAATATTTTCAAGACGCTGGGATATTTGCAAAGGTCAAATATTGTGATGAAGGCCATAAGATGAAGTTCGACGGGAAGATTAAATGGAAATGCTTTCGTAGTTGTAACAAAACCTTTTCTATAAGGAAAGGAACTGGTTAGAGGGGTCGAGGATTTCTTTTTTGTCTATTTTTACTTTCACTTACGTATATATGTAATGTATAGTAAGGGTAAGTATTGCAATCGTGAAAATTTTGGAATCTCAGTTTTCAACGGAAATACATGTTTTGAGGTCCCTTGAGTTCAAATAACCAAGTGTTGCAAAATGGTCTGTGTGTGTGTGTTAACAGTCTAGCTCATAAACGAAAAGTAGTACGAAACTGATATTAAGTATTTAAGGTTTGTATATGGGACGGATGTGAAATAAATTTTTCGTTAAAATCGCCTAACCGGAAGTGCCACTTTATATGAACGCTGAAACACATTTTTATAATTTTCTCAAAAACGACTAACGATTTTGATCAAACTCGGTGTATCATTGTATAATTGAGTGGTCTTCAATATCATTTAGGTCTTATCCCCGTTGATGTCACTTTACAGGGCTTAAATGCCCAATGTTCATATATGTCTTCCTCTAAAGTACCTTTAATATGGTTTATTTTAAAAAGTTAACCATTTCGCATTATTTAGAGTTACGAAAAAATGCTACATATAACTTTTGAAAGAATTTGATAAATTAATAAAGGAGAAAAAAAATAAAAATGCCGAAAAACCTGCGTTCCTACAGACTGTAGCGCCTAAACGAATGTACCGATTTCAATGAAACTTCGCTAAAGTCATTTTCTCCATACCCATTAAATTTATCTATATAACATACTTCAACGAAAAGAACCTGGAAAAAACGTTACGAGGGATGGTAAAATTAAATTCCGAATAACTCAAAAAGTATACGCTTTTTTGTCGATATTGTATGGTTTTTAAAAGTCATTTTGTAATTATAATGGTCTTAATGACTTGTTATCTGTAAGCTTTAGCTCCGTAAGCTAGTGTAGTTTAAAATACACTTCAAAAAATTTTATAATAGCCCAGCATTGCCAGAAAATAATTTCTATTCAAAGTAGATCGGTAAGTGAAAGTTGTGTGTTGCGCGCACCAGTTTTTTATTATTTCATTTATTTTGATATATATGTTGCAATATTTTCATAATGTTTTTTAATTATATATTTATAATGTTTTGGTGTATTTTAATATATATGTTTTAAAATAAAAGTATATTTTTTATTTTTTTATTATTAAAAGAGGGGGATTCCCTTTCGCCTGTCCTGTTCAATTTGGCATTAGAACATGCCATTAGGGAGGTAATGCGAACCGAGAAAGGGTTGGATCTGGGTGGGACAACTTCCGTGCTGGGTTATGCAGATGATCTGGTACTGTTAAGCGAAGACGTTGAAACTATAAAACTAAATACGACAACGTTAATGAAAGCCGGTAAAGGACTCGAAATAAACGTGGATAAAACAAAATATATGGTTAGCTGCAAAAATGACAATACTACTGGTGATATCGATATAGATGGTAATATGTTTGAACAGGTAGATAAGTTTAGGTATCTAGGTTCTACGATAACTAGAAAAAACGAAATTGAAGAAGAAATTAAGGTTAGACTGAAGGCGGGAAATGCTTGCTATTTTTCTGTGACAAAACTACTCAGTTCGCGCCTCTTGTCCCGGAACTTAAAAATTAGAATCTATAAAACAATTATCTTGCCTACAGTTCTTTATGGGTGCGAAACTTGGCCGCTTACATTAAGGGATGAGTAGCGTCTTAAGGTTTTTGAAAATAAAGTATTGCGTAGAATATTCGGACCGAAGAAGGATGAGTTAACCGGAGAGTTCAGACGGTTACACAACGCCGAATTGCGTGAACTGTATCCGGGTAATATAATTGAGGTAATTTCATCGCGGCGAATCAAATGGGCTTGTAAAGTTGTTGGACTTAGTAACGAGAGAATTCCTAAAAGGTTAATATTTGCTGTGCCGAATGGTAAGCATCCGAGGGGTAGACCGAGGCGAAGGTGGGAAGATTGCATTAAAGCCGATCTGAAGGGACTGGGTTTGGACGGCGAACAATGGAGGGAGGTGTGCAATAAGCAATTGGTGGTGACGGCATCGAACCTTCGGGTTCGCTAAGCCTTTTTATTATTATTATTTTATTATTACATTTGTTTCTGTCTTTGTTCACAATTTCAATAACATCAATACAATACAATAAATATGAATACAAAGATATAATAATATGAATATAATACAATAAAAATGAATACCAAGAGCTTATCGATGTTAAGGTTATAAACATTGGCATATAGCAGTCAGACGCTACCCGCTACTAAATGAGTACCAAAAAAAATTATAGAATTATTTGATTCATATATCTATTCATTATTATAGGGGACTTTTACCTTTTAGCTACAAGAATTTTTATATATTTTTTTTATTATTTTCCCTTGTATTTTATTTATTTTCCTTATATTTAATTTATTTTCCTTTAATATTTTTATATATTGTTTTTATACATAATAGCTTAGTTATTTTTAAGTGAACTTCTCAGTCTTCCAACTTTTATAACCTCTTCCATAGGACTGATTCTTTCAGCTAATCACTTTGCTGTTACTTGAGGTTACACGTTACATCATTTAGGAATTCCTTCTCTGTTTTATCAATAGTACCTCTTCTATAGCATCCTTTAAACATATTTTATATTCTTTTATCTACTAAAAAATTAATTTATGCTTAAACAAATACCTAGAAGTTTTAGTAATTATTTGTAATTGATTAATAATAGTAAGACTTTCCGAACAAGGAAGGTTCGATGCCGATAACTCCAATCGATATATACATTCTTTCATTCACCTGGCTCCATCCGAACTCAAACCTGCCAGATCAGCCTTAACGCAATCTTCTCACCACCTTTTTTTTTTTACTTAAAAAAATATAATATATTTTATAGAAAAATATATTTTATAACTACATATAATAATGCTTCTTTATAACTACATATAATAATGCTTCAAACTTAGCCTCTCACATCTATCATATAACTTGAAAACATTATATGCATATAATTAAAAATGATTTAACATTTCTCGAGACACGTAGTCATGACTCGTTAAATTAACATTTTTGTGTTAGCTTAGAACCATATTTTAATTTAACGTTTCTATAAAAAAATAAGAAAAGAAGTAATTGTAGGAGGAAAAATATTAATTTTTTTTATTTAAGCTCTATATTTATATAGTCTTCTCAGTAAAATATTTTACTAACAAATTTTAAAGTATCCAAGTTCCTATATTCCTTATCAATATCGATATCGATATTGGAATAATATTGAATCAAAAATATCGATATTGTCAATATTGAATGATACTATTTCAAAATACAATTTTTGATATGAGTAACAATTATATTGTCGGTTTATTGCAAAAGACATTAAGTTACTTTTAATAACCTTAAATCACCAAGAACTTTGATAAATTTTCCCTTTGTGAAATTTTCCCTTTCAGAAAATTTTACACTTGTTGAAACTAAATTTGATATATGACGTGGTTTATGTAAATTTTGTGCATTTTTTGTTACTGTTTTGTTTGACTGTCGATACTTGCAAAAACAAGTTAAGTTCAGTCCCATTAAAAATTACTTGGTGACTTTTTTAAACAACGATATGAGCTGTTTACTTTGAAAGCATTGCAATTCCATTTTATAATATATGGAGATATTTAAGGGTCCTCAGATGCTTGCAATTTGCCATATATTAACTTTTTAGGAATTCTTTCGCTACTAAGCCCAGCAATTTTACATGCCCATTTTATTCGCCTCAACGTAATGACCTCAATTATATTAACCAGGTATAGTTCGCACAGATTCAGCATTGTGTTATCCCCTAACGGGTTTAAAACTCGTAGCATAAAATTTTTGCTGGCACTTAACTCATTCGACCACTGCGGCCTCTTTTAATTAATAAGTGACAAAATATATTTAGTCATAAACAATAAAACTTTATAAGCTGGTGTCGTTGGCAAATATAACTTTCTTATGATTTTAGTTTTCTTTTCTTTTTTTTTTTAATGTTTTTCCCATCATTAGAAATATGTGTTATATGTTCTCTAATATTACATATTCGAATATATATAATTATAGAAATAAGACTACATTTTCAGGACTTTCAGTCAAGATATTTTTATTGGGCTAGTCCATTTAATTATTTTCTACCCTTCTTACAGTGGCTTAATAATACAGTGCATACGGAGGGGACGGCCATATTGGATCGGCGGGAAACTAATATTTGAATAGTCTGTCTTTGTTATTTCAATTTAAAAAGTAATTATTGCAACAAACTATTTACTAGAATGGTTTGGGAGATAGAATTGAAGTTGAACAATCTGTATGAAGCATATGAATCACTTTATCACGCGAAAATAAATAATAAAATCAAAGAACAATATTTGTTTTTTTTTTCTGTTTAATTTCTTTTAAAATATATTCCAATAAACTTCGGCATATTAAGATTTTCATTGTG